GCATTCAAAATTTTCATTTTAGCGTTGACCGACTTTTTGACCCATTTTCATGTTGGTTATTTCTAAGTTTCCGATGAGTTGCCCAAAGATGACTTCAAATTGGACTCCTAGATTCCATATCTTTGCCAAATATTATCCGATTTTAAAGTGGCATACCTCTAAAGACTTGTGGTTCGATTCTCTGAAAATCTGCATTCAAAATTTTCATTTTAGCGTTGACCGACTTTTTGACCCATTTTCATGTTGGTTATTTCTAAGTTTCCGATGAGTTGCCCAAAGATGACTCCCAATTGGACTCCTAGATTCCATAACTTTGCCAAATATTATCCGATTTCAAAGTGGCATACCTCTAAAGACTTGTGGTTGGATTCCCTAAAAATCTGCATTCAAAATTTTCATTTTAGCGTTGACCGACTTTTTGACCCATTTTCATGTTGGTTATTTCTAAGTTTCCGATGAGTTGCCCAAAGATGACTCCCAATTGGACTCCTAGATGCCATAACTTTGCCAAATATTATCCGATTTCAAAGTGGCATACCTCTAAAGACTTGTGGTTGCATTCTCTAAAAATCTGCATTCAAAATTTTCATTTTAGCGTTGACCGACTTTTTGACCCATTTTCATGTTGGTTATTTCTAAGTTTCCGATGAGTTGCCCAAAGATGACTCCCAATTGGACTCCTAGATTCCATAACTTTGCCAAATATTACCCGATTTCAAAGTGGCATACCTCTAAAGACTTGTGGTTGGATTCCCTAAAAATCTGCATTCAAAATTTTCATTTTAGCGTTGACCGACTTTTTGACCCATTTTCATGTTGGTTATTTCTAAGTTTCCGATGAGTTGCCCAAAGATGACTCCCAATTGGACTCCTAGATGCCATAACTTTGCCAAATATTATCCGATTTCAAAGTGGCATACCTCTAAAGACTTGTGGCTCGATTCTCTGAAAATCTGCATTCAAAATTTTCATTTTAGCGTTGACCGACTTTTTGACCCATTTTCATGTTGGTTATTTCTAAGTTTCCGATGAGTTGCCCAAAGATGACTCCCAATTGGACTCCTAGATTCCATAACTTTGCCAAATATTATCCGATTTCAAAGTGGCATACCTCTAAAGACTTGTGGTTGGATTCTCTAAAAATCTGCTTTCAAAATTTTCATTTTAGCGTTGACCGACTTTTTGACCCATTTTCATGTTGGTTATTTCTAAGTTTCCGATGAGTTGCCCAAAGATGACTCCCAATTGGACTCCTAGATTCCATAACTTTGCCAAATATTATCCGATTTCAAAGTGGCATACCTCTAAAGACTTGTGGTTGGATTCCCTAAAAATCTGCATTCAAAATTTTCATTTTAGCGTTGACCGACTTTTTGACCCATTTTCATGTTGGTTATTTCTAAGTTTCCGATGAGTTGCCCAAATATGACTTCCAATTGGACTCCTAGATTCCATAACTTTACCAAATATTATCCGATTTCAAAGTGGCATACCTCTAAAGACTTGTGGTTGGATTCCCCAAAAATCTGCATTCAAAATTTTCATTTTAGCGTTTACCGACTTTTTGACCCATTTTCATGTTGGTTATTTCTAAGTTTCCGATGAGTTGCCCAAAGATGACGCCCAATTGGACTCCTAGATTCCATAACTGTACCAAATATTATCCGATTTCAAAGTGGCATACCTCTAAAGACTTGTGGTTGCATTCTCTAAAAATCTGCATTCAAAATTTTCATTTTAGCGTTGACCGACTTTTTGACCCATTTTCATGTTGGTTATTTCTAAGTTTCCGATGAGTTGCCCAAAGATGACTCCCAATTGGACTCCTAGATGCCATAACTTTGCCAAATATTATCCGATTTCAAAGTGGCATACCTCTAAAGACTTGTGGTTGCATTCTCTAAAAATCTGCATTCAAAATTTTCATTTTAGCGTTGACCGACTTTTTGACCCATTTTCATGTTGGTTATTTCTAAGTTTCCGATGAGTTGCCCAAAGATGACTCCCAATTGGACTCCTAGATTCCATAACTTTGCCAAATATTATCCGATTTCAAAGTGGCATACCTCTAAAGACTTGTGGTTGGATTCCCTAAAAATCTGCATTCAAAATTTTCATTTTAGCGTTTACCGACTTTTTGACCCATTTTCATGTTGGTTATTTTTAAGTTTCCGATGAGTTGCCCAAAGATGACTCCCAATTGGACTCCTAGATGCCATAACTTTGCCAAATTTTATTCGATTTCAAAGTGGCATACCTCTAAAGACTTGTGGTTGCATTCTCTAAAAATCTGCATTCAAAATTTTCATTTTAGCGTTGACCGACTTTTTGACCCATTTTCATGTTGGTTATTTCTAAGTTTCCGATGAGTTGCCCAAAGATGACTCCCAATTGGACTCCTAGATGCCATAACTTTGCCAAATATTATCCGATTTCAAAGTGGCATACCTCTAAAGACTTGTGGTTGTATTCTCTAAAAATCTGCATTCAAAATTTTCATTTTAGCGTTGACCGACTTTTTGACCCATTTTCATGTTGGTTATTTCCAAGTCTCCGATGAGTTGCCCAAAGATGACTTCCAATTGGACTCCTAGATTCCATAACTTTGCCAAATTTTATTCGATTTCAAAGTGGCATACCTCTAAAGACTTGTGGTTGGATTCTCTAAAAATCTGCATTCAAAATTTTCATTTTAGCGTTGACCGACTTTTTGACCCATTTTCATGTTGGTTATTTTTAAGTTTCCGATGAGTTGCCCAAAGATGTCTCCCAATTGGACTCCTAGATTCCATAACTTTACCAAATATTATCCGATTTCAAAGTGGCATACCTCTAAAGACTTGTGGCTCGATTCTCTGAAAATCTGCATTCAAAATTTTCATTTTAGCGTTGACCGACTTTTTGACCCATTTTCATGTTGATTATTTCTAAGTTTCCGATGAGTTGCCCAAAGATGACTCCCAATTGGACTCCTAGATTCCATAACTTTGCCAAATATTATCCGATTTCAAAGTGGCATACCTCTAAAATCTTGTGGTTCGATTCTCTGAAAATCTGCATTCAAAATTTTCATTTTAGCGTTGACCGACTTTTTGACCCATTTTCATGTTGATTATTTCTAAGTTTCCGATGAGTTGCCCAAAGATGACTCCCAATTGGACTCCTAGATTCCATAACTTTGCCAAATATTATCCGATTTCAAAGTGGCATACCTCTTAAGACTTGTGGTTGGATTCTCTAAAAATCTGCATTCAACATTTTCATTTTAGCGTTAACCGACTTTTTGACCCATTTTCTTGTTGATTATTTCTAAGTTTCCGATGAGTTGCCCAAAGATGACTCCCAATTGGACTCCTAGATTCCATAACTTTGCCAAATATTATCCGATTCCAAAGTGGCTTACCTCTAAAGACTTGTGGTTCGATTCTCTGAAAATCTGCATTCAAAATTTTCATTTTAGCGTTGACCGACTTTTTGACCCATTTTCATGTTGGTTATTTCTAAGTTTCCGATGAGTTGCCCAAAGATGACTCCCAATTGGACTCCTAGATTCCATAACTTTGCCAAATATTATCCGATTTCAAAGTGGCATACCTCTAAAGACTTGTGGTTGGATTCCCCAAAAATCTGCATTCAAAATTTTCATTTTAGCGTTGACCGACTTTTTGACCCATTTTCATGTTGGTTATTTCCAAGTTTCCGATGAGTTGCCCAAAGATGACTTCCAATTGGACTCCTAGATTCCATAACTTTGCCAAATTTTATTCGATTTCAAAGTGGCATACCTCTTAAGACTTGTGGTTGGATTCTCTAAAAATCTGCATTCAACATTTTCATTTTAGCGTTAACCGACTTTTTGACCCATTTTCTTGTTGATTATTTCTAAGTTTCCGATGAGTTGCCCAAAGATGACTCCCAATTGGACTCCTAGATTCCATAACTTTGCCAAATATTATCCGATTTCAAAGTGGCATACCTCTTAAGACTTGTGGTTGGATTCTCTAAAAATCTGCATTCAACATTTTCATTTTAGCGTTAACCGACTTTTTGACCCATTTTCTTGTTGATTATTTCTAAGTTTCCGATGAGTTGCCCAAAGATGACTCCCAATTGGACTCCTAGATTCCATAACTTTGCCAAATATTATCCGATTTCAAAGTGGCATACCTCTAAAATCTTGTGGTTCGATTCTCTGAAAATCTGCATTCAAAATTTTCATTTTAGCGTTGACCGACTTTTTGACCCATTTTCATGTTGGTTATTTTTAAGTTTCCGATGAGTTGCCCAAAGATGTCTCCCAATTGGACTCCTAGATTCCATAACTTTACCAAATATTATCCGATTTCAAAGTGGCATACCTCTAAAGACTTGTGGCTCGATTCTCTGAAAATCTGCATTCAAAATTTTCATTTTAGCGTTGACCGACTTTTTGACCCATTTTCATGTTGATTATTACTAAGTTTCCGATGAGTTGCCCAAAGATGACTCCCAATTGGACTCCTAGATTCCATAACTTTGCCAAATATTATCCGATTTCAAAGTGGCATACCTCTTAAGACTTGTGGTTGGATTCTCTAAAAATCTGCATTCAAAATTTTCATTTTAGCGTTAACCGACTTTTTGACCCATTTTCTTGTTGATTATTTCTAAGTTTCCGATGAGTTGCCCAAAGATGACTCCCAATTGGACTCCTAGATTCCATAACTTTACCAAATATTATCCGATTTCAAAGTGGCATACCTCTAAAGACTTGTGGTTGGATTCTCTAAAAATATGCATTCAATTGAATTGAAATACAAGTTTTCGTAGGAACAGACGGACGGACAGGTGATGCTGATCAAGAATATATATACTCTACTTTAGGGTCTCCTTTAATACGTTGCAAACTTCTGACTGAAATTATAAAACCCTCTGCAAGCGTATTATAACTCTTAGTATCTAAAAACAATTGTTAAGCAAAAGACTTGGATATCTGTTTGGGTTCTGCGACTGTAGCTCACCTTTCCGCACCAGGACCAGCGCCAGGACGCAGCTGGAGACGATGGCCGCCGGCGCGATGATGGCCAGCACCAGGGAGCCGCGCTTCTCCGGCGAGACGAAGGGCTCCGCCACCCGCTCGCTCTCCTCGCTGTAGGGACCCCAGCCGTGCTCCACACTGCGGGCCCGCACCCGGAAGAGGAGCAGCCGACTGGAGTGCAGGCTCTTCACGAGGCAGCTCAGCTCGGTGGTGTTGCAGAAGTCCAGCCACTGGTCCTCCACGACCACCGGCTCCTCGGCCCACGGCAGCTGCTCCACGGACCCCGACTCGCTGCGCCGCCTCCTGCGCCTCCTCCGCACGTCGCTCCGCGCCTGCAGCGCCTCCAGGTTGTACAGGGCGATGGGTGCTCCGTTGCCGCGCGCCGGCGTCCAGGTGACGCGGAACACCTCCTCGGCGATGTGCTCCAGCTGAGGCCGTCCCGGCTGACTCGGCGCATCGCCCAGCGTCTCGTACACCTCCGCGGTGCCGTGGTACAGTGGAGCCCCCGGCGTGGCCGCGTAGCCCAGGAGCAGGCGGCACTGGTAGCGGGTGCGCGGCTGCAGGGGCTCCAGCACCATCCTCGTGTGGTTCCCGGCCACGTTCCGGCGCAGCTGCTCGCCCGGCGACCGGCACTCCAGCTGCAGCGATCCCAGCGGATCCGGTGTCCCCGCCCACGTGAGACTCAGCGAGTAGGGTCCCAGTTCCAGGAGCTGCAGCTCCGGCAGCTCGGCAAAGCTGCGCACGTGCACTCGGCCACTGGCGTTGCTCTTGGTGGAGGTGGCGTGGGCCTGCACCCACAGGCGGTAGCCGGATCCCGGCCTGATCCCGGCCAGGCGATGGCTGCCCGCCACCTCGAGTCGCCGCTCCTGCTCCTCCTGGTCAGCCCCCTCCTCGTCCTCCTCGCCGTCCTGCTCCCGCTGCCAGTGCAGCGTGTAGTAGACACTCTCGCTCCGCAGCTGCTCCGGCGGCAGCCAGGTGGCCTCCAGTTCGCGGGGACTCAGCACGCGGACGCTGAAGTTCCTCGGCGCCGTGGGCGTGGCAGGGGCGGTGGTGAGCTCCAGCGGCGGCAGGACGAGATTGGGCAGTCCCAGCCTAGTTTGGTAGTAGCTGCTCAGGACTCCGCTCAAGCGATAGCGGGTGAAGGGCAGGAGATCGGTCACATTCACGCTTTCGCCGGCACTGAGCAGCCACTGGGCCAGGGGCTCCTCCTCCTGGCGCTCCCGGGATGCCTGCTCCCGGGATCCCTGCTCCTTGGCCAGGGTGAGGTTCAGTTGGTACCGCACCCCGGGAACGGGCAGGGCACAATCGCCGGAGGCCGTGATGTGGGGCAGGTGCAAATGACACCGCTGCTCCTCGCAGTCAGCGGTTCCCAGAAGGGGCTCTCCAGCCGGAGGCAGGAGCAGGCAGCTCCTCGCCGGATAGGCCTGGTAGTTGTGGGCCTGCAGCAGACGCGCCTCCTCCGGCTCCAGCTCCACCATGTACTCCAACTGCTGGCGCCGGCGACCGTAGGCCCGAATGCTCCAGTTCTTCAGGGCGTACAGGTAGCCCGAATCCTGGGCCAGCTGCCCGGCGATGGCCTCCTCACCCAGCAGACTCAGCTGGGCCCTCAACGCGCTGGCCGTGCACAGCTGGCGGGCCACATCGTAGACGCAGAGCTTGCCCTGGTTGTCCACGAGGTTCAAGGTCTCGGCACCGGGCTCCAGGCTGCCGGCATGAAGTCGGATCAGCGGCTGGGCCGTCGAGAGTTCCAGCTCCGAGCCATCGGTCAGGTTCCTGCCACGCAGCGACCCGTTTCGCGGAGCACCCGGCTCGTACTCCAGCCAGAGGAGCGAGCGCTGGTGCGGCAGGGCCACCAGGTCCTTCAGCAGACGACCCCTGGCCGTGCTCCACAGGCGGTCGCCCTGCAGGATCTTGCCCCCGAAGTGGCACAGGTCCAGGCGGTAGATCACCGCCGCCGGCGCGGTGGCAGTGGCGTCCAGTTCCGCCCAGTAGACCACCCGCTGCACCCAGTCCACGGCCAATGCCAGCACCTCGGCCCGCATCCTGGCCAGCTTGGCTGGAGCGGCGCCCGGCACGTGGGTGAGCAGCTCCACGTGCTCGTTGACCCACAGCAGCCGCTGCTCGCCCTCGATCACCGCCAGGTGCTCCACCGGACTGGCGGTGTGCACCAGTCGCCGTCGGTTGCGCGTGTCCAGGTCCAGTTCGCCGATGAACTCCGCGTTGGCGTAGAGCAGGCGCGGCACCGCCTGCACCTCGGGCGCCACGTGGAGGGCGTGGCTGGCGGCTCCGGCCGCCGCTCCTGTGGCGGCCACCCGCGCCTCCACCTGGAAGTGGTAGGTCTGGTCGGGCTGCAGCCGCTCCACGCGCGCCTCCAGGGCGCTCTGGTTCAGGCGCAGCTCCTCGTGCAGCTCCGCGCCCAGCCAGCAGCTGATGTGGTACTCCAGCGCCTGCACCGGCGCCTCCTGGCCCTGCTCCGGGGCATCCCAGCGGAGCAGGGCGCTCACGTTGGCCTCCTGGAGGGCGGTGGCCAGTCGCTCCACGAACACCCTCAGCCGCCGCGGTTGGGTGGGCGCAGCAGGGGGAGTGGTCAGCTGCACCCGCGTGGTCTGGCCACTCCGCCAGGCGGTGCGCGGCGTGATGCTGATCCTCAGCTGGAGCTGCGCCTGCGGCAGCTGCGTCAGCCGGGCGAAGGGGGTGGTCAGGTCCAGGGTCTGGAGCCGCTGGCCGAACTCGAGGAACAGGCGGTACGAGACGCTGTGGTTGCCGCCGGACGTCGCCGGCTGCCAGCGCACATGGAAGTCGTCCCAGTGGCCGTCGTCCAGCCGCACAGATTCCGGGCCCACGATGGCGGGGATTACCCCCTCATCCGGCGGCGGTAGTGGCTGCGGGTCCAGCAACTGCAGGGCGGAGGCCGGAGAGACCTCGGCCGGCGTGGGCAGCTCCATGAGGTCTTCGGGGGCGGCCAGGCGGACCAGGCGCGCCCTCCGGCCACCCCGCTCCAGCCAGAGGAGGGCGCCCAGGGGACGAAGAAGCTGCAGGCTGTGGGGCACGGCCTGGAGGCCACCCTTCATGTGGTGGAGCAACTGCAGCGGCTTCCCGCCGGCGGCCAAGGGGGCGCGGTAGAGACGCAGGGCGGCAGCCCCGCTCACCAGCCAGTAGAGCTGATCCTGCTGGGTATCGAGGACGAAGGAGCCGATGGTGCCCTCCAGTCCGTTGACGCGGTAGTAAGTGACCGATTCCGCGGTGGCGGCTCCGTGGCGGGAGAGATGGGAGCCGGTGGCATAGTAGAGGTGGCCCTGCCGCGAGTCCATGGCCAGGGAGCGGGCCTCGAAGATGGGCAGCAGCTCCCGGCTGCCCGACCACGGGTCCATCCGGACCACACAGTTCCTGGCCAGGTCCGCCCAGTAGACTCTGCCGCCGCGCCAGTCGTAGGCCACCGAGCCCACGTGCTGCACTGGCTCCGCCACGGGACAGCCCCACTGGCTGTGCACCAGGTTGACGCAGTGCAGCAGCCCCTGGCCGCTCACGTAGTAGCCCACGCTCTCGTTCACCATGGTCATGGGCCCGGGCAGCGGCTCCAGTCGCTCCTGCACCTGCTCCTCCAGCCCCTCGCCCAGCTCGTCGGTGGCGAGGAGTCCTCCCTGCCGGCTGGACCACCGCAGCCGATGCGGACCAAGTGGCCAGGTGCGGGCAGCCAGCGGAGCGGTCCACTCGCCCGTCTCCCCGTCCGCGTCCTTGGCCCTCACCCGCAGCTGGTAGAGATTGTCCGGCTGCAGGCGCTGCAGGCCGAAGAAGGGTCCCCGGATGTTCCGGATGCTGAAGGCACTTTGGCTGGCCACGTCCAGCACCTCCAGCTCGTAGCTCCAGCTGCGCGCCGAGTCCGCCGACTGGTAGGGATTGCGTTCCGGCTCCCTCCACGAGATCTTCGCCGCCTGGGCGCCCAGCAAGGCCTTCAGTCCATGCGGAGTGCCACCGGCGCGGGTCAGTGGCTGGCCATCCGGCACCAGGAGGACCGCGGCCCAGCAGTCGGGCAGGTTCCTCAGCGGCCACGACGCACTGGCTCCCTGGCCCTGCGGCTCCACCAGGATCAGCTGGCCAGCCGCGGGCAGGAGCAGGGAGTGACCCAGCAGCGCGAAGGTCTGCCATACGGAGGATGACGTCGGATGCTGGGGCAGAGGCAGCGGCTCCTTGAACCCGCCATCGTAGCTCATCTCCAGGAATCTGTCCTCCTGTGGCAACATCAGGCGGATGAGGAAGTGCAGCGGCTGGACAACGAACCAGCCCGGCTGCCTGATCCTCACCAGGCGGAAGCGCATCCGGCCGTGCAGGTCCTGGCGCCACAGGGCCTCCTCGTCCCTCCAGAAGATCCAGCCATTCAGGGCGTCCACCTCCAGCTGCTCCACCGCCAGATCGAAGGACTCCCCCGCCTCCTCGGCCCCTCCGCCCTCCAAGTCGGTGCTGATTATTTGCGATTGGGATTGGGCTGTGTCCATCGACTCCAGGGCGAAGTACAATCGGTGGCGCAGCCAGTCGAAGCTCACTCGGCGAGGCATCCACGGTCCACCGGAGACGTTGCCCAGATCCAGCTTCAGCTTTTGTGCCGGGCTCACCATTTGTCCCGAGTCGAATTTTAGGCTGCAATGGTGATAAATCGAAATTGTTAATTATAATTCTAAGCCATTTAAAAGAGGAAACTACACCACCCATCATTCAAAATTTTTTATGAAGATTTTTAACGTTGGCAGAAAATAATTCATTTCGAAATCTAGAGTGTAATATGTGCGCTTTACCGACATCATCAAACATTTATTATAATTCCCAACTAAAAGTAGAAAGTAGAACATTATTAATTTCGTTGGCATCAGAATTCTGAATTTCTAAAGGCCTCAGAACTAAATAAGAATTTATTCTTAGGCAATAACTAAAATAAATGAAATGAAAAAAAAGTTGATTTATTATACAACGACTTTAGTTTTTTATATGTTCTAAATCAATGAAGCTTTTTCGATTTTTCTGATAAATTGTTTGGACGTTCCTAAGGCAGGTTATCATATTGTTGTCAGGTTTTTATAAAATTCAAACCATAATTTTAAACTTAAATCAGACCCATTATGCTATGGAGAATAACAGTATTAATATAAAAACGACAAAGCTATATTTTATTTATTTTTATTTTTACGATTGTGCCTAAGAGAGCTATAAGATAGGTATACTTATCAGATCCGATTTATATACTAATAAAAGTAGAAATAAGACTTTTGCGGAAAGTTTTATTCAGAGACTACATGGCGTAAAAACGGACTGACAGTCATGACTAGATTAACTCTCCTGGTGACGCTGATTAACTTTTAACTGAAATTTTAACCGCAGCAAGGGTATTAAGGTATATATTTACATCCCATATCACGATTGGGCAATGCCACGTGTATCCTGCAGGTGGATAAAACAAAAAACTAATACCAGTTCAACATTTTTAAACGCGAACACAAATATATTTTGTTTTTATAATTTTCATTTCAACAAGGCCCATATTTGGGCACTGGTTTTTATTGTCTCGCCGATTTTTTTAGAATATGTGCTCGAACAAAACAGTTACTTCAAAAATGTTGTATTCGAGCTCTGCACATTTGCCCAAGATAAAATATTGACTCTCTTTGTCAATATTTGCAGCGATTTCATAATCGGGGCGGGCTCTTCCATTTTCCAGGGCAATCATGCTTGTCACGCACCAATTGCTGGTATTCAGTCCTTCGTTGCGATCCTCGAGGTCCTTGAAAAAAATGGGATAATACGGCTGGACAACCTTTGGCCACACAATAGTGCACCGCACTGGGTTGTTGCTGTACAGTCTGCGCACTTGGGACGCCAGATCATCAGGATCATCCACATCCATGGGCTCCACTGCGTCGTTGGACATCTTCAGTTCCTCAATTCAGATTAATTCAAAATTTAAGCGAAGCCTAAAGTGAATTTGACGACTAGACTCTAGACTGAACCAAAACGTTTTGAATTTTTATGAAAATAAAATCAAAGGTAGTATTGTTTTTTTTATACCCTTGCTGAGGGTATTCTAATTTTGGTCAGAAGTTTGTAACGCAGTGAAGGAGACGTTTCCGACCCAATAAAGTATATATATATCCTTGATCAGGATCAATAGGGGAGTCGATATAGCCATGTCCGTCTGTCCATCTGTTTCAATACCGTTTGCGAGCTCAGTTTAATAGCTAGCGATCTGATCAGTCGTCCTAAAACATGTGTACGCAGATCAAGTTTAAAAACCGCCCCGATCGGATGTCTATATCCTATAGCTCCCATAGGAACAATCGGATATAACTTGCAAGAATGGAAGATATTTCGCGCAGTGAAAAGCTATTAACATAAATCTTTCCAAATCTTATTTTTTTATGGATACCTTGATCAGGGTAAAAGCGCTTGGCGATCGGACATCTATATCCTATAGCTCCTATAGGAACAATAGGGTGAAATCGGTTAAAATTTAATGATTTTTAGGATATTTCGCACAGTATATAAGCTATTAACATAAATCTTTCCAAATCGTATTTTTTTATGCATACCTTGATTAGGGTAACAGCGCGTGACGATCGGGCGTCTATATCCTATAGCTCCCATAGGAACAATATACCTTATTCCTTTCGCAACTTTTTCATTTTTAGCAATTTCGGCAAAGTCTGCAAGGGTATTAAAACTTCGGCTTGCCGAAGTTAGCTTCCGTCCTCGTTTTATATAAAAATTCAATGCCAAAAATCTATTACAATCGATTAATATAAAAAGTAGGGAATCTACAGGTTAGATTAGCATCACATTTACTAGCACACTTTAAAGTTTTTAAAAGTATTTTATTAGTAAGAAACTATTTTAAAATTCTTTCTTTATTTTAATCTTTATTAACAGGGGATGTTTAATAACAGTGTAATTGCCATATATTTCGCCAATAAATCCGTTTAAAAATATCTTAGAATGCCTCGTCTATCACTGCGGCTTAAAAATGGTTGCCCCACTGACAAAACATTGCATTTTGACCCATCTCCGATTCATTTTTAGATTATATTTTATATATCAAATGATGTTTACCTGCACAATTCCCCATGCACGTTCAGCAGCCACAACTGCTGATCCCGCTGTGACCAGGCCACATCAGCCAGTTCCTCCTGGGACTGGTAGATCATCGAACTCTCGCCCGCCGGCTCCAGGGATTGCCACATCACAGCCCTTCGTCCGGCCAGCAGGACACTCTCAGTCAGATCCTTCACGGGCCTATCATCCCGGGAGGGATGCGTTTCCACAAAGCCCTTGGCCAGTGGACCCTCGCCCTGCTTGTTGAGCATCGTCAGTTCCAGAGTATAGTTGCTTCCCGATTGCAGTTGCGAAAAGATGAAGCTACCTCGCCCCGCCGGAACCAACTAAAAATAGAGAAAAAACCCAACATCAGCATTCACTCCAAAAAAGAACTTAGAAATCATTTGAAATCAAGAAGAGAAGCTTATATACTTGCAGCTGTTACAACTATTCAATATTCTGCATTTCGATTTTGATGCCCAAAGACAATGAAGCTAGTTTGATTTTCGTATACATTTTTTTTTCGATCGTTCCTATCACATTGTTCCTTTTCCGATTTTTAGAAAAGTAAAACAGTTATTTTGAAATCGTTAAAAATTAGCATTCCTCGAAGTATATCGGTATACGCTATACGTTTCCCTGATTGTTCCTAAAGCGGTTTTATGATATAGTCGTCCCATTTTTTTAGACCGTAATTCTGAAATCCCAAAAATCTCTTGAAGTATGTAACTTATATAAATCTGCAAAAAAAAAAAAACTTTTTGCATAGTGTCATCGACATTGTATTACAATTGAGTTTGCATGGAAACGGACAGACGGAAGGACTCCCCCAGGTGCTGCTCATCAAGAATATATATATATACACCGTTGCAAAATTTTGACTGAACTTATAACACATAACACATCCGGAAAGGGTATAGAAAAACAAACAAATAGAATAAAGGGATGGATGGCTCACCTGCTCAGCTGTGAGGTTTCCTTGGGAGGAACTTAGGCTCAGGCGGTATCCTTCGAGGGGTCCGTTGGTGAATCGGCCCGGATGCCAGTGGACTGCCAGGTGGGTGTCGTCCAAGCCCAGCAAGTGCTCGATGACCGGAGCCGAGGTGGGCGCGCCTTCGGGGGGCGTTTGGTAGGCGGGCGTGGCCGGGGAGTACAGCACCTCGTCAATGTTCTCGCCAAAAGGCATCTCGAAACGGAACTGCAAAGCGAAACGGAATAAATTATGTATATAATTTATACAATAAATCAAAAAAGGACAAAGGAAAGAGGCGCTCTAAAAGGTGCCTATCCACACTAAATTATGATAATTAAGAGCGCTGCACCAAAGGAGCCCCAGTTTCCCTTTGTTTTTCAGAGCAATTCGAACAATTTTCGTTTTTCAAGTCACAGTATCTTATTTACGAGTAGTAAAATGTTGTATTTAAAGGATTTAAAGCAACTTATAAAAACTTGTGCAACAAATATTTAACCATGGAGTATCAGTCTATGAGCAACCAACATGTCGGATTAGTAATCTTCACATTTTTTGCATTTTTCAGATTTTGATATTTTTTAGTTCATTTTTTACTTCCCTCCTTCACCATAATATAATATATAGATGATATATAATTTAAATACGTTGCTAAATAAACTGAATGAATTTCGAAATAATAAATAATAATTATTATTTGCATTGCCAGGAAATAACTGCCTTATAAAGGGTGTATATAACTCCAATGCGACTCCAGTTTCAACTTACCCTGTACTGGGTGTAGGGTATGAGGGTCTCGAGAATTTCGCAGACGTAGTACTCGTCGCAGTCGTAATTTGCCAGGTTGAACCAGGCGCTGGCCCGCGACGCTCCAGGTGCATCCGGATCTTCCTGGTCGAGATCCTGCTCGAGATCCTGCTCCTCGCCGTGGTGGTCCACGTACTGGTACTGGATGTTGAAGGGCCGGCTGGCCAGGTACTGCTCCGGGAAGTGCATCGCCCAGCGGATGGTGAGGGGCGTGGCCTGTCCGTCCGCCCGCGGCGCCCGCTCCAGCTGCGGCTGCGTCCGCTCGACCAGGTGGCTGATGGCCAGCCGCTGGAGGTGCCAGTAGTCCCGCTGGGCCATCTCGCAGGCCGAGATGCAGGGCATGTCGAACGGGTAGAACTCCAGCGACAACTGCGGGCGGGCCAAAAGGGGAAACATCGATCGGGGTCAGACTGGATCTGGGGATTTTTGGTGGAGGTGGAGTTGGAGTTGGGGGCTGGGGGCTGGGGAATAGGGATCTAAGATGGGGATCTGGAATGGGGATCTGGGATATTGGGCTGCCACTTACGCAGGCATCCTGGCAGGACTCCAGATCCTTGAGCGCGCGATACCACTGGGCACAGCCTTTAGTGCACTGTGAATAGATATCCGGAAATTATAAATATATAGAAACGTTTTCAATCCGATTTCATAGATTTCTATAATCTATCAATGAGGCCTTGTTGTGGGAAACCCGCCAAATATATGTATTTTATTTTACTTTTTTTATAAGTTAAGGATATAATGGATACTCATGATACAATATTGATTTATTTTTAAAAAATAAGCTCCTTTCAAATATTAAAAAAGGATGAAATGAATGTCGATCAATTTGTAATTTATGAATTGGAGAATATTTTAAAAAATAAAACTAATGATCGGATATAAGAAAAACCACGAAAATTAAGAGTTGTTAAAAATATGCAAAGATTTTTCCATCATAACTCGATTGTGGTTTATACTTAAATATAAAATATAACGATTTTCACTTATAACTGGCCAATAATCCTAATGAATAACACATTGAGCATTGTTTAATATTGATGACATGTCAATTATGGCGTAAATGGCACAAATTAAGGGCATCAATGAATATACCCTATACGGCATTACAATAAACAGGTTTCTTCTGCTATTAGACTAAGTTTATTCTAAGAAAAATATGAAAAATAAAAAAAAAATAATGACCTTTGTCCCGATAGAAGCTGTACGCGTTGTAATTTTATTTATTTGTTTTGAAAATCAAATAAATATAATTCAGGGCTGCAAACAACAAATCCTTATATTCTCTTGCTATAAATTTGTATCTCATACTTTATATATTTTACGTAAATGAAAAGTACATATCTAAAGAACTGAATAAAAATAAAAAGAAATTAAGGGCTATTATGGCTACTTATGTTATCTAATGATAAACAAATGAGAATGCTTCTGAGTAATGTGCAAAGAAGTCACCATGATAACTTAGGCCCAGTAATAAAACACCCACTCTCTGATAACTACTCTAAAATTGTTCTCATTCCGAGCTCGATTAGTCAGTTATTTAAAAGTCTAACGTTAGACATTTAACTTCGCACAAATTCCGGCTGTTAGCCATTGTTTAATTACACAATTGCACACAAGCAATGCAAGCAGCTCGTTAAATTGATCGTGAAGTATAAATTGGCCCGACAGGATAGTCCTGCCATGATCAGCATTATGCCAGCAAGGAGTCCACTGAGAAAACGGATGGGGAACGAGCCGAGGACCAGAGCAAGGACTGCCCAAAGGGAGCCCCTCAAGATCCTGTTCGATGGCTTCCTCAGTTGTTTGGAGAAGGAGAACGACTGGCAGCGGTTAATGCACTTTGAGTTCGTGACCAATTGATCCCGAACAGAAGTGGTTAACCCGGAGCAAGAAAAGTGGTATCTGGTTACCCTCGACTATCCCATTTCATCCCTGGCTCCCTGGAGTCTCCCACTTACTCGTGTTTTGTAGCACTTGTCGCTGTTGTCCGCCTTCTCGCACTGTATCCCAAACTCGTCCAGAAACAGATCCTCCTGAAAAGGGAAGAGAATTACAAAACAATGTGAAGGCAATTAGTATATGTGGGCTTATTTTTTTGGCTCTTGGGAACGGAAGTTGCGGTAAGATTGTATGGGAAAATGCTGAATGACCACATATATAACAATAGCAATGACAATATAAATGCGAATTCTGTGCCAATGCCAATGTTTCAATTATTTAGATCAATTATCATTGGGGAGCAGGGAAAGATTTCGCGATTCGCGCACAGCATAAACAGAAATACACTCTCGATTAACACTATAAATTTGTTTTTGCACCGAAATAAGATTTCCGAAAACCGCTGAAGCTGCATTAATTTGATAGAAACAAGTTTGCCACGTGAGCCATGGAGATGTCGCGAGTCGAAATCTATTTGCATACCCTGGACTTTGGTCAGCCAAGGGTTAGACGTACCGGCTTAAAACGGGGTCAAACAAGCTAAACTTGAAACTTTGAATAAAAAAAAGCAAACTACTCGCAAGGCATTGAAAAAACAAACATGCCCAAGAAGCTAGTATAAAATGGCATTTAAAAGTTAACAAACTGTAACAGAAATTCAATTGTGGCCAAATGAGAATTTATATTATGCAAAATCGAACATAAATAACAGCCGCTATTTAAACTTTAGTTGATCGACATAAAAAAACATACGCTAACATTTGTCTGGAATTCTTGTAAGTTTTGAATTAATATTTCGCAGCCTAAAAAATCTTTAAGATACAAAAATTTATTTAAATGTTTCACTCATTGAAAGTATATTTATAAATTTTAGATGATGATCTTAATAGAAAGTCAAGTCTAGTTATTAAAGGCATCAGACATATTAATGGAGTTATATATTACTATTATTATAAGCATTATAATTACTACTATTACGCTTATCAATTCAATCGACAGAATCAAGAAAAGGATTTAAAATTATTATTAAAGTTAACTGATTGTACGAATATTTTTATAACAATTACGCTTATGAAGTAAATAAAACACTTATAAAAAGGCATTATAAATATTATTCAAGTTAACTGATTGTACAAGCTTATAAATAAAGCAAATCCCATTTAGTATATAGTTTGGATACATGTTTCTTGTGAGAGAAAACTAATTTCTACTTCAGCTCCAGCCTGGAAAGTGCACAATCCTTTTAGGTGTTCCCCAAATGAGAAACAAGCACTTAAAATACAATTTAGCGCATTTGGAGCTGCCCCCTGTCCCCCTGCCCCCCTGCCCACTGCACCAATTACCAGCTCCTTAAAATGACCAACTTTGTTAATTGTGTTGCCTTGGCTTGCTAAATGGACTAGTAATTACCAAGGGATTTCCCCTCACGGACACGGATTTCTCCTATTCAACCACTCACACAAAGTAAGTATTTTCCTGGTGTTTGTACTTTCCTTTTTTCGCACACGCGTCAATTTAATTTAGTATTCTACGTAATATTTTATTAATTTAGCTTGATTGGCTTTTTCACAAACAGAAATAGCTCTTGAGAACGAGAGTTCTCCCCTTCTTAAATAAAAAAGAGAGAAATCCCGAGAAGAGGACTGGAGCCTAAAAACATGCGCGGATCAGCAGAAGGGGATTGGGGGTTCAAAGTCCCCCTTCCCCACCCCGTTGGAAATTGACATTACAAATGGTATTAAAACAGTGGGCTATAAAAATTAGTTCTGAAACGAAACCCCCCTCCCCCCCATATCCAAATCCTAGATCCGCCACTGCCCAAGACTAATTGGCATTGGGGGTTTTCATGTCGTCATTTCTCATCTTTTGTTGTACAATTTCTATTACATTAACTCGGAAACCGACCTACACACACAACCGCACACACACACACACACACACTCAAAAGGGGGCGGGGCGGCGGGGGAAGGCCGCCAGACTGGGTTGGTGTGTTATTGACACCATTATTGTGCAATTGTTGTTGCTGCCGTCAGGCTCTGGAGAAGCAAGCCAAAGAAATTACACTTGTGTGCTGATGAAGAGGCAGGCACACACAGCACCGCTTAAATGTATAGTATTTCAAATTGGCAACCAATGGAATCTAATTAAAGCTGTTTTAAATACACGCAGATAACATTACTATTTAATAGATCTGGCAACCCCTCCGGAACTAAGCCACACCAAATAGAGCGATTAACCGTTACGTTGATGAAAGTTTTTTTTAAGAAAATATATAATATTATTAATAGATAACATTTTTAATTTATTCCAAATGGAAAGGACTTGCAAAAACGAAAGCCATAAGTTGTTGCTATTCAAAAAGGAAAGTATTAACAAATTTCTTAGTAGATATTATCGATAGCATAATCACTTTAATAAATTTATTTTCAATAGATCTGCTAACCAAAGATCATAAAAAATGATCGATTTTCAAAACAGACTTATTAATTGGACCTCAATTGTAGGGCTACCTACATATGGGTACACATAAATTGGCTAAACAGTTTGCTCACTCTCGATTCCAGCAAGGCAAAACATCTTAATAAAATTTCTTTTGTTCGCATTGCCTTTCTAGGTTAGTCGAAATCCAGTTACCGGTTGAATGTGGAAGCTTTGTCTAGTTTGTTCCAGGGATAAGTGACCAACTTAAATGATAAACTGGAGTCATGACACCAACTCGAATTCGAAATCCAAAATTAAATTAAAACGACCATAATTAGCTGATATTTGAGATTTGCACACATTTTCCATTTCCAAAGCATATTTGATGTGCCCATTTTCATCTCAATGTAAAACAATGGTTATGATGTGGAGAAATAAAGACAACAAATATTTGTTCATACATATATGTACAAATCCTATTCACTGGCAGTAGCATCTCATGTTCTAGTCAGCTAATTGATATGATTCCCAGATACTGCTCGGTTATCATTAATTTAAATTGGCGATGCGCTGGTGTAACTGTAGTGTCAAATTGAGGATTACTGAATGGCGCTCTCCTAATGAATGAAGTGCAATCCGAGAAACTGATTAACATGCAGCCCACTCCCATTACACACCCTGCGATAATGCAGTAATTACTGTCAGTCCATTTGCACAGAGAAATGTGTGGATGTAGAAATGCTGACACACTCCCATGCACAAAAGCTTATACTTGTACATTTCAATAAATAAATAGCTTTATACGGTTGAGCTTCACGTAATAACTATTACCAATGGGAAAATAATCATCATTTATTTATCACTTCTTGTTTTTACATGGGTTAGGGCTGACATTTTAATCATAAACGTTCTTTGCTTTGTTAAGCTGCTAATGTAAACAGTTAAAATGCAAACCAAAACGGCTTATAAACATTTGATCCATATATCCTAAGCCCAAAAGCATTTGTATTTTCTCAATCTTTGACCCAAATGGCATATTAAAGAAAATAACAATGAATTAAAAAATGTAATCTATCTCTGTTAAATTTTAAGGTTTTTTTTTGTACCAGCATTAATTAAACTTTAAACTCTAAATTAACAAAAAAAAAAGTACGTAAGACTTTAAGGACAAAGAAATATTTTTCATTTGATTTGTTTCCACATAGCCCGTTTTGCAGACGTTTCAATACAATAGCAATTGAAATTACAACTTAATAACCCTAATAAGCTGCAATTAATACATGAAAAATTGTGAGCCCGAGTTGAACACATGCAAATTGAAGATGTTTTATTAAGCTATGCGGAGGATTCGAAAAGGAGCATTTATAAGAGGGACATGAGTGAAATATAGAATTGAACTAAATTAAATATTGGGCCGGCACTTTGGGTGCCATGATAGCTGTACGAGCAGGCGACATCGCTCAAATGCCAGATAAAACACACCCACTCAGTATGCAAATTGCAATAAAGCCGAGGAGCCGAGGAGGTAACCCAAATAATGAGAAAGATTCTAATCCCGATCTGGTGAGCGAGTTGGCCTGCCAGTGCGGCAAATTGGAATGTCAACTCTGGCACAGCATTTCATCCAGCCCACAGTGGCAATCACCGACTTGACGATCTTCAATTAAACATATCATTTAATTAGTGCGTGCAAGTGAGCGATTAACGGCCAGCGAACAGTTGGAAAACTCACTCAAACCAACTGACTAATCCAGCCAGTAAGTGTCTGAAAAGAGTTGACCTTTTTATTTTTATTTATTTTTGGTTGGCGTTGCACTTGTTCAGATTGTTTTCTGATTATATCGTTGACATATGCAAAACTAGAAGTAAACATTTCGTACTCCAAGTGTCGCTTTTTTGGTGACATGATAGATGAATGCTGGGTTGGCCCTGAGGCACTGCATGTTTTGTTTTTACTTTTTTGTGCAACTGTCATGTTTAGTGGGGCACAAAAACATATATTTCTCCAACTATTTTGACACTGTCACGGAATAACCATAATAATACATCTCAGAAACTACTAGGTGAGATATGTATAACTAAAGAAGAGAAAGATATTGCAGAATATTAGGTAAAATGACTGTAATAAAAATAAATAACTTCTATTGAGTTATCCAAAAAGCACATATAAATAACCGTCTAAAGTAAAAACTATTCTGTTTTTCTTATTTAAAATCCGTATTTTAGATTGACATACCAATAGTTTTTGATTAAAGATGGTGACATAAATTAAAACAAGTGCTACAAAAAAACATGGTTAGGGTTTAGGTAAAAATCAGTTTTACCTTCTTTGAAACCTTTCCTTTGGGTTAATTAAATAACTAAAGCAACCCAGATTTTCATTAAAAAATTAGACTAAATTCAAAGTAACCACAATCACTCACCTCAACGATGCACCGCTGGACACAGTCGCGAGTGACCCGCTCGAGGACCACTCGCTCGTCGACTCCGTGCTGCTCCTCCGGCGGATCCGGATCCGGATCTGGAGCTGGGGGTGGTGGTGGACCCACCGTGCTCTGTGCCCGGCTGCTGATGGCGATCCCCTCCACGACGATCGGAGGTGCTGCGGCGGCGTGCTTGTGCCAGATGGCCACCTTCTCCACCACGTCGCTGTCCAGTTTGGGACGGAGCAGGCCCATTTGGTCCTTCATGCCGGGCTCCGGACTCTGGTGGACCGAGTAGTTGTGCGACCGGCAGACGTCGCAGCAGATCGAGAGGAGGATCAGCAGCAGGAGGTTCACGATCAGCACCGTGGACACGCCACCGTGGCCGTCCTGACCGCTGGCCAACTGGCGGCCCAAACGGGCCAGTTGCTGGCGGAGATCGAAGGTGCTGCTCTGCTGGTGGACCACAATTTTGCTGGGCGACGCGGAAAGGGAGGAAGGTGCCGGCTGGTTTATGTGGGTGGTGGACATCTTGGTGTTCACATTCACCGCGATCTTCACATTAAAGCTAATGTTCAGTCTCCTCATGGGAGCCGAGCTGTTTTGCTGTTTGTCCTCCTGACCCGGCTGTTGATCTACATTTTGGTTCCAAAACATAGTCATGGAAGCGGGAGCTACTCTCGACCTTCACCCCGAAGGCACCGTCGTTTGGTTGGGCTCAAATTTCTATCTGTCACTCGATTACTGTTGTTTCTTCGGTCGAATTTACATTTTAACACCGCATTTGACTGAAAACGAAACTAAAAACAAACAGAACCAGAGTCAGAAGAAGAAAAAGAGAAAGAAAAAAAAGTGGGAACACAAACACAATTTAAAAATCAAATCTCAAAGTCAAAAAACCAATTCAATCGGAAATGTGAAGTGCATAAGCTAATTTCCATGTTATGTAAATTAAAAATAAAAAAAACAACGGGAACGTGTCTGAAAAGTTCATGAAACGTAAGTATCAAATACCCTATCATTACTCTTTTAATTTTCTTGTTCTAATAAAAAATATGTTTAATATTTTGAAAAGACAAAACATAAAAAAATTATGTTATTAACATTTTATATTTTTTAAGCTGTCTACATTTTAATAAACAGAATAAACGCTACAAAGACATAAAATATGAACAAAATTGAGGGCAGAAAAACAAGTTTAGGTAATTCAAAAACTGAAGATGAAGCTCTAATTAAATTACTGAATAAATTGAGATAAAATTTGGTCATTTCATTATTTTGAACACAACTGTAAAACCTATTAACTATTAACAAATATTTATAATATGTTATTATACCAACTTTTGTCAAATTAATAGGAACACTAGTACTGTATTTAGAATTTGCCGTTTGTACCCCTGCAAATTGCCATTTCACTGACATTTTTGTCAAACCCTTAATCATATTATAATTACAGTCTTCATTCTTCAAGTATTGTTACAACGATTAACAATTAGTAGTCATTTTAAATTGATGGTTGCTGGAAAAATGAATTACTTTGATTACTTGTACTTTTTATTTTACTTTAAGCATACAATTAAGACTTTACTTTACCTTATACTAAGCCACAAAATTTGTACTAAACTTTAAAGCATGATACTAACACCGTACGTCTCATTTTATTATACTTAACAAATTTTATTTTTCAGGAATAGAAACACTGTTCGTTTGCATTTGTATTATTAATTTTTTAGATGAGCGTAACACATAAATTGAACGAACTTTAATTAATTTTAACAAATGTTATTGTCTGTGCTTGCAAATATCTGCCATCATTTAAGCTATTTGAAACAATAGGACAACAAAACAGTTCCCCAAGTCAATATACCCCTTCCAATCGATTAGATAAATCGCAAACAGCTCATTTCGCATGCGGCAGCTCAAAGGTTCAACGAACACTCTCAACTCCAAGCGATGAGCCAACGATTCCGATGATCTCGAATGGTGTTAAGGAACTTCGAAACTACCCCTCCCCTCGGAACCCATCCAGCTTACAGGGCTCATCCACAGGACATGGCCATGGTCCAATTAATATTCAGTCTGCATAATCAGCTAGCCAAGCGACAAGTTTCAATTAACATGGCGTAATGCATGGCCAATAAGTCACGCCCCCTTTGACGCCCACAACAACAGCGGCCATAACAATAACAACCCCAACAAGAGGAGCGGCCATAACAAATTTATCCTCATTAAGATGCAAACACACTGGCCGGACGGAATATAATCGTGCGGAGTCTCTTTGAAAAACGGAAATCCCTTTTCCCGCAAGTTCATCGCAGAGCACAAAAAATAATAGTTAATTGCACTTTAATTTCATATTTACCAGATAAACAACAACACTGCTCACTGAAAATGTTAATTAAATCGCTCGCCGAACAGACTAGACCGGGGAAAAAAAGCAAAATAAATTGAAAATAAAATTGAATAAACCGGGCGAAATAGTGAAAACATGAAAGATCACAGCGGATTAATTGCATAAAAGTTATTCAGAAAATGTATGCAAATGCCGGCCAACGTTTTGGCATTAATTAGTTGAAGGGGGAGGCTTGAATATATACTATACTATTATATTCATCGACCGTTGGAAGTCAAAAAGTCACCGGATAACCAAAGAAACGGAGTGTTGGAGCCCTAAACTCTCACCCACATTTCGTTCAGCTCGTTGTTGAAGTTGTTAAGCGCAGTTGACGCGGTTTAATTCAATTTATTGTTGATTTGAGCAGCTTAATTGCATTTTATTGTTGCATTTGTTGCCTCGACTTAACAGCTACTACAGCCACTTCACACACACACACACTGCACGAGAAAAAAATACGATCGATTCGAATATGGCATTAAAAAAATTCAAATTTCATATATGTACTTTGTGTCAAACATTTGGTATCGTGGAGTATATTAATCTTAATATATACATATATCTGTATGCCTTACTCGACGGAATGTCGCAGATATTATTATTTAAATTTATTATCTGTACATCATGTCAGACATTTGTTATCCAGGAGTGTGTCAAATTGAAAGTATCCCAGAAACATGCGTTCCATGTGCTGGGAGAACAAGAGCGCATAGTAACTCACTTGACGAAATGTCGCAAATATCTGAATCGGAACTTATGAGCGGCTTCACGTACTGCGCAGTGGCGCGATCGGAGCAGAACTGATTTGCCGGCGAGCGACGGGTTTTAACCAAGCCCCAAGTCCAAGTCCAGTCCAACCCCCAGGTTGAGAATCGGAAACCGAGTACAACCGAAAGCGAAACCGAAACCGAATCCGAAACCCGAATCCGAAACCCAAACCGAGACGAGCTGAACGGAACCATCCGAGAACCCATTGATCTTCGGCGCTCTTTTTCGGTGACGCAGCCACGATCACGTCACGGACAAGGGCAACCCCTAAACTGGATGTACATATGTACATATGTATGTATGTATGTATGTATGTACATACAACGCGGTCGTAGTTCCCACTCTTTTGCTCTTCGGATCAAAGGTCAACAATTGCGGCTAATCGATTGGCGAAGTGGGGCTCCAAATACCCTTATGAATAACAATTTAAGTTTATCATATGCACATATGTACATACATATCTAAGGTACACTTGTTTCCCTATTTTATTTCTTTGGAAACATTTCTATGAACACTTTGCTACAAAGGCTCCAACTTTAATATTTCCATTTATTCAAAAAAAGATAAACGTAGGCCTTGAATATTTGAAGGACAGTAGAATGAATTATTATAATATTTTTCTATTTTCTGAGTGTATATGCTCGTTTATTTATCTTATTTATCTTATGTTTTTTTTGTTAGGGTATTTCTATTGCTTTATGTCGGAAATCTTTAAATAAACGCGGCCGTCATACGCAATAAATTAGATCCGGTAATATTGGATGAAATATAATATATCTGGATGAAGCTTTACCAAAAATCGGTTTGTTTGCAAAAAGTAATATAAGATAGAAGGCCAGTTGGGGACGACTATATTATATAGGTCTTATAAAAACAACCGTCAAAATACATTTCAAAAAACAAGAAAGGAAAGCTAACTTCGGGCGGAGCCGAAGTTGATATACCCTTGCAGAATTCTCTATAATAATATTCTCCAAAATTATTCCTATGATGCATTAATACTCATAAAAAATCCAAACTTCCTAACTTTAAAAACACCAAAGTTATGGCATTTCGAATCGTTCAGTTATATGGCAGCTATAGGATATAGTCGGCCGATCCTTATGAAATTTGGTAGGTCGGATTGATTGGCCAAATATAAAACCTATAGAAAATCCCAACTTTCTAACTTTACAAACACCAAAGTTATGGCATTTCCGATCAATCAGTTATATGGCAGCTATAGGATATAGTCGGCCGATCCTTATGAAATTTTGTACGTCGGATTGATTGGCCAAATATAATACCCATAGAGAGTCCCAACTTCCTAACTTAACAAACAGCAGAGTTATGGCATTTCCGATCAATCAGTTATATGGCAGCTATAGGACATAGTCGGCCGATCCCGGCCGTTCCGACTTATATACTGCGTGCAAAGGAAAGAAGGGTGTGTGCAAAGTTTCAATTCGATAGCTTTAAAACTGAGAGACTAGTTTGCGTAGAAACAGACAGACGGACAGACAGACGGACAGACGGTCATGGCTATATCAACTCAGGAGGTGATCCTGATCAAGAATATATATACTTTATAGGGTCGGAGATGCCTCCTTCACTGCGTTGCACACTTTTGACCAAAATTATAATACCCTCTGCAAGGGTATAATAATAACTCTGGTGTTTTTTAAAAGAGGAAGCAAATTATAACTTTTTTTAACACAATTTCTGAATTACGGTTCTCATTTTATAAAAGTCAGTCGACTTTATCATAAAACAGCCATGAAAACGATCAAAAAATTGGCTTCATTGTTTTTAAATTAATACGCATAAAAATCGTAATATAGTTTGCCGAACTTTGCTTTCTTGTTTTAAAAAAGAATTTTTAAACCTAACCTTTTCAGCTGAGCTACGAATTACATCATTATTAAATTAAACCAATTTATACCTTTTGAATATACCCCAAAACTGGATGCAGTTCACTCTCTATTGGCAAATCGACTTGCTTGTCCGCTTTTTGCAGTTATATTCCCCAACCAATAAACGTGATGGGAAATTTTTTTGAATTGTTCAGCTTATTCACTATGTACACTTCTAACTAAGCCCAAACATTACTTTTAAATTGATTATTGAAGTTAATTGATCACATGCAAAAGTTGACGCTCACAAATAATTAAATTCAATCAGGAATATAGCCCGACAAAAGAGAAAACAAGTCATCAAAAGCTCTATGAGAGATAAATCGCTCTAAATGTTTTCCTTTGGAAAGTGAACGAAAAGTAAAAGCTTTAAACAAAATTAAAGTCACAAAACAGAATACTTTCTTATATACTGGATTTCTGGATACATTCTTAAATTAAATATTTTTTCATAAAGATATGTCTAACACATTTACTTTTCTCAGTCACTTTTTGTTTATAATAAAGAGCAAAATTAAATGATTAATAAAATTACTTATTTTATTTAGTCAAGATACAATTTAACTAGGCATATTAATTACAAAGGCGACCTGTGGATACTTTCCCAAATTACGACTACGACAGCTTTTGGGATCAGCTAAAAGATCCGTATAAACCTCTTTAAGCCAATAAATATGCAATAAATCGTTTTTCTAGCCATTCGAAACGCAAAAGAGTATGCTACTTTTTTGGCCATACATATTTGCAAATGATGACTCACTTCGCGTAAACTGGAAGCCGCAAATTTGAAGCTAGAGAGGAAGGAAATGTAAAGGGTTCTGTGGCAGTTTCCCTTTTCAGCCGGAAAAGATGGCCCACAGACATCCAAGCTGCACTCGTGCGCGCATTTCTTCACAGAATTTCACGAAAGGTTGTTGAAGTCATCGAATTTGCTCTAATCAATTGAAAAATTCTAGAATTGATTAGGCGACGCACTGATTACCCACTTGAGATGGGATGAGGAATTATCTCCCCCGGCGATTCTGAATGAATCCGCTTACAGGTTACGTGTTATACATTTATTACACAGACAGCCGTCACGTGGGAATCGGATTGCCGTAGTTTTTAAAACGGGAAACTCCCGGAAATATCTAATAAACTGAATCTATTTCATTCTCATTTCATCATGGATATGGAGTTTATATCAAAACTACAAACTGTTACTGATGATAACAAGAGGCCCTTTTTTTTGTTATTGGAACCGATAATCCAATAAACTTAATCTATTATTCGAATAAACTTATCTATTAAAGACACTCGAGAACAAACTTTAATATAATGTTAACATGGGACTTCAGACTAGTCCAAAGCAATTATCATCAAATAAAACATTATCAAGAAAATCGTAACAAGTTAAATTAAAAGTATAAACAAAATAAAATCCAGTTTTTTCTCATGTATTAAAACCCTAGGAAATATTTTTCAAAAGTTTGAATATTAAATTTGCTATAAAAATCAAATCGCATTTACTAAGAATCTTTATTTTTATCAATTTTCGCAGAAAATCATAACAAAAATATTTCCAAAAAAAAATCCCTAAAAATTAACAGAGCGATCTTATCCCATATTAATATACACACACTTTGCTAAATAACCTATAAAATACATAAAAATATTAAACTATGGAATTGCTTTCGCTCCAGTGGTGAATCATCCGTGCCCCAGTGCCCGACTGTCTGCATAATGGCTTTAATGGCATTGGATGATCGACGGAGCCAGCGGTATAGCGATCCAAATCAAAGCATAAACACATTCTTAAAATTGAACTGTATAAATGGTTCGGCATCAACTTATGTTTATACAAATAAACAGCAGCGGTCGAAATAATATATGTGGTTTTTAATAATCAAAAATAATGAATAGATAGCAACTTAATTCATTCCTAAACAATCGAAACACCCCTTTAATAAATTTATTGTTTAAAAATTTCATTTAAAATTGTAAATATATTAACTCCGATGTTAGTTCTAGCAACGCAATCAATATGAGTTTATTTTTAGTTTCACAATAACATGATTCTAAGGAAAATAACATTTTAAAAGAAACTAAAACTTTTGCAATCGAAGCTATTTTTCTGAGCCCGTTCATGGGGGATATTTGTACATATTCAGACTGATAGACAGCAGGTCAGACGGACATATGTACTTACACACACACAATGTACCGATATTTGTTTCTTTTTGCATATTGCGATGAATGGGTGTTGTTGTTCCTTTTGTTATTGCTGTGGGGCGATAAGCACGGCATTGTAAGGTGCGTTTCATAGCTGTTGTTCACTAAATTTGACTAAAATAAATGTTGGGAATATACCCATTAACTGCAGTTTTATATTTAAAAAAACCAATCACATTCATTTCTTTATGAGTAATAAATCAAACAATATTTAAATAACAAGTAACATTTTCATTTTTGAAAGGAAATAATAATATTAATAATTAATATTGACATTCAACCAAAACTGCTTTATCTTACTACATCAGGTTGCACAAGCAGAAATGGTGGATAAAAATAACTTAAAAGTATGCTCCAAAAAATCAAATGAGTTAGAATCACTTAAAATTTATTTTTATAAGCTTTTTGGTACTTAGACATGATTGTAAAATTTCGTTTCGATATCTATGAAACGCACTGTTAATAGGCCTGTACGCATAAACATTCAGCAGATCCGAGTAAAAATTGTTAAATTTATTGTAGAGAAAGCGCGCAAATGTCGTAAGTGTGTGAATTCATACAAATAAACATAGTACCTTGTGTTTTTTTTATATAAAAATGAAGGAAATTTAACCGCACGGATTTCAGTTGTGCGCTAAACTTTGCAAACGTCGGGCTAGTCTGTCTGCCGATCATTATACGCCGAAATGGAGTCAACAAACAACGTTATATATATAGTCCTGATGACGTCATTGGTCATCGGAGGAAGCCATTCGGCAGTGCCCTATCGCCATATAGAAATGGATAATAGTAATGCTGCAAAACCTTATTTCTTTATTGTTAGGGCTCTTTTTTGAAACACAGAATGTTGAATCTGCAAAACTCTGGAGTCAATATGGTTGATGAATTAATGGACCTTATCCACCTTATAGGGCCGGCATATATGTATAATCCGCAATTTTGCATGGACACACTGACGGGGCAGCAACTTTACATTGGTGAGGGCTTCACGCGACCGGGCCAGTGCATCCATGTCCAGTGCCTGGAATCGCAGCAGCTGTGGGAGGACAGGTGAGTCGACAATACATATACATATCCTTGGAACAAGAAAACGAAAGCTGCCTCGTTGGGGTATTTATTTTAATGAATAGAACTACGGCCATCAATATAGTACGAATGCCTTTTTACACCTTTGCAGATGGTTTTTAAATGACATGAAGTACACAGATTCTTGATCAGCATAACAAGGAGGGTCGATCTAGCCATTTCCATCTGTCCGTGCGTCCGTCCGTTTATACAAAAAACTAGTCTTTGAGTTTTATAGCTTCATCAGTAACCATTGGAAAATAAATTTTTAAAAATTATAGCTTTCTTCTTTTTTAACATATTTGGAAATACTCGGAGATTTATTAATTTGATTTAAGCCATTTCAGAATTTTAATTTAATTTTATAAAAATCTTACGACTATATCTTATAGCTTTATAGAATGGAATATTTAATTTTTGTTGCTCCGTATTTTGTTTTTAAAGTAATTAATCTTGTTTAACAAAATGTTAGATTTGGGGCCTATAAATATTGAGCTGTAAAGAGGGTGGTACCACAAATTGATAAGTTCTGTAGAAGCCTCATCTTTATGAGATTTGTGAGAAAAAAGAGTTGGTTTCCCTATGGTTTTACTGTCATCAAAACGATTTTAAGTTCTTTAAAAATGACCACACATGTTCACCAGAAAGAATGTAATAATCTGTACAAACTAATAACTAATATTTAATATAATTAAAAATAAAAATAATGTTATCCCGAACATCCAGCTGCCAGGTGCCGAAACTGACGCAGGGCGACTGCCGGCCGGTGGCGCCACCGAAAGCGAGTTCGGAATATCCCCGCTGCTGCCCACTGTACGAGTGCAAGAGCTACGAGTCGAATGCCGGGGGAACCCTGGAGCAGACCAATACGTATGATCACTACGGAACTCTGCGGAATTCCCATCTCACCGAGGTGATAAAAATTGCCCAGAGACCATCCCGTCCCTCGGAGAATATTCCCTCTGATCCTGTGAGAAAGTATAATGTGTAAAAAGTGGCCTTGAAATAATGTCCACTGTGTGATTGTGTGAGCTTTTTGATTAGCTAGTTTTTAATGCAACTGTAAAAAGTATGTCGGAATAATAAAACGAAAATTTTTTGCAGAATAATTAATAATTGTGAAATTTCTTAGCTAGAGACCAAATTAAAAAACAATGTATATACATATCGTTTGTTTTTCATTTTGGAGTTCATTGTAACCAGCGTGTCTACCCTGTTATATGGTCGTTATTTTTAACAGGTTTAAGTGAGTAAACTTCGAACGGAAACTTTTGTACCCGTTTTACGTTAAAATTTCGTCTGATTTGTCGAAAATATTATTAGCAGTATCTTAACAAAGTTAAAATTTTACGAACGAAAACTTTAAACTCAATGTTGAAAGAAAAAAAACAATAATTTTCGCCGGCGGCCGCTTTCTTTTTTGGAGGAGCTGTCTTGGTTTGGTATTTGGTATATTTATGAAAATATCAAGGCATTTCGATATTAACTATAAGCATATCTATTACCTAATAGTAACTTAGGCCTTTTCCTTTGTAGACTTTTTTACCTTGGACTTGGCCAATTTCTTTTCGGCCTCCTTCTTCAAAACTAAAAAGCAGAAGGATAAGGCGAGGAAGGCAATGGCAGAAAATGCCTGCCTCGCCTTATCCCTCTGCTTTTTAGCCTTCATTTTCACAGCCTTGGAGGAGTTTTTGTACTTCTCGGTAAGTTTGAATGATCACTTTACAATTACCACATCGCCCGAGGTTACGGCTATTTTAAGGGCCCGATACAAATCGCGTGCGGCTTTCTCAGCATCCTTCCACTCGTGACCATTGCTCTTCAAATTTTTTGTGATAGCTGTTCCTCCTCCTCCTCCTCCTTCAATTTCTCCTCGCTCTTATCCTCCTCCTCCATTTCCTCCTCGCTCTTATCCTCCTCCTCCATTTCCTGCTCTTCTTTGCCTAAATTGAAATCTTCCTCAGGATTACTAGATCCTCTGATAAATTGTATTTTTTTTTGTTAATTTGAGTAATTTTGATTTTATACTTAAATTAACAAAAAAAAATATAACTTAAAAATATTTAGGAGAGGCACGCCTTAACTTGAAGTAACAGTGATAAAATGAAACCGCAGACCAAAGCTGCGGTCGAAGTCCAAAGAATAAAAACGGTATATTATAATATTTGTAAAAGACAATCCAATTTAAAAAGAAAGCTTTTAAACGAACGAAAATAATGAAGACAAAAAACTACAAACTCTTATCGATAACTGACGGTGCTTACCGATATATCGCAATGGTAGCCGATACTTTTTCCCGCACGCCAGTTGTCATCACTAAAACCGAATTGCTAGAAATTGCTACGAAACAACAAAGTATAAAAACGCATTGAGCAGTCAAACGCAGTTATTTGGAGTCCACACAAACGAAATAAAAAGTAGAGCCCAAAATCCGAACCACACAGATCAACAGTTTAGGATAATCACTTGAAGTACAACCGAATTTCATCACAACACCACAATGTTGCTGCGTCTGGCACTTTCCGCCGCCCGTCCCGCCGGGAGTCTCAAAATCCTGGGCCAGTCTCCTGCCCAGTTGCTCCGGGCCAATCCCAATCTCTCCGCGGCCCGCACCTATGCCCGCGGACCTGTTCGCACCCGTGCTCCCGTGGAGCAACAGCAGATGAGGGCTCCCTCGCTCAAGGAAAAGCTGATGGGTCCACCGAGTGCCAATGGTAAGGTTATAGGTTTTACGTTCTTGTGTAACCGTAACCCCTTCTAATCTCTCCGACCGGATTGCAGCCTACTCCATGGGCAAGGGCGCCGCCGCCGGAGCCGCCGTCGTGGGACTGGGCGCCCTGTGCTACTACGGTGTGGGATTGGGCAAACACACCAGCATCGCCGACAACGCTATGTGAGTGGCTATACATACTTTTAGACAAAGTCAAGAAGCACCATCAAATATTACCTATTCAGGATGATGCCTTTTTTACCTTTTTTATGAAATACCACAAACTCAATTTGAAACTATACGATATTATTCGCTTTCCAATTTTACTTGTTTTTTTTACCAGTCCTTAAAGGTAATTAAAATGATCTTAAAATATATAAAAATATATACGTCTTTGAATTGTATATGACATAATATTTGGAACTCTTTCTAAATGTTCATTGAATTAAAACACATTTTAAGGCCTTTCCGAAATGAAAAGGACTGTTTAGTTTCTAAATTCACACAAAAAACTATAAAAGTTAAATTATGTCGTTATGATTATTTTGTGAAGAACTGGTCAAATGACTGATTGTGCTTTGTAAAAAATTTAAATTTACCAACTTTAATTTTTGCTTTGCTTTGCAGCATGTGGCCCCAGTATGTGAGGGATCGAATTCAGACCACATATGCCTTTTTCGGCGGCTCCTGTGTCTTGACCGCAGCCGCCGCAGCAGCCGTCTTCCGCTCACACCGCCTCCTGGATCTGGCCTCTCGTGGCGGCATTGTGGTGAGTTTCTACACATCCTGGACATTTCACACCAGACACAACAGAACATAATCCAACCTTCACTCCCCCTTAACCCGGATAGGCGACTATTGCTTCGTTGGCGCTGGTCATTGGCAGCGGGGCGGTGGCCCGCTCTATTGAGTACCAGCCGGGTCTGGGAGCCAAGCACCTGGCCTGGGCGGTGCACTGCGCCATTCTGGGCGCCGTAATCGCACCAATCTGCTTCGCGGGTGGACCAATCCTCACGCGCGCCGCCCTATACACGGGCGGCATTGTTGGTGGCTTGTCCACTATCGCCGCGTGTGCCCCCAGCGATAAGTTTCTGTTCATGGGCGGTCCACTGGCCATCGGTCTGGGCGTGGTCTTTGCCTCCTCGCTGGCCTCCATGTGGCTGCCGCCCACCACAGCGTTGGGCGCGGGTAAGTCTACAAACTACTACTCTATAAGAATTTCTTGAAGGGTTTACTACCATTGTCAATTCAAAGATTTTATTTCATTTTGCGTATTTTGTATGCCTAACTTTCTAAACAAAAACTAAAAACAATACTAATGGCCATTTCAATTTGCTTCGAAAATATTTACTAAGATGTAGGCTTCAAGAGGAAGATCTGTCGATTCTTTGCCTATATCATTAAAATTAAAACTTTAAATGTTCTTTTGATAGCACAATATATAAATATAATAATTTAAACTATTAACATTAAATAAAATGTGCAATTGTATATAAAGAACTGATTGAAATGCTTTTTAGTAATTTTATGATGATATTTATGAATTTTATATTTATATGATATTTTAATCGTATAAAATAGCTTAAACTAGGTTTCGCAAATTAATAAATATCGGCTGTTGAATGGCCTTTCAAGTGGTGGTAACCCCCTAACCTTACTTTTCGCAGGTCTGGCCTCCATGTCCTTGTACGGCGGCCTCCTCTTGTTCAGCGGGTTCCTGCTCTACGACACCCAGCGGATGGTGCGCCGCGCTGAGGTGCATCCCCAGTACAGCTACACCCCCTTCGATCCTATCAACGCGTGAGTTAATGATTTGGTTGTCCCATCCTGAAACCCATTTAAATGTGCTGAATTCTTTCAGCTCTATGTCGATCTATATGGATGTTCTGAACATATTCATCCGCATCGTCACCATTCTGAGTGGCGGTCAGCGCAGGAAGTGAGCACTGAACAATAACATGTGATGCAAGGATAATACCTTCTGATATATATTTATACTGTTGTTAAAATAAACCGACCGAGTTGATAAGCAAAATGTAAAACCCTGTGTTTTTTTGGCAGAATTGGGATTAAATTTGAATTTGTTCATTTTAAAATCTTATAAAATTAGATTTTATACTTCTCTGTCTAAAAATATATAAATATTTACTTAACTGGGTACGAAAATTAAAAATGATTTATTTCGAAGCATATACATATGTAGATAACTATAGAATGTTTTTAAAACATTGTTTTTAAAAGTTATGTGGAAAATGTAACCACTATATATTTGCTTCTTAGTTTACTTAAAAACAAGGGTATAATTAATAAATTAAAAGGTACCAGGTGTGAAAAAGTCTGGATAGTTAAAATTGAGCTTTTAAGCGATATACGTTACTTTTTGCCGATAATAGCTGTTATCGATAGCTGAAAGATACCATTTAAAATTAGGTAATAGTTTATAAATAAAATTTTTCCGTTCTTACAGATTAATTTTTTTACCAACCTTATTTGTTATCTTTTTTCCAAAATTGAAACATCGATGCCTGAAGTCATTTGTAATACTGCGATGAATCGATACCACGTCGATATTTCATTCAGCTTTTTTTGGCAGGACTAAGCATAAGATGCCAGGAATTATTTAAATTTTTCGAGTCTAGCAGTTCCGCAGTTGAAAATCAGTTCTCCCGTAGAAGCGCCAAGTTTACAGAAATTCAGGTGGCTGTGAGGAAAGTGTCTCACCGATTCCTTAAAACCAAACACTTGATAACTATTCCCGTAACTTGAAACACAGTCCACATTTTGGTAATAATCTTACAATAATGTTTACATAGAATGCTCAACATTGGCTAATTCGCAGGTCCACTTCATCGCCAGGAGGTATTCATCCAAGGCCCGACTGCCGTTTCCACCTGAGACAGGTGAGTTTCATTAGAGGAGGAGGAGGAGGTGGTGGCCAGACGCCCGGCCGCGCCCTTAAAGCCGGCAAATCGATTTCTTGGCGTGCCCTTATGTACATATCACACCTTATCATATCTTATCACATTCCCCACCCAATCAGGTGCTATTGCAAGTCCAGCCGAACAGGACGCCAACCAGACAGGTCAACTGACCTCCACCCAGCTGCACGAGGAGGCCGATCCTGGCCAGAAAATCGCCATGGAGCGACGCTACCTGAAGAACCCCTTCGCCGATTTCGCCGGCGGAGAGAACACACCATTTGCCAGCGACGAGGAGCACATCAAGAACTTGATCTGCACTTACGTGGACGCCATGCTGGAGCACTGTCATCCAAACAACGACGAGGAGGACAACCGCGGGGATCTGTATGTGGGCAACGCCGGCATAGCCTTCATGTTCTGGAAGCTCAACAGCTGCGAACAGACGCGCGATCTTTATCCGGCCCTGGAGCACGCAGCGGCCTTCATCCGAAACGCCAAGGCGAATGCTAAGCGCTACAAGAAGCGCTCCGCGGAGCGCTACTCTTTCCTGTGCGGCAATGCCGGCATCTATGCCGTTTCGGCAGCCATCTCGCAGGCGATCAAGGACACCGAGGAGCTGTCGAACGACCTGGCCAACTTCAAGTCCGGCATCCCGTCCAGCAAGGAGTTTATGCATACCAAGTACGGCTGTGACGAGGTGCTGGTCGGCCGGGCAGGCTACCTATCTGGTTGCTATTGGCTGAACGACGTGCTGCCGGAGAAGAAGATCACCGACGACGACCTGATCTCCATTTGCCAGCTGATCGTGACCAGTGGCCGGGAGTACAGCAAGCTGAACAGCTCGCCCTGCCCGCTGATGTACCAGTACCATGGTACGGAATACCTGGGAGCAGCCCACGGCCTGTGCGCCATCCTGCACATGCTGCTGGACAGCCCGTGGTTCCGCACGATTCCCATTTCGGCGCCGGCCGCCGAGCTGCGCGACATCAAGCGCTCGATTGACTTCTTCCTGGCCCTGCAGGACGCCGATGGCAACTTCCCGGTGGCCCTGGAGGATCTGCGCTCCGGCCGGGACAAGCGTCTGGTGCACTGGTGCCACGGGGCACCCGGTGCCGTCTATGTGCTGGCCAAGGCCTATCTGATATTCAAGGAGGAGAAGTACTTGGCCTCGCTGCGCCGCTGCGCGGATATGGTCTGGAAGAAGGGCTTCCTGCGCAAGGGACCGGGCATTTGCCACGGTGTGGCGGGCAATGGCTATGTGTTCCTGCTGCTGTTTCGTCTGACCAACGAAATGAAGTACCTGTACAGGGCGCACAAGTTCATGGAGCTGCTGACCAATGCGGAGTTCAAGCTGCGCGCCAGGACACCCGATCGTCCGCACAGCCTGTATGAGGGCGTGGCCGGCACCGTCTGCTTCCTGGTGGATCTCCTCGAGCCGGAGCAGGCCTACTTCCCGTTCATGGACGTATTTCACTAGGAGAGGGGAGTTTGTGGACCAAGCCCGAAAACACAGTGCTCAACACGACTTTCAAATCAGGGAGAGTTACTCATAATTTCTAGTCACTTGTTTGCCGATTTTCCGTTGTAGTTCTTTCATTGTTGCCTTTGCGTTAACCCAGCGAAATGGGACGATGGAGTGGAAGATGGAGGACGCTAGACGCTAGGTCCAGATGAAGTCCGAACCCGATCTCTCAGAGCGCACCGCATGCAGGAATGTTCTTAGCCATTCTCATATCAAAATTCTCTGTGCTTTACGCTAAGCAATTAACTTAATACATTGATACTTATACACATACATATTACATATACATTATATTTATATACAATTTATATTATATATATACATATATATATACATACTTGCGCTGACATCTATATACAGACGAACATAATACTTAAATGCATAGTGTGCTTTATACCTACGAGTAATCCACGAAGAGCTCTAAATCTATTGTCAATGAGAATCAAATAAATCATTGTACTATTTTATACAGATATGTACAAGCCTGTGGCCAGGTTCGATCCACCCCTGCGGGAATCGATGGTTACACGGGTGAATACCCCAGAACCACGCTTTCATTTCACCCTTTTCACTTCGGCAAGTGTCTCTTGGATTGGGATTTCAGTGGGGAGCTATTGAAAGCTTTAACAAGGCAGAGAAATTAATTTACCCTGATTTAGATGCCTTTCTCTATGGATAACGATTAAATGAGGACAATTAATTTATATGTTTATGCACACACCTAAATTAGTTTTCGATGCTACAGGTTAATAGTGAAGCTTGCACTAAATTGTATTTTCAGTGCCTTTTTTATCTAAATAATCTAAAACTTTCCTGGACAAGGACATATTATTAGCTTTACACCGAACCATATTAATTTTGATGGCATAAAATGATTTTAAAATACAGTAATCACCCTTTATCTGCTCTTTTACGTTTTATAAGCATGGCAAAGGCAAAAAGTATTATCTGTCATGTCTGAAGTACTTTAGCTATTGGTCAATAATTGATTAAAATCTGGTTTATTAGCGCCTTATTCACCTGATACGATTGTATATCTTACTCCTATTAACAACGTCTTCTTTGATAAGCGACTTTTTAATGGACTGTGCTGATTACAAGTAAATAAAAGTACCGATCGGGGGGAAGATATAACTTTAATTTTGTATAATCTATATTCAACCTTGACTGTTCAATGCGTAGAGTGGGACTAGAAAATGGAAAAAGGAGTATCTTAATTACAGGACTCAAGTACCATACATGCGATAGATCGTATTATCGTCATACTGTTTATTCATATAGATAGCGCCGGGATGAAGGGGTTTCGTCTGCCTCTAATTTGTTTTTGTTGCCCTGAGGTGTAATAAACCAAATCGGTTACCGGCTATATTTATATGGCTGATCCATGAGGTGCCTGTTCAGGTCCCACGCTCATATATTATATTTTGTGTGGGCCAGAACGTAATAATCACGCGGTAGAAGTAAGGAGGTGGAGGGGTTGGGGGCTTTAACCCACTCACAAGCGTGTGTAACATGTGTCAGTAAGTGAATATTACCGGAGTAGCACCCTCCGTATCCGTTTTCCCATATCTCGGCCATACGGCTTATCGCCGATCAACGAGTGCATATCATTAAGTGCTCCATACCCTGTACAAAAAAAAAAGATTTGTAGAGAATACCCACTGGGCTGACTGCGCCTTATTACAAAAAATAATTAGAGACCTAATTGCTAGCAAGTTGCGAGATAATTGCAAATCGTTTAACAAGAGTTATGACCATCAATTACCAAAACATTATATTTTAGTACGCAACATGTATGTAAAAGTCGTAAACCTACGGCTAAGTCAGTTTTAAAATTAGGGGTTTGGAACACTTGATAGTTTTTCCAAATGTAGTCATACGGTACAAAAGGCTGAAATTTAGTAAAACAATTCTTAACCTTTGTATTGGCATACCTAATTTATTTATTTTTTAATTATTTAGTAAGTAAGGGCCACACGACGTATGAGCAATATACATACAAGTTCTAAAATAGAGTCCAAAAGAGAGAGACCATAACAACTAAAATTGTAATTCATCGTTGAACGTTTACTTTTACAGAATACTAAAATATCATTATAACATTGGTACACCCTTCATTTTTTTGAAAATACTTGTCATATCAATGGAGCTATATCGTTGAGTGCAGGTCGAGAATGAAGTGTGTATTTGGCTTATCACAGAAAGGGGTACCGATGGCCAGATGTGATCGGAGCGGGTGTCTCAGGGTCCGAGTCCGAGCCCGAAACCCAGTCAAATTTCGCAGGCGTCGCATTGCCAGTGTTTTCGGTCATTCAGTTGCCTTATCGACGGCCATCGGGTTGGGTGTATCTACACTTGTATTTTTTCCTTGTTTTTTCCGGTGATCACAGTCGCAAGTGCGGTTGGAGAAATGGCAGCCACATCCTTGGCCGTGATTATGGTGATGATGGCCCTGTGGGCACCTTCGGAGGCTGCCGACAAGGAGGGCTTTCCCGTGTCCATCATCCACATTAACGACCTGCACGCGAGGTAAATTTGGCGGAAAACCCGCCGCTAATCAGATTGAGTCGGTTTATGGCCAACACAATCGCTGAGCTGGCTCGTAAACAATGGCATATCAGGTCCAAGTACTGATTCCGATTTCGATCCCGATAACGATTTGGCCATGAGGGCTCCGCCACCAGGCCCACTCCAGAGCTAATCCCCGCTCCGATTGCGCTCATCCGCAGGTTCGAGGCCACGGACACCTCCGGCGGAACCTGCGACGACGGCGAGGCATGCATCGGCGGCTATCCACGCACGGTCTACACCGTGAGGCAACTGCTCCGGGAGCAGGCGGAGCTCAATCCCATCTACATCAACGCCGGCGACAGCTTCCAGGGGACGCTTTGGTACAACATTGGCCGCTGGAACGTCACCCAGCAGCTCCTGAACCTCCAGCCCGCCGACGCCATGGTAGGTGGTTATACCATGGTCCCCCTGATTTCAAGAGACACTTTATGGAATTGACTTGAGAAATGACTTGGTCAGGCAGATAGTACCACTACCTTTGTTTGTTTGACAATTTCTATTAATCACATTCTAGAAATACATTCGGGGGGTCGAATGAGATTCAGCAAGAAAGTGCTACAAATTTATAAATGTATTTGTTCTTGCTTAGCGAAATGTTTTGCTTAAAGGGTTTTTACTTTTCTCTAAATTCCTTTATTAAATAAGAAAATAATTAAGTTTAAGCTGTTTCAATATTGGAAACTATACAGTTACCGTTTATCATAGTTCTTAATTTTGCGGTTTTAAAAGGTATTTTTAAACCCTTACAGAAGGTATTTTAATTCCAGTAAAAAATTTGCAACGGTGTGAAGGGCACTTTTCTAAACCTTTATCCGCTACTATGCAAATTTTGAAGCTATTTGTATGGAACTTTGCAAAAAGTCTTCTTTCTGATGATATATAAGACGGAATTGGCCGAATCGGCCTACTATATCATATAGCTCCCATAGGAACAATTAAAAAAAAGGAAATACTAATACATGCACTAAGATATGTAGTATTTTTTAGAAATTTCAGATCGGTTTTAGTTTTCTATGTCCTTAGGAACCATCGGAAGTAAGGGAAATGAAATGATTACTTTGTAGTTTCTAAACATATACTACTGTATTTTTTAGTAATTTCATAAGTACGGTTTTAGTACTTTAATCATATATGTAAATCGAAAAATAGAATATAATTTTTGTAACATCTACAAGGGTACAAAAGCTTCGGTTTGCTCCCATTCTTGCTAAAATCTGATTTGAGCAAATGTTGACCCACCATTTCAGACGCTGGGCAACCACGAGTTCGATCACGGAGTGGAAGGAGTGGTGCCCTTCCTGGAGACGGTGGACACCAACATGCTGGTGGCCAACATGGACTGCGCCCATGAGCCGACCATGGAGGGCAAGTACAACAAGTCGATGATAATCGAGCGCTCGGGTCGCAAGATTGGCCTGATCGGCGTTATTCTGGAGACGACCTACGTCAGTTGACTGCTCCCAGTGATTGTTCTGAGCAGGCATTGATCCCATTGATTGACCTCCCGCAGGATCTGGCCAACACCGGCAAGGTGATCTTCCGGAACGAGAGTGACACCATCCGCGAGGAGGCGCAGCTGCTGAAGGCCCAGGGTGCCAACATAATCATCGTGATCTCGCACTGCGGCTACGACGTGGACAAGGAGATCGCGGCCAACGCCGGCGACTGGATCGACGTCATCGTGGGCTCCCATTCGCACACCTTCCTCTACACCGGAACTCCGCCGGGTCCGCACAACCCCGCCGGGGACTACCCCACCGAGGTGGTCCACAGCTCCGGCCACCGCGTCCTCATCGTCCAGGCATCGGCCTACGCCCGCTACGTGGGCAACCTGATCGTCTACTTCGATGACAACGGCGACGTGCTGGACTTCGAGGGCAATCCGCTTTACATGGACCAATCCGTGCCCGAAGGTTAGTACACAGAAAGAAATTACAGATGATTTCGTTACTTATTATATAGGATAAATGACTCTCATCCCCCCCTAGTCAGAAAAATGTCATTATTATGAATATTATTTTGGTGCTCAATTAGACTTTCTCACATTTTAAGCATATCAAATTAAAAAGCTAAAATCGTTGTGAAAATCATAAAATTACGTATATTTTTTTATTCACTCACTTTATTTTAAAGTGTGCTTCATTTTCTAATACCATTTGGCTAGGGTTTTCCGAAGATAGCGGCACGTGTGTTGTCTAGTCACGTCCGATTATAACAAATAATAATACTGAAAAGTCATATTTGTTTACCAAACATACACTCTTAAGTATATAAATATAAGATAAGACAATAACATTTCACACAGGATTACTAAAAGTTATGTAACGGAATTTCTTTGCCGATAGTGCTTTATAATTCTCAAGTAGTTGTAGCGTTTGTTCCTTTCTTTAGCATGCATGTAACTATATTATTATGTCTGTTTTTGTGTTTTTTTTTTGTGTGTAATCTAAGTGAACTGTTTCCCTGTGTAAATATAAGTTGTGATTCTCGGTGCATGTTTTTAATCCAAAGCTTTATAATTCTGAACTTAGTTTTATGCTCGGTTTTGTGTTTGTTGTGTTTTATGTGAAAGTCCTCGACTATAATATTTGTGTGTTTGTGCGCAGATGAGGAGGTGCTCGAGGCCATGGCGCCGTGGAAGGTAATAGTCGATGAAAGGGGCAAAGTGATAGTGTCCAATACGAAAGTGGACCTCACAAAGGACGATTGTGCCGCTGGAGAGTGCAACCTGGGTAACTTCTTCTGCGACGCCATGGTGCACGCTGTGAGTTGGAATCAATATAGGGCTGTATATCCCATTTCAATTACAACATTTCACATCCCTAATAATAGTTTGTGGGACTGGCTCCATATGACCAGAAGGCCTGGGCGGATGTCTCCGCCGGACTCATGAACATCGGAGGACTTCGTGTGCCGCTCCTGAGAGGCAGTGAGTAAAATAGTAAATCCACTAGTAAATCAAGCCAAGCTGATCTCTGAATCCCAATTTCCTTGACACCCACAGACATCTCTTACGCCCACATGGTCAGCATGTCGCCCTTCGAGAACCTCCTGGTGGCCTACAATCTTCCGGGCAGCAAATTAGTGGAGGCGATGGAGTGGGCCGTGAGCAAGGTGGACCTCGAGAACGGGGTAACCGGATCGTACATCAACCTGCAGTTCTCCGGCATTCGGGTGAAGTACGACTACACCAAGCCAGTCGGATCGCGGGTTATCTCCGTATCGGTGCGTTGTACGGATTGCGAGGTGCCCAAGTACGAGCCGCTGGTATCCGACAAACTGTATCGGGTCGTCTCGCCCAACTTCCTGCAGGAAGGCAACGATGGATACAGCATGCTCGCCGAGGGCACAGACCTGCAGTACGTATACCACAACGAACTTACGATCATAAAATACACAAGAAAGTTATAAGATCAATATTTTCATTTTGTATATCTCCTAAATTACATGACTTGTTATATCAATATTAATTGATCTTATTATTTATTATTATTTTCATTATTTTGATTACTAATCGCTATGTTCCGTTTACAGGGTGGGCGTCACTGACATCGATGCCCTGATCTCGTACAGCGAACACATTTATCCCATCTACCAAGGTCTGGAGGGACGCATCACCGTGCTTAACTGATAAGGCATTACAAAATAGAACGCACTACCAACTTGTTGCATTTGTCCCATTAAACTTTTCAGGGAAAGTCAAAAACTTTGTTTTCTTTGGGTGAACAAAATTAATGTTAACTTGGAAATGGTAAATTTGTTATATACAAAATTTAGCTAATAAGACATATTGGCTTGTGACTTTAACTGATTATCGGTTAATGATAAACAATTGATTTCCCATGAAGAGGACTTGTCTTAAAATATGCTAGCGTTGGTAAAAGTTATGTTCTCGATTTTGCCAAACTCTTTATAATTTAAAATTATATTTTTACAAAATATATATCGAATTTGTTTGATTCCAATTTCCTTCGAAGATGAAACCGTTCTGCAGGCTATGGCGCCGTGGCAAGATGTGATGGAACCCTTCGCCAATCGAATCGTGGGTCAGAGCAGGGTCTTCCTCGAGCAGAGCACGTGCAACCGAGGCGAGTGCAATTTGGGGAACTTATTCACGGATGCTATTCTTCATGCGGTAAGTGTGGAATGGTGTTGCAGGATTAATCAACCCAAGCCCAATGCTTACCCACAGTTCGTCAAGGATGCATCGTACCTGGGAGACAGCTGGAGTAACGTGACCATTGCCCTGACATCGCCGGGAACATTCCGAGTGCCCATTTCAGTAGGCAGTGAGTTTGACTATACTCATGTATGTATGTTCAATAAGTTAAAGAATAGAAAAATGCGCATTCGCCCGCATTCAAAAGTGCAGTAGCACCCACAATTCGGGACAATATTGTTATACCATCTTCAAGTTTATAGACATGGTTTGATTGGCTGACTAAATACTGACATTTATGGAAATCAAAATGAAAGACAGAAAAATGACTTAGAATTTTCAATATCTACATACATATACCATACATTTTGCATATGGAATTTTATTATAACAGCCACTAAAGGGATGTCAGGTGAGCAAAACACATATATATATAAAAACAGGAGGATTTCTTTCTTTTGTGTTTCTGGAATATATTTTAGGAAGAGAAAACATTGTTTGAAGATTTCCAAATTCCTTTGAACCCAGGACTTTTTTCTGCCCACAGACATTACCTACAAGCAGCTGTTTGCCATGTGCCCCTGGCAGAACCGGTTGATCGCCCTAACTCTCCAGGGAAAGCACATTCTGGAGCTGCTGGAGAACGGAGTGGCGTCCATGAATCCCAGCTCCTCTTCGCCGCGATCCTCTCGATTGATGCAGGTTTCCGGGCTTCGGGTCGTCTTCGATCTCAACGCCAGCGTTGGCCAGCGCGTATCCAGTGTCCGAGTTCGGTGCTCCAAGTGCCAAGTGCCCGCGTACAAGCCACTCGATCTGGAAGAGAAGTACCGCGTGGTGGTCATGGACTACCTGGCGAATGGCAAGAACGGTTTCGGTGTAATCAGCGAAAATGCCGAGGATCTTGAGTAATTATTTAAATTGAAGAAAATTCAATTTTGGCCATGAATAACGATTTCACTTGTTTTAAGGATTGGTCCTTTCGATTTGGACGCCTTGATCGACTACATGAGCGCCGTGGGACCCATTACCACTGGAATCGAGCAAAGGATTCAGTTTATAAATCGTTAAATCTTTGCTCCAGTTATGCCCGTTCTATCAGCATTGGCAATATGTAAAATCTAAGACATTTTGATGTATTTGAAAAAAATATATATTGTTTTGTGGTTTCAAAAGTTTTGGGAACTTTTCAAAAAATGTTGGTTTTGTTTGTTTTAATCTTACATCTTAATCTTGTTAACTGAATCATGAAGATAATGAGCTAATAGGTGTCATTTCCACTTTAGCCATAAAACATTTACCAGATTTTTTGATCACCTTAATGTTAGTCCTAAAGCAATTACATTTTGGAGCATACTTTTAGGCTATGAGATTTAGCAGTACTAACATAATAAGCAGAGACACCAAGCCGCATATAGTCGGGACCTACTCCGCAGGTAGCGGGTATTAACGCCAGTTTTTAGAAGTGGAAAAACATCGATACCCCGCCAATCATCGATACAGCCGAACATCGAACCTAGCGGTGTTCGATAGAACCATCGAGGCTTTGCCAGCTCTAACTCACATTAAGGTTAGGACTTTGCGCACATTTCGAAGCGAGTGAAGTGAGCTTGTTGTTTTACATCAAATAGAATCGGAAGCATTCGTTTAACTGTCTTGTTAATACTTCGCAGTACCAGTTTTATTCACAGTAAGTTTTAACAGACGTTCAGCGTCTGCATATTTCCCGTTTTCCCCACTAGCAATTTAAGTTGGTGTGTGTGTGTGCGACTGGCGATTATATAAGAGCGAACAATCTGGCAAATAGCCGGCAAACTGTGTTTCCAGAAAGTTCTACTCATTGATTAGTGGAAAGTAAAGAAAATCTTCCCATTAACTTGTTAAATCTTAATTTCCATTAATCGCCCTCATACACACACAGGCGCACACTGGAAAGTAAAGTAAAAGTTCAATAGGAAAGCGCACATGTTTTCCACTGCTTGCCGGCAATCGAAAGCAATTTCACATTTATCAGGGTCGTTGCATGTGCCGCTGCTCTCGGGAAATTCTCCTCTTGTCTTGGCAAATCTTGGGATTATTGAATAACAGGCCCTCCGATTTGGGTGTATCTATTTTTCCCTCGGCTGGTTACATAAATCGTTTCTTCTGGAATGCTCGGTACCAAGATGCCTTTGTCGTTGCCACTGACGTTCGTTCCAGTGGGGGGACTGGAAGAGGTGGGCATGGCCGGTACAGTGAAAGCTCCCTGATAAAAAAAATGATTAGATCCTCAGAATAAAAATTCTAAAATATTAGGCCCTTTCCCTTATTGAGTAAAAAACATGTTTTCTCTTAACTTGTAATCTAAAACAACTAATTTCTTCCTCATATTTCAACAAAGCCGCTCAAAATTTTAATATGCCTTGCTGTTCAGGTAAAAATTGCATCATTATAAAGATAATTTAAAAAACAATTGTTCCCGTATCAAGTGTTTACAATTTGGCTACGCTTTAAAGTTAATTGTACATCTTTTATCAACAAAATTAAGGAACATTTTAAATATATACATGAATTTTCTATAGTATGTAAATTTTGACCTTATGTAATTTCCCAAAAATGTTTCTTAACGACATCATCTTTTTCTAAATCTATCTAATCTAAAAGTTTTTCATGACTACGGCTTTAATATTTCTTTATCCACGTGCTGGAAGTCATAAATTAAAAAAAATTCTATTTAATTATTTTAAAGCAAAAATAATCAATATATTCCATTAGGTTTTCTTAAATGTTGGTCAACATAGCTGATAATAAATAAAAAGTGATTAATTTTTAATATTCTTTAGAAAATTTTGGCTTAGACAACTTATAAGAATATAATAAATGGTTTATACACTTAATTTTTTTGATTTATGTAACTTTGTACTATTTGTATGAACCCATAATACATGGACTAATGGCTTAAAGTAATTTATGAACTAAATAATAATGTTGACATGCATTAATTGTCAATTTTTTCACAACACTACAAATATTAATTTGTTGAAAGCAAGTACAATCTGTGTGTAAAAATTCGATTGTTATTATACTTGAACGATTTCACATTAAACCAAGACCAAGAGCCAGTTCTGTACTTTGACCCGCTTGAAGCGCTTGATTATCAACCGAAAATATACGGGGTAAACAAGGCAAAGACAACTCATCTTCGGAAAAGTATTGATCGGAGCACGTGCTTCGACTCGGCCCTGCTCCCCCACGATCCCAACCCTCCTGTTGTGTCGGCCCCTTTTGATGTTGGCTAATCCTTGTCTCCTCTCCGCAGATGTTCCGTTTGCCAGTTTCACTTGCTCGCACCTCCATCAGCCGCCAGCTGGCCATGCGCGGCTATGCCAAGGATGTGCGGTTCGGTGCCGAGGTGCGCGCCATGATGCTCCAGGGCGTTGATGTGCTGGCCGATGCCGTAGCCGTGACCATGGGACCCAAGGGTCGCAACGTGATCATCGAGCAGTCGTGGGGCTCGCCCAAGATCACCAAGGACGGCGTGACAGTGGCCAAGTCCATTGAACTGAAGGACAAGTTCCAGAACATTGGCGCCAAGCTGGTCCAGGATGTGGCCAACAACACCAACGAGGAGGCTGGCGATGGTACCACCACGGCCACCGTTCTGGCCCGCGCCATCGCCAAGGAGGGCTTCGAGAAGATCTCGAAGGGCGCCAATCCCGTCGAAATCCGTCGCGGAGTCATGCTGGCCGTTGAGACGGTGAAGGACAACCTTAAGGCCATGTCGCGCACCGTGAAGACGCCCGAGGAGATCGCCCAGGTGGCCACCATCTCGGCCAACGGCGACCAGGCCATCGGCAATCTCATCAGCGAGGCCATGAAGAAGGTGGGACGCGATGGCGTCATCACCGTCAAGGACGGCAAGACCCTGAACGACGAGCTGGAGGTGATCGAGGGCATGAAGTTCGACCGCGGCTACATTTCGCCCTACTTCATCAACTCATCCAAGGGCGCCAAGGTGGAGTTCCAGGATGCCCTGCTCCTGCTGTCCGAGAAGAAGATCTCCTCTGTGCAGAGCATCATTCCCGCATTGGAGCTGGCCAACGCACAGCGCAAGCCGCTGGTCATTATTGCCGAGGATATCGATGGCGAGGCCCTCAGCACCCTGGTGGTGAACCGTCTGAAGATCGGCCTGCAAGTGGCCGCTGTGAAGGCTCCCGGATTCGGCGACAACCGCAAGAGCACCCTCACCGATATGGCCATCGCCTCCGGCGGCATTGTTTTCGGAGATGATGCTGATCTCGTCAAGCTGGAGGACGTGAAGGTCAGCGACCTGGGTCAGGTGGGCGAGGTTGTTATTACCAAGGACGATACCCTGCTGCTGAAGGGCAAGGGCAAGAAGGAGGATGTGGAGCGCCGCGCCACCCAGATTAAGGATCAGATTGACGACACCACCTCCGAGTACGAGAAGGAGAAGCTGCAGGAGCGCCTGGCCCGTCTGGCCTCCGGAGTTGCTCTGCTGCGCGTTGGCGGCTCCAGCGAGGTGGAGGTCAATGAGAAGAAGGACCGCGTCCACGATGCCCTGAATGCCACCCGTGCCGCTGTCGAAGAGGGAATCGTTCCCGGAGGCGGCACCGCTCTGCTGCGCTGCATCGAGAAGCTGGACTCCGTCAAGACCTCCAACGAGGATCAGGTAAGATCAGACGCCTTCTAAATTCTTTTCGCAAACTTTATTAACCCAACTTATTCCCGCTCAGAACCTCGGCGTGGAGATTGTCCGTCGCGCCTTGCGCATGCCCTGCATGACGATCGCCAAGAATGCTGGCGTCGATGGCGCCATGGTGGTGGCCAAGGTTGAGACCCAGACTGGTGACTTCGGCTACGATGCGCTGAAGGGCGAGTACGGCAACTTGATCGAGAAGGGAATCATCGATCCCACCAAGGTGGTGCGCACCGCTATCACGGACGCTTCCGGTGTGGCCTCTCTGCTGACCACCGCCGAAGCCGTGGTGACCGAAATCCCCAAGGAGGATGGAGCTCCTGGCATGCCCGGCATGGGTGGAATGGGCGGCATGGGAGGCATGGGCGGCATGGGTGGCATGATGTAAGCCACTGCAAGCGAGTGAGAGAGCCGAAGCCAGCGTACTGTTTAAGTCATGATGCGAAACGGCGGCGCAGAGGGGCTTGCGAACGCAGATCATCAGTAGTCACCAGTCGAAGCGAGACCCACCAATATCTCTTACATCGGTGCATCCAGCCAGATTCACACCTCTTTTGACTCCCCATACACATTCTAATCCTTGATGGAACTTTGTTTTGCTTCGCATTTATCCTTTGGCAAAAGCAGCAACATCATAACAAACAGTCTGGATGTGAGCTCGCCGAGACTCCTGCGTTCGCACCGCCGCACGCCGCCGCTTCCATTGTGTTCAACGTTTTTTTAACTATTCCTTAACTCTATTTTGTTTACATGTTATATATGTAAAGATACCGTTAGTTGTAAAATATAAAATAAAACAGAAGTTAAATTGAGGAAAACCTTGCAATTTCTTTTTTATGGTAAACAGAAATGTTTTTAAATGGTCGATATTTTAGTTTGATATTCTGTTTCTTTCGCCAGTTCTACACTAGTTTAATTCGCAAAATTAAAAGTCAGCTGGATTAATTGTTGTGCTCAAATTTATATTTGTTGCTTTTTCGCTTTTTTGTTTGTTTTATTTATTAATTATAAATACATTTAATAAAAAAAAACCTAAATAATGTAACGCTTAGATGTTTAAAGAAAAAGAAAAATATGTTGCATATACTCCGCATACGGTTAATGGGACCAAGGCCAGGAGTCGGATGGTGGCTGGTGGCTGGAGACTAGCGTGAGGGTTGGGTTGTCCAGCTGCATCTGCAGCTCCAGCCCCAGCCTATCCCATCCTGGCACTGGCGTTAACGTTTAACGATGACACAATGGCAGTACGTATGTGATCGATGGCGGCGATGGGTCGTCGGCTGCCCGCGCCGACTCCGCCCTCGAGGCCTATGGCTATGACTCGTCTGGAAGGAGGCTGCCCTCCTCCAGTGGCTGATTCTCCGGGTGACGCTCTACGTCCTTGACCCACCCCTAGCACTTGCGCTTGGGCGTGCGCCGCTTGACACCACAGTTGTCCACCTTCTTGCTGCCCTTGGCGATGGCCAGTAGCTTCACTAGCTTCTTGTGCGAGTCGCCCACGATCCAGCCGTGCTTTTGGTACGGCTCGTTCTCCTCGAAGTGCTTGCCGGGCGACGGCGACGCCTCCTCTTCCGGCTCCAGTTCCAGCCGATCCCCGTCCCTCTGCTCGCTGCCGGCTCCTGTTCTGGATCCTGCATCGGCTGCCTCGCCCTCGTCGTCCAGGCGCCCAAACTCATCGTCGCTGGAGCTGCTCCAGTAGTACAGCTGCTTCTCGCTCGCCGGCCGCTTTCTTCGCGCCGGCGATTGGCGGTTGGCCTGGGATTTCCGCTTGGCCTTCAGGTTCTTGTTGCTGCTGCTGCTGTTGTTGTTGTTATTGGTGGTGCTGCTGGTGGTGGCGACGGAGCTGCTCCTGGGATGCGGTGGCGGCGCCTGCTGTTGTGGATTGCAGTACCGCGCCTTGATCCTCTCCCTTGGGGGTTCCTGTGGAGCTACCGCCACTGGTGCTGGTGGTGGTGGTTCTATCTCCTGCTCAGCTTTTCCCCTGGGCTGCTGCCTTGAGCTGCGCGTCCTTGTTGGTGGTTCCACTTCCGGCTCTGCTTGCTCCTCGTCCTCCTCCTTTTGTTGCACCTTCAGCTTCTCATTGCCGCGCTTTTTCCGACTGTTGGTTGCCTTGGTCGCTGGAGTCCTACTCTTCGCGGATGCTTTGGATTTTCCCCTTGGATTAGGCGCCACCACATCTGGCTGAGGTGCGCTGACAACAGTTGGTTGTGGTGGCGGTGGTGGTGGTGGTGCAGATGGTGGTTGCTGGTTCCTTTGCCTGGCCCGCGACTTTGGCTGCTCTACTTCTGCTGGCGGTTGCTTCTTGTCGCTGGCGCGGTTCTTTCGTTTCGCTGGAGCCGCCTGAGGAGTCTGGGCTTTCTTGCTGGTCACTGGAGGTGCCACTGGCTCCGGCTGGATGTTCGCCTCACTAGTCTTACGCTTCCGCTTTTGTTCCTGCTGCTCCTTTTGCTCGATCAGCGCTATGATGTCCTTGGTGGATAGGAACTCCTCGTACTCATCGGAGCTCCATGTCTCCACCAGCTTCTTGGGTCGGTTGGTCGCACAGCGACGCTTGGACTTACGCTGGCCCTCGTCGATCAGCTGCTCGATCTCCTCGTGACTCATGCCCAGCTCGGACTGCAGCTTGGTCAAATCCTTTCGGGGCTTGCGATTGGATGAGGAAGAGCCAGAGGCGACGGTGGCTACCTTCGACTTGGCCTTTGCTTTGGCCGGCGCGGATTTGTTAGTCTTCTTGGCAGTGTTGGCCGTCCCATTTTTCGGTTTTCTGCCCGGTGGTAGAGCACTGGGCGCTGGCATTGCCGCAGGCGCGGCCGGAGCTGCTGGCGCCGCCATGGGCTCCACGTGGTGGTGGTGGTGATGGTGGTGGTGGTGATGCTGCTGATGGTGGTGGTGTGGCTGCTGCTGCTGCTGCGGGTGATGACGCTCCCAACTCTCCTGCACCATAGATGGCGAGCCCTCCATTTCGGACGCCTTAGCTCCGCCGCCACGCAACTCGTCAAAGATCTGGTCGAGATTCGCTTGGTTCTTGGGCAGCGCCTTCATCTTGGCCAGGCCGGGCACCACACTGGGGCCGGGCAACATTGGCGCCGAGGCGGCCATCACTGCCGTCGCCTTGGCGCTGCTGGCGTGCTTGAAAATCCGGCCCATGATCAGCGACTTGTTCTCGAAGGTTTTGGCAGTGGCCCGACTAGAACTGCTGCTGCTGCTCCGACTACCACTCCTGGTATTCTCCGCCGACGAGGAGGACGAGGATGACGAGCTTGAAGTCGACACGGCGTGACCCCCTCCCTGGGGGACTACCACGCGCGCTGGCGCAGCGCTAACCACCCCGACCTCCGGTTCTTGCTCCGGTTCCACATCGCCGTCGCAACTCAGGGTCCCGAAATCGTAATCATCCCGGTCGGAGTAACTGGCCGTCGAGACGCTGTTGTTATCCTGCTCCTGCAGCAGATTCACGCACGTCTTGGGCTTCTGGAACGTAATGGGGGCCTTCTCCTCCAGACCAATGTTCTTGAACGGCCGGTCGGGAATGATGATCCGCCCGGAGGCCGGAGGAAGGGTTGCTGAGCTGGCCACGCCCGCCGCCGCCTTGATGATGGAGGCGTGCATGATTGTCTTCGAGGACGTGGAGCTCTGTTGCTGTTCCAATGGACCCGTGGGCGTCACTGTGGGCGTGGGTGTGGGCGTTGGCGTGGGCGTCTGTTGGATGGCAGGCGGTAGAGCTGGCACCGCAGGAGTAGCCGGTGCGGGCGGCAGGTGGGGCAGGAAGTCGCCGCCGGGCTTCTCGCTGCCCAGCGCAATGTCCGCCAACTCCGTCAGCTTGCAGACCCCTCTCCCCGACTTGGCCAGCTCCAGCATGTCCAGCTGCATGTTCACGTTCTCGTAGCCCTTCATGGCGGCCTTCGTCTTGAAGCGCGACGTGGTGGTGGCCGAAAACTGGGACACCGCCGAGTAGCTGGGCGAGAGCCTGTTGTGATTGCTGAAAAGAAATTTCCCGAATGAGTAAACTGCTGAGATATTTGTTTCAAGATCCTAGTCTTTATGATGCCCGAGCGACTTCCGATTAATGGATCAAGATTAGATTTTGTATTAAGAAATTTATAATTTGGAAATGTTCCTCTAACTCAAGATTATCAGTACCGAGCAATTTACAATCTACAAACTGACTGTAGTTTTATTTCGTAAATATATTTCGAAAAAATAAAATATAATTTTTTATTATAATATAAAGTTCTGCCTCAATAATAAATATAATAGATCCTGAATATTGAAGTACTTTTGAATCAATTACTTTCCGCTTTATTATACCCGTTACTCGTAGAGTAAAAGGGTATATTGTATTCGTGCAAAAGTATGTAACAGCTAGAAGGAAGCGTTTCCGACCCTATAAAGTATATATATTCTTGATCAGGGTCACTAGCCGAGTCGATATAGCCATGTCCGTCTGTCCGTCTGTCTGTCCGTCTGTCCGTCTGTCCGTCTGTCCGTCTGTCCGTCTGTCTGTCCGTATGAACGCTGAGATCTCGGAAACTATAAAAGCTAGAAGATTGGCATTTTGCAAGCAGATTCTAGGAGTTCCTACGCAGCGCAAGTTTGTTTCAAAAAGGTGCCACGCCCCCTTTAACGCCCACAATCGCTTATATACGATTTTAAAAATTTAAATATTTCGGAAAAGTAAAAATGCAGTTTTATTGTGTTTATCAATACCTATCGAAATGTAGAAGAAATTTTTCAAATCGGACCATTCGTTAAAAAGTTATGCGTGATCAAAGTTTCTATCTCCATCTCCCTCGCACTCCCTTTACCTGAGTAACGGGTATCTGATAGTCGGGGCACCCGACTATAGCGTTCTTTCTTGTTTTTTTTTTAAATGAAGCACTTGGTGCTGAATCATTGCATTCTAAACTAAAAGTTTTACTAAAGTTATACGACAAAAATAGTTATCAAAACTTAAAAATCAAAGTCCGATCTTATCGGAACTCTCCCATAAATCCAATCCAGGCCCACCAAATTCTAACCAAAAATATCAAGGGAAGCCTTTTTAATTTGAGTATACGAGTTTTTCGCGACGAATTTTTTGAGTCTATACATCGTTACTTTTATAGTGCATAAGTATGCAAAATCTATAAACTATAAGCCCTATCAACTGTATATGAATATCCTTGGTGACGACCATATAATTCTATATATAATTCATACAGTAATGCGAAATTAAAATTTAAGAAGTAAACAAGGTTCCTTATTTGGGGATTATTTAAGGGATTATTAAATACCCTGCGGATAGGTTAAATACCATTTGTTCTTTATTATTGCCGGCTATAATTGGCGTAAAGTGAAGACGGGTTTAAACCACCCTTTTTCTCAATAACTACTGGTTATATTTTGTGAGCAGTGGGAACTTACGTGGGCGTTGTGGTCGGCGTAACTGCAGGCGGGTTGCGGAAAAGCTGTTGGATGACCGGCTGGTGGCACACGGCAGGCGCTGGCTGAGGAATTGAAACGGGAACAGGAGCAGGTGCCTCTGCGGGTGGCGGCGGCGAGGGAGACGGCGACGGCGAGGCCGGTGGCGGCAGAGAAAGCGACGGGGACGCAGGCGGTGGAAGCGATGGCGATGGTGATGGCGATGCCGGTGGTGGCAGCGACGACGACCGAGATGGCGAGGGCGAAGCTGGCGGCGGAGGCGGTTGCTTTCTGCCCGCCGTCACTATCACAGAAGTGGTGGCGGGACCGGCTCCTCCGCCGGGAAGGGTGCGCGGCGTCTCGGCGCTCTTCAGGATGTTGCAGCACTCGTAGAAGAGACGCTCGTCGGGATTGAGATTGAGGCGCGAGGCGGTTGGAGCTGTCGGACTGTGCTGGTTGTCGTGCAGACGCAGGCTCGCCTCTGTGATCACATGGTGCACCTGCTCCTGCTGCTGGCGATGGTCCTGCTCCCTCTGCAGCTGGATCCTCTCCTGCTCCTGAGCCCTCTGAAGCTCGCGCTCGCGCTCCCGTTCCCGCTCCCTTTCCTGATGGGCCATCTGCGAGGGTACCATCAGCACCGAGGCTCTCATCTGCTGCGCAGCTGCTGCCAGATGCTGCTCCTCCTGGTGCTGCACTGCCAGCTCGGCCTGTCGCTCCCTCGAGTTTTCCAGGTCGTGCACATCCTGCGGACTAGACGGAGCTGTCTGCGACTGCAGGTACTCCTGGGCAGACACCTTGGACACATGGGCCAGGGTCATGTTGTGCTTGGAAAGCGAGGTGGCCGTGAAGAAGCTCTTGCCGCACAGCTTGCAGCCATACTTCTCGGCATCCAGTTCGCTGCGCTGCGTCCGTTTCTTGGGACGCCGCGTGAGCAGCACGCTGCGGCGCCTCCTTCTTCTGCGCCCGCGTCCTCCGCGTCCCAGATCCTGCGAGTAACTAGTATACACACTCATCTCATCATCCAGGTCCATGTCCATCACCTCGGTGTTCGTGTTATCGTCGCACATGGAACCGAAATTCGAGTGCTCATCATTCAGGTTCGGCGCACTGCGCACGCTCATCGAAGTGGGTGGGCGATAGTATTTGTCCTGGTCCTGATCCTGGTCGGGATCCCCTTCCCCGTCGAACTCGTCGTGGGCAAACTCAAAGTCCTCGTTGGTGGTGGCCGACATGATCTTCTCGTTCACGTTCTTTGCAATCTCCGTGAGGTAGTTGTCCTCCTCCTCGGGATTGTCGTTCGTCGCTGGCGCTGGCTGCTCCTTAGGTGGATCTTTGTGCTCCACCTGCTCCTTGTGTATGTTCTTGTTGAGCCGTGGATCACGACTGAAAGTGGCCGCCTGGGGGATCTGCTCCTGTTTCTCCTGCCTGCTTTGCTGCTGCTGCTTTGGCTGCTGTTGATCCCTGGCCACCGCGCTGCTGAGGATGCTGGGTCGCAGGATGGAGCTGGCTGGTGGCTGAGCCAGGCCGCTCGCCCCCGCCGCCGGCTGCGAGTCCTTGGCCTCCCTGGCCTCCTTGGCCAGCAGCTGCTTCTCGATGCCGATGGAGAAGGACTCCAGCGAGGACTTGAGCAGACTGATGTTTTCGTTGGTGGCCTTGCCACCGCCACCAACTCCTCCGGCCTTTCCCCGCCGGTAGTAGCAACTCTGGCGGCGCTTCGGCCTGCCGCGCACCGGGGCACTTGGTGGCGCCTCTGCCCCCACCTCGGCCTCCTTCTTCGCCAGCTTCGCGGCAGCGGCCGAGGACGTCCCTAGGGCTGCGTTGCGCTTGGTGCTGGACATGAGGAGCATCCCCGTGAGCAGCAAGTCCTCGCTTTTCTCGTACGCCAGATTCTCCAGCTTCTTGAGGTTATCCCTTCGCGCATTGTCGATCTTGAAGCTTTCCAGCAGCTGATCGGCCACAATTGCCGCCAGTTCGTTCTTCCGTCGCCGACGCTGCTTCTTCTTGGCGGGCAGCTCCACTTCCTCCTTGGGCGGAGGAACGGGTTCCTCCACTGGCGTGGCCGTCGTGGGAATCGGCTGCTCCGACTGGGCCAGACTGTGGAAACCCGAGGAGGTGTTGTTGTTCAGGTTGCTGCTGTGCTCCTCCATTAGGGAGCTGCAGTTGGTCTCCGCCATCGTGGTGGGCGGGGGCGTGGCAGTGCGGGGTGGCAGCGGCAAGGCCGGCGCCACGGAAATGACGGAAACCGGCACAGGTGCAGGGACAGACGCCTCCGGCAGTGGATCGATCCCGGCGACAGGATCAGGAGATTCCGGAGACTGACGCTCCATTGGCGGAGGAGAGGCAGCAGGCGAGGTCACTGGAATGGGCGTCGGATCGGCCGCCGGTGGGATAGTTTCCGGCTTCTTTTCCTTAACACTCATTATGGGGCCTTGAGCTGGAAGGGAAGCAGCTGGATCAGAAACAGGAACTGGAACAGGAGCTGGAGCTGGAGCTTGGATTGTATCTGGAAGCTGAGGCATCTCCACTTTCGCATCCCCATTCACTGGCAGCGAGATAAACTGCTGCAATGGCGCCACCGGCAAAGTCTCCTCCAGGGCGAGCAAAGCAGAGCGACAGTCGATGGTTCGCGAGCGCATGGAACGTTTCTTGGGCGTCAGATTCTTGGCAGGCACGGGCTGTGGGGCAGGAGCCACGGGAGGAGGAGCAGCGGGAGAAATAACAACGGCAGGAATAGCATTGACAGGCTGAGTCTTGTCCAAGCCTGGTGACAGGAGCAATCCCGCGGAGGGTTGCAGCGCCAAGATGCAGTTGCTCGTCTTGTGCAGCGGTTCCTCCAGCTTTTGCTTCTCCCTTTCTCGTTCCCGTTGCCTCTCGCTTTCCTTGTCTTTCCTTGCCTGCTCCTCCTCATCGTCGTCCGGCAGACTCGCTTGGACAGCCATAATGACCGAGTTAATGGCATCGTCGATGTGGTTGTTGACCACCTCATCCATGCGAGGGCACACCTTCGCCTGGCCCTTCCCGTGGTCCTTTTTGGAGTTCCCTGTTCCCTCCAGTGAGCGCTTTTTGCCGCCCGAACTCTTCACGGGATGAACGGGCGTGGCAACGGATGCGGACATGGATACTGGCGGTGGACCGTTGGACGGCACCACCACGCCAGTGCCAGGATTGCGCACCTGTGGGATCTTGAGCAGATCCAGGTTGGAGTAATAGTGCGAGGCCAAAGGCGCAGGAACTCCGCCTGGCATTGCGAGTTGGCCGGAAACCAAGGCAGCACCTGGCGGTGGAAGCGGAGCGCCTGGATGCTGTTGAGGTGGCAGTCCTGTTGCTCCCGTTACCAATGGCAGTGGGACAGGTGGCATTGGCAGCTCCTGCGGCATCCTAGGCGGCGGCACCGGCGACGGCTTTCTGCTCGACTTCTTCGACAGATCCAGCGGCTCCATATCCATGTCCAAGCCGATCAAGTTTCGTGCCTCGAATCCACAGATCGTTTGCCGCCTGGCGGGCATACCTCCCGCGCGGTGATGCGGCAGGCCAACGAGTCCAGGGTCCCCCGTTGTGCCGCTGATCAGCGGCTTTTGCAGCACTCCTCGGTGGCTGGTCAGGTTCAGGGGCTGATGGTCCATCACGAACATGGTGGTCGGCGCGGGATTGGAATTCTGATTCGGATTCGCTTGGAGCTGCGGCATATACAGTGGCATCTTGGGCAGCATGCTAACGTTCACGGGCACTGGCCCCACCGGCAGTGGAGCTGGCATTCCCTGCATTCCCAACGTCATTGCCACGGGCACAGCGAGGGGAACGGCCCCGGGTACGGATGCCGGATTAGTAGGCGGCACGGCAAGCAGTGGTTCCAGCGGAGGGTACTGCTTCAGGGCGGCCAACGAGGCTGGCTTCGGTGGTGGAGCAGCCATCTGTTTGGTTGCCGCCTTCGTGGGCGTGCGCCTTGGAGGCGGATGGGCCAATGCAGCGGCTGGCGGAGGAGCAAGTGCGGCGACTGGCGGAGGAGCAGGTGCAGCGACTGGCGCAGGAGCAGGTGCAGTGATTGGCAGAGGAGCTGGTGCCACACCTGACGGAGGAGCCGGGGCGGGCACTGGCATACTGCTGAGAACGGGAGGTGGGAGGGCAGCAGGAGTTGGCACCAAAGTAGGAGGCGGAACTGAAGGCGCCGCGGCTGCTACAGGAACCTTAACTCCTTCTGGCAGCTCCGCCGGAGGTTTCCGCACTTGTATCGACTCCAACACGGGCTCCGGTGTGGCATCCACTTTGATGATTCGCCGGGACACAGCCTTACGTTTGGGCGTCTTTGGCTGCACTCGCTCCTTTTCTGCAGCCGCAAGTACAGGTGTCTCCACCAGCTGTGCTGCCATGTCCCCCTTCTCCGGCGACTTCTCTTGCTCCACAGTTGTCTTCTCCTTTTCCGGCGGCGCAGGCGGTGGCACTTGCTCTGTTTTGAGCTTCTCCTCCAGTTTGCCGGTGAGCATGGCTATGCAGTCGCTAATCCTCTTGCTGCGCTTCACACTCGAATTGGGCGTCAACAGGCGAGAGCTGGCAGAGAAGGGTGGAGCAACAGCGGCAGCTGGCGGGGATTTGGTAGCCGGCGCAGGGGTTGTGGGCGGTGTGGGCATTAGCTGCTTGCTGGGAGTGGGCGATGCTGGCTCCGAATCCGGAACAGAGGCCGGTGGAGCAGCTGCCTCTGGGAGGGTTAGTGGCAGTTCAAGCCGCAAGGATGGCTTTTCCTCAGCGGGCGACTGTGACTTGGCAGTGGCTGTGGGTGCGGGTGCGGGGGGTTTCGCCTCCGGTTTGGCTGGCAATTGCTCCGATTCGAATTCAATTGTCGGTTCTGGCGGGGATTTGACTTTATCCTGCTTTGCCTTCTGATGTTGTTGTTGTTGCTTCTGTTTGCGACGACTGCGCTGATGCTGCGCGGCGACAGCGGCGGACGAGGAGCCCGTGGCCACCACCGATGATCTCGATCGTGATCTTGTGGTGCGCAGCAAGTGCTGATTGTAGATTCTCTTTGTGCTGCTGCGCTGCTGTTTGGATTTCGATTTGACCAGCGACTTGGCCATGGACTTGGCCTTGGCCTTGTTCTTGGCCTTTCGCTTGGCCTTGTTGTCCACGGGGAAGATCTTCTTGCAAATGCGCTTGGCGGGCAGGTTTTCCAGCATCTTGCGAATGGATTCGGCTGGAATGGGAAATGGAAATATTAGATTGGGTCAATGTTAGGAATTCACTGAGAGGTCTTACCATCGCTGGGCCTTTGGCGTGGCGAGTTCTTCAACTTGGACGAACTGGAGCCGCTCTCCTCGCCCTCTGCCTCGCCCTCACCATCTCCCTCGGCTTCGCCGTCTCCGATGCCCTCCTCCACTTCCACCTCCAGCTTCTCCTTCTTGCGGGCGGATAGCTGCTTGAGCGGCTTCTTGGAGAAGGCCCGTCGCTTTTTGGTGCCGCAGTAGTAGCGATACTTGCGCTTCTTGGCCAGCGACCACACATAGTCGCCGGAGCAGTCCAGCATGTGGCGGTAGAGATCCATGAGGCCGCTACACTTGCGGCCGCACTTGGTGCAGCTGGAAGGAGCGGACGAGGAGGAGGACAGCGTCGTGGTCGCTGTCGAGGACGTGCAGGTGGAGTGAGACATCGCGGTGGGGGCGGTGGACATCAGGGTGGAGGCAGAGGATGAGCTGGGCGAGCACGACGACGATGTAGACGCAGTGCCCGATCCCGAGGCCGGCGACGGTTGTTGCTGCTCCAGTCCCGAGAGCGGAGTGGGCGTGGACACCTCGTACGATGAGCGCGAGGAGGCAGACGACCTGGTCTCCTCCTCCGGCTGCACACGCTCCTGCTCCTGCTTGGGCTGCTGCACTGGGGCAGGCGCGATCTGCGGCCACCGTATGCAGTTGCTCGCGGCGGCAAAGCGACACAGCGCCCGCTTGGGGATAAAGAGGTGGCGCAGCAGGTTGCCGGCCAACAGCTCCCGTCCCACGACCTCGTAGTGCGTGGCGTAGATGTGCGAATGGCGGAAGGTCTTGTGCTCCTCCAGCGACTTGCGCTGATCGAACTTGGCGCCACAGCAGATGCAGAGGTAGAGCCGTGGGCGCGCCCACTCGCCGCTTAGCACGACAGCCCTTCGGTTCCTGAGCCGCTCCCGCTCCAGTTCCCGCTCGTGGTCCCGCTCCCGCTCCCGCTCTCGATCCTGATTCTGATCGCTGGTCCCGGTTCTCGGCTGTAGTTGAAGCAGGGAGAGGAAACTCTCGTCGGCGAAACTCTGAGGTAGCAGATCGTCCCCAGCATGCGTATCCAGGCCAACCGGCTCATCCTCCTCGTTCTCGCACTTAATTACCGCCTGTTCGTTCTGCTCCAGGATGATGTGCGGCAGCAGGCGGTGGTCAAGTATGAGATTGAGCTGCTCCAGCAGGCGGCGCTGCTCCTGGTTCTGCTCCTCCGCCTGCGAGAGCGAGAGATCGTGCTTCTGGCGCATCGTCAGCTGCGTCCACATGTCCAGCTTAGAGAGATCGCGCAGACCCAGGTAATTTGGCTGCTTCAGCTTCTTCACCAGCCGCCCGCCCTCGTTGATCAGCGTGAACTTCTTCACGTAGTCCCACTTCCACTTCCAGCTGTGCTTGGTGTGCGGTCTCCGACGGAACTTGGCCAGCGGCAGCAGTTCCCCCGTGCCGCCGAACTGCTCCGCGGTCAGCAGCGTTGGGTAGGAGGCGCCGCCAGGACCCACCTGACTGGGTCCGTGCAGCATAATGAGTTCCGGCTTGTGAGATGCGGACGACGATGATGATGATGATGATGGGGAGGTGAATAGCCGGCCGTCGAGGTGATTCTGGAGATTGTGGCGCACATTGAACACTACATCCTTGTAGAACTTGTCATCGAACACTGAGCTGGCGGCGGAGGAGGAGACGCAGGCCAAGCTGGCTGGCAGCCGAAAGACTGCGTCCGGATTGACCGCATCGTGCGATTGCAGAGCCTGATTTCCAGCCGGAGTGGCTTGCTGCAACTGCAGCTGCTGAAGCTGTTGCCGCTGCGCCGCCGCACGGCTGCTGCTCCGGGACTTGCTGCTGGGCGTGGCCAGGGGCGGTGGCTCCTCCTCCTTGCGCTGGTTGCGATTCCGATGGCTAGGCAGCCGGTTCTGGGTAAGCCCGAGCCGAAACAGCACCGGCTCGTCGGCGCCCATCAGTCCGGGCTTGGGGGCATCCTCCGGCAACGGATGCTGCTGTCGCTGGTGCCCCGACAAATGGTCCGCATCCTGGAAGCGCAGGCGACACGGCTGGCAGCCGAAGTACTTGTCCGCATGCTGGTCACTCAGGTGCTGGAACAGCTGCTCCAAATGCTTCGCCGGCAGACAGATCTGCGGGGGCGTGGCCTGGCGCCGATTGGCCTGCTGGCCGCACCACTGGCAACCGGGGAAGCCGCCGGCGGGATGGGAATTGGAGCTGGTGGAACGGCCGCTGCAGCGCCGCTCCTGCCGCTCGGTGTGGAACTTGTCCACATGTTTGGCCTGCAGCTTGCCGGAGGCGAACTTTCTATCACAGTACAGACACAGGACCTTCGAGTGGCCCGCTGCTCCTCCCAGCCCGGCGGCTTCATCCCGCTCCCGTTCTCGCTCTCGCTCGCGTTCTCTTTCCCGCTCCTCCGTCAGCTGATGCAACTTTTCCACCAGGCGGGGCAGCCGCTCCAGCGGCAGGCTGCAGATCAGCGAGATCGATTCCTGCTCCGCCTCGTGCGGATCGGGCTCGTCGTGCGGCTCAGGTTCCTCCTGCTCCACGTCCGCCTCCTCCTGCCTGGGCTGCCGCTTCTTGCGCGGACTGGGGGCAGCAGCAACGGCAGCGGGAGCTGGGGGCGTGGCCGGTCCAATTGGATTCTTGCCGTTGACCTGCTCCTCCGAGAGCTTGAAGCCACGGCGCAGGCCGAAGCGCGACATGGTCTTCATGTGGAGGCCAATGGGTCGTCGAACGGTTCGTTGCACAAGTTCACTGCTTCGTCACTCCTGCAAGCAGTGTGAAGCGAACAACAAATTATTACTCTGTGCCCTGCTTTCTTCCTTCTTCTTTTTGTTGACAAATAAACCGCAAGAAGAAGCAGCGAAAAAACAAAAACTACTCGCACACACACACAAGCACACCTGCTCAATAGGAAATTATACAATAAACATTTTCGACTCCTCAGGTTTAATATAGCATTTTACCCACTTTCCACTCCACTTTGACTTTTGTGATTTTGTCTGTCCTGGTTTTCGTGTCGCTTCGATTCTGGTGTATTGCACTTTTCTGGCTGGGATTGGGGGATGCGGATGCAGACCAGCCCAGGACCGGATCGGATCAACGGATTGCACGCGAATAGCCAACGCACGGCATTGCAGTTTGGTTCAGTTCAGTTCATTTCGGTTATAGAGTGGCTATATGGTGTGGTATTATTTTTTCCTTGTATATTGCCTTTCCACCCTAACAACTGCGTTAGGAGGTATCTAACGTTTAGCCCAAATCGATGCGTGCGTACGGCGCAGAGGGGGCGGCGACGAAGGGGGCGGGACGGGGGGCAGGACGACGACGATACTTTCTGGTACTCGTACCCGTACTCGTACTCGTTCCCTTTCTGATACTAACGATGGCCAAACGATTTTTCGGCGGCGGCATTATCAGCCATCTATGTGCTATATAAACACTAATTCAATTTCACTGTCCTCCAGCTCATGTGCATATATTTGGTTCGTTCACACACAACACAGCAGCAGGAGCGCCCGAGTTTAATGTGTGTTTTTTTTTTTTATGAGAAATCGAAATCGCGTCAAAATGGTCGGGTTTACCAGTGTGTACACACTGTCTGTTGGGCCGTCGCGAGGGAAGTGCTTCGACTATCGATAGTTATTAACCAGGTTAATAGATAACTCCCCGTTGAAAAACATGATATTACTATTATTAAACGCTTTTTTATTGACAATACTATAGAACTAGTATATGCAATACAAAATAAATCGATAGTCAGAGGTTGCCAAGCAATTACTTGAGCTGCAAGTTTAAAAATTAAAGCATCGAATTCAAATTGTCAATCTTATAACTCTAGAGTTACTTATTGAAAAATTAGTATTTTAAAGAAGGTACATATTTGCAAAAATTATATGATGCATTTATTCATTTAAACCTTATTACATTTCTGGCTATAATGACTTTATGTACAAAAGGGGAGTACCTAGACACATTGTACACATTTTAGTACTTTCTAAACTTATCTTTGTATTGGATTTTATATAGTTGGAGAAAAGTCTAATTGGAAGCTACAAATTTTAATTTTTTCTTTTTGAATTTGATAAATGCCACTTCTACATTTCAATTCCACTGCACTCTTAAGATAAGCTAATTCCTCCTCATGTATACTTTTTAAATGATTCGTTTCAAAATTTTGAATAATCTGAAATAAGAGCCAGTGGAAGTCGGCTATAATTGGCATAAAGGGTAAAATGAAATGTGATTTTGGTTAAAGAGTAAATTGTATACAAAAAAACCAAATGAAATCTAAAAATTACCGTTCTTGTACTATTGTTTTTACCATTTACCCTTCTTAGATAATTGGAAAATGGTGTACCTTGGTTTTACCGAAGTATTTGTTTTCACAAATACCAAGTGCATTACCTAGGTAGAAAATACTAGTACCTGTCCCGACATTGACAAAAGGACATTTATTTGCGCCTTTCGATAACCACGCCTATTTGTGTTTTCGATGATTGAGTCGGAAGAATAATGCGAAGGTTTGCCTGTCAGTAACATACATATCGATAGGCACCAGCCGACCATCGATTACAGCGTGACAGCCGGGTAGCGTTGCCACCCCACAGCAATGTTGGCTTGTTTTTGACGAGTCATTTTCTTGTCTTGTCTTGCAACTAAACTAAACCAAATTAAAACTCACTGCTGGACGGAAACAATGCCGTACAATATGGACATACTGATGCCGGAGAAGGTAAGTGTTTGGGGCTGCACCGGTTGAACTGGATAATATCCGTTAACATCCCCTTTCGCCAGCAGGACGAGCTTTCCGACTTGAAGCCGAAGGATGCGCACAGTTCCCTGGACGAACTGGACATTGATGATCTGTATGTGCGCTACAAGGTGAGCAAAGCAGTGTTCCCCTCCAGTCGGCAGCCAGCTAATCCTTTTCGAGTCCACAGAAATTGCAAAAGACCCTGGAGTTCATAGAGGTCCAGGAGGAGTACATCAAGGATGAGCAGCGGAACCTTAAGAAGGAGTACCTCCATGCCCAGGAGGAGGTGAAGCGCATCCAGTCAGTGCCGCTGGTGATCGGCCAGTTCCTGGAGGCCGTCGACCAGAACACAGGCATTGTGGGCTCTACCACCGGCTCCAACTACTACGTGCGCATCCTGTCCACCATCGATAGAGAACTGTTGAAGCCCTCCGCCTCGGTGGCCCTGCACAAGCACAGCAATGCCCTGGTGGACGTTCTGCCGCCGGAGGCCGACAGTTCCATCTCCATGCTGCAGCCCGACGAGAAGCCGGATGTGAGCTATGCGGACATTGGTGGCATGGACATGCAGAAGCAGGAGATCCGGGAGGCCGTCGAACTGCCCCTCACCCACTTTGAGCTGTACAAGCAGATCGGCATTGACCCCCCGCGAGGAGTCCTGATGTACGGTCCACCCGGATGTGGCAAGACCATGTTGGCCAAGGCGGTGGCCCATCACACGACAGCCTCGTTCATCCGCGTGGTCGGATCGGAGTTCGTGCAGAAGTATCTCGGCGAGGGACCGCGCATGGTGCGCGATGTCTTCCGGCTGGCCAAGGAGAATGCGCCGGCCATCATCTTCATCGACGAGATCGACGCCATTGCCACAAAGAGATTCGATGCCCAGACGGGCGCCGATCGCGAGGTGCAGCGCATTCTGCTCGAGCTGCTCAACCAGATGGACGGCTTCGATCAGACCACCAACGTCAAGGTGATCATGGCCACCAACAGGGCGGACACTCTGGATCCTGCCCTGCTGCGTCCCGGTCGTCTGGACCGAAAGATCGAGTTCCCGCTTCCCGATCGCCGGCAGAAGCGTCTCGTCTTCTCCACCATCACCTCAAAGATGAACCTCAGCGAGGACGTCGATCTCGAGGAGTTTGTGGCGCGGCCGGACAAGATATCTGGGGCCGACATCAACGCCATCTGCCAGGAGGCGGGTATGCATGCGGTGCGCGAAAACCGCTACATCGTCCTAGCCAAGGACTTCGAGAAGGGTTACAAGAACAACATTAAGAAGGACGAGCAGGAGCACGAGTTCTACAAATAGATTAAGAATAACATTTTTCCTTCCCATTGTCCCTTAACACTACACTCTCGTTTGTACGCCTAAAGTTATATCATTAATAAAAACAACTCGTATTCGAAGTGCTGCAGGAATGGCTTCTTTGTTGGGTCGACTTGCTTTCGGGAATCAATTTATTTCTGTCAGCTTAGCAGTCTTAAAGTTATGTAGCTGCTTTAATATTTGTAGATTTCTTTTATAATTACACATTAATTAAAACTCGTGGTCTGTCCAACTATACAACTCGAGAAGGAAAATAACAAAGTTATTACATTAGCAAACACTTTTTGAGTTACAGTCAATCTCTACTAAAATAATAGCAGGAGTACTTATATCAGTATTGGAAAAGTATAGAAAGTTATTTAATTCAAAAGCTTAGATTAATATTTTCGGTAAACGTTTTTGAATAAACTCTAACCTTTAAATGCGTTCATTTAAAACGAGCTTTCACGACACCCACACCCAATCAAAAACAGCGCCACTTACTCAACAACAAAATAGACAATAGCATTGTATTTGATTCGGTCGAGAGGGAAGGTAAACAAAGAGCATTAGGAAGGGGATAGGTGCCTGGAGGGAGCTACTTCATCAGCGAGTTGACCACGGCGTTTACGTTGATGGCCTTGAGGTCGGCGTACGTTTGACCCGTGCCCACGAACACAATCGGCTGGCCGGTGATGTAGGTCATGGAAATGGCGGCGCCCACCTTGTCGTCGATGGTGTCGAACTTGGTCAGCACGATGCCGTCGATGATGTGCGGGTTCTCGTTGGAGGAGTAGTCGGCCAGCGACTGGTTGAACTTGACTAGCTGGTCGACGGCCTCGTTGCCCACCAGAGCCTCGCCCACGAAGAGCACCAGGTCCGGGTTGTTGACCTTGATCAGCTTGGACAGCGAGCGCATCAGCGGCTCGTTGTCCTGCATGCGTCCGGCGGTGTCCACGAGGACCACGTCCACCCGCGTGTCGTGGGCGAACTTGATGGCCTCCATGGCAATGCCGGCGGCGTCCTTGCCGTAGCCCTTCTCGTACAGCTGCACCATGGTGCGGCCGTCGTGCTTGGCCGCCGGATGCAGGGCGTTCAGGTGGCGGGTGTGTGTGCGCAGCTGCTCCACGGCGCCGGCACGGAAAGTGTCGCAGGCCGCTATCAGCACGTTAAAGTTGTTCTCGATCAGCCAGAAGCAGATCTTCGCCAGATTGGTCGACTTTCCCACGCCATTGACGCCGCAGAAGATTATTGTGTACGGTCGGCCATTGCGCTTCGACTCCAGGGCATCGCGAATGATGTCGATGCGCCGTTTCGGTGAGAGAATCCTGACCAGCGACTGGGTCAGCGCCTCCTTCACCTGGCTGGCGATGCTGTCGAAGGTGCCCATCTGCTTGCCCTCCAGACTGGTGGCCACCGAGTCGCACAGCTTGGCCGCGATCTCCGTGGCGACGTTCTTCGATATCAGATGGTCGCGCATCTTCTCCAGCGCCGGCTGCAGATCGCCCAGCGACATGGTTTTGGCGCCCACAATGCCCTTGAAGTAGGACAGCAGTCCGCCGCGTTTGTTCTTCTTCGACTGCACCTGTTCCTCCTCCTCAGAGGACTCGTCGTCGTCCTCGACTTCGTCCTCACTCTCCACGTCCAAGTCGCGAATCACACCCTGCATCGTGCCCACCAGCTGTCGCCCGGAAAAGAAAAGTATACGAAAATAAATACATTTGGATATTAAGACCCACAAATCAAGCAGGAAATCCTAACTTGGTAGAATTATACTGAGATTGCCAAAAAATTTTCATTGGTTTTTTCTTATCCATAATTTTTGAATGGCTAATACAAAATTTTAAACGAAACTTTACAACATATATATATTTCTGATCCAACAACGGAAAAACGAATATTGGTAGTGAAAAGAGAGTTCGAAATCGTTTCGGTTAAGATATAAAATATAATTCATTTAAAACATGCAATTTTGTATCTCAATAAAACTCGATTGCAAGAAAAAAACCTTTAATTTTGTTGGTTTACTCCACTAAATATGGCATTAGGCCAATTGAGATAGTTATTATTGTAAGGTCTAGTGAAAATGCAGGACCCTCAAAAGCTATTGGCTCAAAGGCAGCAGCTGCCACTGATTCACCAGAATCGTTTCATTATTTCCCAGCCTCACTCACCTCGCTGTTTATGTTCTGGTACTGCACATCCTCGGGCGTATCCTTGGAGCGGTCCAGCATGACGGCGTCCTTGGAGTTGCCGCCGAGATCCCAGACACGCGGCTTCTTGCCGGCCTTCTCGGAGGCAGTGGACTTGCTGGGCTTGGGGTCACTGGGCGAGGTCTTCTTGGTGGGCGTGAGCTTCTCGCGCAGCTTGCGCCGGTTCTCCCGTATGATGTCGTCCATGGAGGCTGGCGGCGACGATTGTTGCGACTTGGACGGCGGGGGGCTCTCCTGGATGTTGACCCGCTTCTCGGCCGGCTTCTTGTCGTCCTGGATCATCGAGGCGACGGTCTTCTTGGACTTTTGCGACTCATTGTAGGAGCGCATGGCCTTGGGCGCCTTCACCTGCTTGGCGGACGCCTCCTCGGCGGCACTGAGCACCCGACGGTACTCGCGGTCGAAATCATAGTCGCCGCCCAGACGCTCCGCGGCCGGAATGCCACCGAACTTCTCCTTGAAGGCCAGCTGCATGTCAGCCAGGAACCCGTCCAGGTAGTTCAGCTTGATCACCTTCTGGAAAATGGCCGCGTAGACCAGGTCCAGTTCGTTGTCCAGCTTGAACTGCACGGCCAGGTGGTCCTCCTCGAAGTACTTGGCCTCTGTGTTCCGGTCCTGGGCCAAAAAGGATTAGTATCCATTTACAAACAGTCGCCGTCCGACTCCGACTCCGACTCCAACTCATCAACACCACACTCTACACTTCACTCACCTCCAGGATAACGCCACGTATCAGGCTGTTGATGCACGAGGCGAAGCTGCTCCCCGACGCATTCGAGTGCCACAGCACCACGCCGCCCTTGGTGAATATCACCACAAAGTCCAACATTTTAGCTACGAATCCGGCAGTACAACGCGACAAAGTTTATTGCATTTCATTTGCATCAAATTTGACGTTAGCTTAGCTTACCGTTCCACGTCCGCTAGAGGTAATATCGATGTTTGGCAGGGCGTCATCGATGTTCTCCCATCTGTAACGAGTATTCAAAAATCCACTACTTTCACTGCTTTTGCGTGGTATTTTATCGAATAGCTGAAAAACTATCCTACTAAACGGAGAAATGGTCTCACCAAAAAATATATTCAAGTTTTGGCGCTCAATAAAAAAATGCACCTCAATCCTTAATTTTTTATATAAATTAAAAACTAAGAAAATCTTAACCCAAGAGATGGATCCGAAATTATATAAAATATGATAGTTTAGGCAATAAACACCGAGATATACGCTTAGTTCTTCGAAAACAAACAAATTTTTCTAGATATGTTTTATAACAGCTTTTACATAGTAGTTTTAATGTCATCATTGTACACATAAGAAATTGATTTAAAAAGTTGTATGTTTTATACAGGGTAAACAAATATCTTCAGAAGCAAAAAACTTAACAAAAATGTTGTAGGATATAGACGCCCGATAAGCGCTGCTTTTAAACTTAATCTGCTTACACATAAAGGAAACAATTGCGGAAGTTTTAAGTCTCTAGTTTTAAAACTCAGCCTGCTGAGTTGCTATAGAAAAATAAGGGAGGCTATATACAGCTGTTCTTTGTTTTTCTTTTGCTGCGGAGGGTAGAACAAATAACAAGAAAGGAAAGCTAGCTTCGGACGGAGCCGAAGTTGATATACCCTTTCAGAATATTCTGTAAATTATATTCTTCAAAATTATTCATTTGATACATTCTTAATACTCATAAAAAGTCCCAACTTCCTAATTTTAAAAATACCAAAGTTATGGCATTTCCAATCGTTCAGTTATATGGCAGCTATAAGATATAGTCGGCCGATCCTTATGAAATATGGTATGTCGGATTGATTGGCCAAAAATAAAACCCATAGAAAATCCCAACTCCTTAACTTTACAAACACCAAAGTTATGGCACTTCCGATCAATCAGTTATATGGCGGCTATAGGATATAGTCGGCCGATCCTTATGAAATTCGGTAGGTCGGATTAATTGTCCAAAAATAAAACCCATAGAAAATCCCAACTTCCTTACTTTAAAAACACCAAAGTTATGGCTTTTCCGATCGTTCAGTTATATGGCAGCTATATGATATAGTCGCCCGATCCGGCTCGTTCCGACTTATATACTACCTGCAATAGAAAGACAACTTTTGGGAAAGTTTCAAGCATATAGCTTTAAAACTGAGGGACTAGTTTGCGTAGAAACGGACGGATGGCTAGATCGACTCTCCTGGTGATGCGGATCAAGAATATATATACTTTATAGGGTCGGAAATGTCTCCTTCACTGCGTTGCAAACTTTTGACTGAAATTATAATACCCACTGCAAGGGTATAAACAAATATGACCAATTTATGTATAATATGCTCCGCAAGGGAATAAAAAGACCAAACATAGTGAAATATTAATTTAATTTAAACATTTATCTTTGTACACCTATTATTGTGACCAACCAAAATTGGCGGACTTAAGAAAATATTTAATTTAGTGTTATATTAAAGGATTTGTGAAACTGTTTTTACTTTTTTTTTTAAAGACAATGAATGGGATTAAGTTATGAAAAAAATTTGATTTGTTGAGATTAGAAAGATATAAATTAGAAATAGAAAGTTAAAAAAGAAAAAAAACACACCTATTATTTTTTCCATAAGTGCAGCTTTCAATGAATAATTACTTTGGTTGGGATAGCCAGTGTTTTTGAACAGTCGGTCTTCTGCTCGTTCAAAACCATCCTTCCATATAACGAAACTAGATCTCATTTGTTCTTCGTCAAAAATTAAAACACCTTTTCTTTTGCTTTACACATCTTTAATGTTAATTTTAGTTGTGTATGTTCACTTTTTATTACAATATAATTTATTATTTATATTTAATAATACATTATTAGAGTCCAAGTCCTAACACTTTCATTATTTTATTTATACCGCATAATATCGAAGCACTCATTCAGTTGGTTTTTCCATATTAACATTGTTTTAAAAACTCGCATTTGGTGGATTAAAAAATTGTTATCATTCGCCTGCTTTGGGAGGGGTAATTTTATAGTGCTCTGAAGAAATGCAATAACAAAATGATTAAACGTCTTGATTGGATAAATACCTTAGGAGAAGCACGTGAGTATGTTTTTCTTTTTTCGTGTTCGTGTTCGTTTTCATTTTACTTTTAATTTTCTTTTGCGATTTTGTTTAGTTTGTTTATTTGCTTTGTTTCGTTTAAGGCTAAGTTACTATGTTCTCCGCTATTTGGAACTGATCTGTTTCTTTTCAACGCAGTACAAGCAGTGTGTGGAAATCCATGATTTGGTTAAGTTTCGTTTGATTTGCTTTCGATAGTTTTTAGTCGTGTAAAACGTAATTAAATATAAGTAATAAATATTAGTACAAAATGAAATGCAAATCATCTTTAAATAATAATAGCAAAGACAGTTTGCATTTTAAATTCTTTACCGAAGTCGCTTAAAATGACAAAAAAAATATAATGTAAATTATATATAGATCAGAGTAGAGAGAACGAAAGGAAAAGGATTTGGGTTATCCAAAAACACTTGCTGGCTAAATATCTCTCAGGCAAAGATTGCAGTTCGGATGCATAAGATAATCATTATAGTTACGGGGAATACGTATGTAAATTGGATTTGGTGCAATAGTATTTTAATAAATTAATACAAATTAAATACAGTTTTGTGGCCTTGAAATAAATACAATGCGCGATTAGTTCGTAGTTGTAAAATGTAATAGATTTGTGCCGTGGCATGAACAAACTCTGGACGAGCATTTAAAACGACAAAATGAAGAGAACAAATCGCATAAGGTAATTATATTAAATGGAATCTCATATTATATATAGAGTAGTAGTAATTAAAGTATAGTAAATGTCTTTTTCTTTTACAAAAGTATCGACTGCGCAGAAATTATAACCATAATCATATAATCATAATCGAAAGAGACAGTGAAAGAGAAAGAGAACCCAACAAAGTCATGGTCTGCCTTTTTGTGGGTTTCGCTGTTATTGGTGTGTTGCTCTCATGGTAAATCTGTTCCCGTGCTTAGTTCGTAAAGTATATATTTAACAGACTTTCAACAGAGTGCCCCTCGATTATGAATGTAGTTTAAAACTTAATAAACCAGCTCGCAGCGATATCGAGTTGGACAGAGAAGGAGATATGGGGCTGACAAGTCTTTTTTGTTATCAATCATTGAACATTCAAGTTTCTCAGAACGGATGCAGAAATTTTTATTAATACGCTAGACGACAGATCGTTAAAAATGCCAAAAGAAATGGGATATCTGATTTACACATGTTTTGTATATAAAAACTTCTGTTCTAATGTCGATTCTGTCCGTCCGTCCGTCCTTCGGTCCAAACGACTTTTTGTGTAAGAGTAACCCGCCACCCGACCCCCTCGCCAGGACTTCAAGCGTGGACCAGGGCCTCCAAGGCCGATGGTATCCAACTGCGAGGGGGTCAAGTGGGAGGGTTCAATAAAAAATTTAAAGTTCTAGTGAGAGTGCATTTCGCATTCTATAAACAAAGACGGGAAGCCAGAGGGGAAGGTTGTGTAAAAAAAAGGGGCAGGTGATCAAATGGGGTGCGGGAACTAACGCTTGCCGTTCGGCGAGTTGAAACTGCACGAAAGCATCTCCTCCTTGGCCAGCTTTGCGCGGTACTCGGCCATCATGTCCCGGCACTGGATGGCGATGTCCAGCAGCTGCGAAAACATCGACTCGCCCCGCTTGCAGTACGAGTCCTGGTCATAGTCCACATAGTTGGTCAGGTTGTACAGCGCCTTCGACTCGGAGAGGAAGGTCTCGAGTGTGGCGTTCACGGTGCGGTGATACTCCACCACCATCTCCTCCGTCTGCTGCAGGTCGTCAATGGCCTGGTGCTGTACAATCAACTCATCGGACATCTCGTGTTCCTGCAGATGATAGTGGATTAAGTAGTTTAGTATTATTTTTTCAAATAATTCCTTTTGGGCAGGTAATACTATACTAATGCAAATTATATTGGGTTAAAAACTTATGAATTAAATACCTATATCCTTTCCAATTCTTGGTCTTTAGAGAGAAACACCGGCTTGAGTGGAATTCCAAAACAAAAATGAAAGTTTCTGCATACGTTCAGCAAGTAACAAAATATATAAAAATGTAAGAATGCAGCTAAGCGAATAAATGCTTTTCAATTCGGATTTACTGGCGGGACGAAAATCGATTCAGCCGCGGCCGAAATACATCAGGATGCGCTGGATCCCTGACAAATGGCAAATGGCAGGCGTACTTATACAGCGATTCGTCGCAGTCTGAAGTCGAGAAGAGTGTCTGCGTGCGGCAGCGGTGCAATAGCAGTCGCTTTCTGGACTCCTTTGGATCTTCTGCAAACTGTGGCGGCGGTGGCAGTGGCGGCACAGATTCCACAGTCATCTGCTCGTTGGCTTTTCCCTGGCGCGACTTTATCTCCGCAATCAGGGCGACCATCTCTCCGGTCTTCAGCACAAACCGCTCTCCTGCCGGCCGCAGTTGCTGAAACTTGCTGAAAAGCAGCTGATCTCTATCCGAATGCATCCCAAAATTGCAGACCCTCTTAGCCGCTTTATTTTCGGGCCCGTGCTGCCGGTTCGCGGCATTAAAACCTTTTGCTTTTGCCTCTGCCAGGTTGACTGGTTTGGTTTTCTGTCGCCTCTGTTGCGGCATTTCCCGATTGTCGTCCAGCGGCACAAAGAATGCCCCGACCAATGGTTCGGCTTTGGCGCTACCATCTTGCTCGAAGGGCACATAAAACGACTCATAATTGCATGGCCTTCCACCCTTGTTCTTGTCCTCTTTGGGACGATGGTCAGGAGTCGGGGGATGCACCCACCGCTTGACGATCGCCTTTGGTGCATCTTTTCCCACTGAACTGGTCTTTTGTTTTGCATAGACGTTGTAGGTTTTATTAGCCGGTTTAGCCATCTTGGGTTTGTTACAGTTCCACACGCGAACAGGGTCATGCGCCCCAAGGTGGACGCCTTTGACCCGGGCACTCATTGCTCCGGCTACGAAGACTTCACTTGCTCCTCTTTGGCCGCCCATCACAGGTGGTAACTTACTGTATACCGATTGCAGGGTTCGCGAGTTGGTATACCTCCCGATATTTGGCGTGTGGCTTTCACGAGCAAATGGCATCGATTTTGACATTGTGTTTCGTATCGATTGACTTGTATTATGAACTAAAATCTAAACTGAAAGCGCTGCAAACTGAACTCGAACTGGATGTGACTGAGGTGAAGCTAACGGCAAAGCCATCTTTGCAAATAGTTGGCATACTTAGCCTGATATATAAATTGAATTGAGTCGAAGTTCCCAGACTGAGAGTATTCGTTTCAGTTAATTTTGTGATGCCAACTATCTAGTCTTGATTGGTTCTATAGGGAGGGTCGGGGACAGTTTCGGGAAAAAGGACATGTCCTTTCTTAATACTCACGCTCAGCGAACTCAGCATGGCCAGGTCCATGTTTCCAGCGTTTCCGTTCTTGTTGTTGTTGTTATTGTTGTTGTGAATACTAGGTCCCGAGTGATGAGAACCAGGACCGCCGACACGCTGGTTGTGCGACTGAGAGGCCGCGTGCGTGTTCTGGTGCAGCTGGTGAGAGTGCGGATGCACCAGGTTGAGCTCCTCCTCCTCCTCGTCGTCCATGATCTCGATGGGTTCGCTGTCGCCGCCAGGGCCGACCTCGGCGATATCCTTCACCACCAGCTCCTTGACACGGTCCGCGTAGCGTAGCGTGTTGAGCGTGTGCTCGCAGGAGCTCAGTCCCGGCGAGATCATGGCGATCATGCAGGTCTTGCTCTTCTCGCCGATAAACGAGTCGCGCAGCACCTGGGTCAGTTTGGAGACCCGGAAGGGCAAGTGGGCAGACTGTTTGCCCAACGCCCGGATGCACTCCTTGAGGGCCAGCAGCGATTTGTTGATCTCGGCACCTTCCATACGTGTCTGACGATCAGCCGACGAGGTGTCCACCCCACGTTCGTTGCCCGCAAGATCGATGAACGAGAACTTGCCGTGGATCTTTGTGGAGCCCATCGGCCGCAGCACAATCTGGAAGACGGCGTGCGAACGCGACGAATTCGAGTTGGCCGACGTCTGGCCGGATGTGCGGGCAGCGTTGCCGTGCTGGATTAGCTTCAGCACCTCCTCGACGCTGTCCACCACCTTCTCGGTGAGGCCCACCACCTGCACCTGCTGCTTGCCGTCCTCCAGGACGCGCAGCTTTTGCTTGTCGGCCAGAAGATCGAAGACCTGTTCCGAGGGATCCGTTATTAGTTGGCTCAAGCACCGTCATTTTACAAACACTCACCTTGCCACTGTAGATCTCAAAGAAGCTGGCCGAAACGACTAGATTCATGGAGCGATAGCGTGGCATATTTAAAGTAACAAAAACGTCCTTGGCCGCCATAGCGTAGATGCCGTTCTTGCAGTCCTGCACCTTTCCGTTGAACTCGCCGCCCATGGTGTGTGTCTTGCCGGATCCTGTTTGGCCGTAAGCGAAGCACGTCGCCATTCCGCCCTCGAAAATTGTTTTAACCAACGGCTTGGCTGTGTATCTGGGGGGTGAAGTAAAAGTTGTTAGTGCACAATTTGTTATTATGGAATTTAACTTTATCGAGCTCGGATCTAAAGTTAAAGTTAGGGGTTTTATAATATTAAAAACAAACACCAAAAATACTTACGATACAGGCATCTGTGATAGAAACTATATCTTAAAGTGCTGTCGATATAAATTAAGGAACGATTTCCAGTTTTCATATTTCTTTTAATACGCGCCATAACAAACATAACAGAAATGTTTACTAAAAATGAGGAAGTCTAAATCTTCGACAGATCAAAGACCCCAGTAAAATGCAATAAATAAAACAATTGTAAATCTGCTTATTCGAAATACTGGGGCTTTGATAACGACGTACGACACTGTTCCAATCAGCTCTTGATTCATGCGTTAAGATTTGTCAACACGAAGTCGTTATCATCAACTGCTAAAGGTATAAATTCCCGCTATTACTCATGGGGTATACTCTAGTATCTGCCGTGACGCGGCGTCACGTATGGCGTTACCAATTCCAGAGAGCCATAATATACATATAAATCGCAAAAACAGGAAAAGAAGCTAAACAGGTGGCGGGAAAAAGGGGCAGACGAAAGTCAGGCACCGAATAAGCAAAGTCAAGAGCCGCTTTAATTCAATTGAAGGCAAACAATTACTAATGGGCAAATGCTGGGCCAAAAGGCAGTTACTTTTCGAAATCTCTTCCGCTGGCCCATGGGCAGAATTCAATTTAGAGAGTTCGAACGAAGCTCGGCGAACGAGGGGAAGCGGCTGGCTTTTCAACTTAGTCATACAAAGCGAGCGAAAAAATATAAAACAAACTTGGCTATTTCGGGAACGACCGCTTTCAGATGCATGCTTCTGTTGTTGCTGTCTCGGTCGGAATGAGTCAATGAGTCGCTATACCAGAGATGCGCAAGCGGGGTCCGGTCACAACATCACCACATGATCTTCAAAGTGACTGGAATCGCAGTGATCTTAGTGGGAATCGGGATAACAGCACTGGGCGATCGTATCTCATTGTATTTACTTATTGTTTTTTATATGGGTCAACCCTGGGGATTGCAAGTCAAGCAACGGATAAAGCGGACGGTATCTCTTGTAAAAAATACATGTCATACAAATAAACAAATATTTCTAATCTATAATAGCAATACACGATTGGATTTCAGTTTAAATAATGGTCTGAGCAAAATCAAGTCAGGGCCAATCAAATATCTGCAGTATAATAATTAGTTATAATTAGGGATTAAAGTAATTAGGTGTTCGATTTATTAAGTACAAAAGTACATTCAAATTGGTTATTTTGTATTACACTTTTAAAATGTTGAATTAAATAAATAATATATCACTAAATTAAATCAGACAAAAGATTTTATGTTGACTCTTAAATTTCAATTAAATGCAAAGGCATCATATCGGTATTGAAAAGTCATATATATAAGTAAATATAAATAATAAGCTGGTAATATTGCGAAGACAATGGAATGTGTAGGCACCATATTAAGAAAATGACCCGATGTTTGTTTAAACGCGCTAATAATTCAGCGATGTGGCACTTTAACTGTACGACAACTGCGAATAGTTTTCAACAAAATCCTTTTATGCTTAGTGGCAAACAAACCAAAGCTTGTACCACCCATATATGGTGGGGATTCTTAATACATTCTAGATAATGTAACTGAAATACTCACTTGTATACCATGGCATTGTCGCACGTGTCGTTGAAGGCGTAGTCGAAGCGAAACTTGTGATTCTCCAGGAACTTGGTTAGGTCGACCTTACTGCGAGGCTCGTGCACGATGAGCATGTCCTTGCGCGGCACCGAGATGACGTCGATCTCCTTGCGATTGACCTCCTTGCGGCTGATAGGTCGCTTCCGCACACACACGGTGATCTGATGGTCATCGACGGCCTGGCCATCGAGCAGCGGCACAAACTCCAACGTGCCCTGGTACTCGCGTATCATCTGCGCCGTCTCCCAGTTGGGATTGCCCGGATCCTGGTTCATTAAGGCCACCTTCTCCTCCTTCATCTCGGCCTGGCGAGCGCGCCGCTTCTCGCGGTTCTCCTTCAGCCGTTCCACCTCCTTTAGGGCATGCGATCGGCGAGCACCACCGCCGCCGGCTCCCTGGGTTGTGTTACTAGCCGGAGCGGCAGCCTGCGCTGCTGGAGCAGCAGTGGCCCCCGCTCCGGGGTTGGGCAATGTGTTGTTTGGCACTGCCGAGGCGATTCTCGTCTGCTGCTGGCCAGCGGCAGTTTGCGAGTAACGCGGTCGCTGCAATCCGGTGGTGGCTCCTCCGGCTGTGGTGTTCGAGTTGCTGTTCGTGTTGACGCTATTGCTGTTGCCCAGCGGATGCGGAATCGATTGAGTCTCCTGGATCTTGTTTAGCACGTTTCCTGCCATGGTCATGCGGCTGGTGAGATTGCCGCCAATGGCCGATTGTGTGGGATTCCTGGAGAGGTTCATCGGGGCGGTGGCCTGCTTCTTGGGCTCCGGGGCGGCATGCTGCTCCACGGTGTCCTGCATTAGCTCCGGATTGAGCGTGAGAATGGCGTCCAGTTCCACCTCCTTGCCCTTAGTTTCGCCCCGTTCATACCATTCTACTGTGATGCACTTGCCCGACTGATTGATCACCGCCACCACGGCCATGTGGACACGGCCGTCCGTGCGCTTGATCTTGACGCTCTGCCCCACTGTGATCATGTCCATTTCGGCGACGATATTGGTGTGTGTGGTGGTGTTCCTATTTGTTTGGAAGTCCTTTTGGTGTGTTATATATGCGGTCTGGGCGGTGTAACTCCTTGCACTGTTTTTCGGACAGCTTGGCGGTTGGCGAGGAGTACCGTTAGACGTACAACTACTTGTTTGTAATTATTTGCAAAGCAAATATTTCTGCGGTAAAAAAAAGAAAACAGAGAGTAAAGAATTTTTGTCAAGCCGAAAAGAATGATGTTCTAATCAAAACAAATTACTGGTATAAAATGAAATGGCAGCTCCGAACTGAATTTGAGGCAATGACGGCCAAATCGCAGAGAACTGCTTGTCGAGGTCGCCGACAGCGTCTGTTTCGTTTTTGAAGTATGTGTGCTGCTTGGTGGCCTACGTCAGTGTGTGTGATTGTGTTCAAACCGAATTCAAACGCCAACTGTCATTTTCGTTGCGTCTGGCAACGGATAACAAAAAAAACAGGGATTGCAGGGAAATGGGGAAAACTAATAGAGGAACCAGCGTTGTTCTGCGTACCCAAATCCCTTTCTTGTCGTTGTTGTTGTGCGCCCATTTTGTGGGCACTCGGCTCGGCACTGTGCAACACTGACAACCGTGCGGCACACACATAGCGACACATATGCAACTGCGGCGGCCCTTTTGGCCGAAAAACAACAATCTGCATTGAACGACAACTAATCAATGCTTTGGGCTCCTAATTAGATGCAAAAAAAATACACACACAAACGCTGCGAATATGCGTTTGCTTTATTGCTTTACGTCATACACGGAGCTCCCACACACACAACACACGCACACACCGATGCAGAAAACAGACGGTCGCGGAAATGAAATTGAATTTTTGCAATCTGCTACCTTTTGCTCACCTTTGCTGCTGTCTTCCCAAACGCTACAATTCGTTCGCACTTTCCATTAAAAAAAAACTTAGAGATTTATCGACCGATCACAACGAAATATCACAAAATCTGTCCGAAATAGTTTTACAAGCGACCAGATGTCAGCAACACAAATTTGTAGTTTCACAGTTTGTTCGCCATTGTTTTTTGCCACACTGTCATGACAATGGCGCACCGTTGCCCAGCACTGGGCTGCAGGCCGGCCAGTGCTGGGAAGCTAGCCGTTGCGTTTGAAACGGGCAGTGATGAGTGAGTGGAGAGGTGGAAAAAATATCTTTTAAGTTTCAGTTGACTTGGGTTAGTGGCTAATAGGGGGCCCACAAGCCATAACCATCACCCACTGGGAACAGTTACCATGGTTTATTTGCATCCGAGCATTACCCAACACATGTCGATACTAACGTCTTTAGCAGTCAGCTGTTTTTTGAATATCTTGGGTATTATGGCTATTCACACAGGCGGCGTTTCTGCAACAGCGTCCAGGATGAAAATAATCATATTGACCTGTGTGACAAAATGGTAGGCAATGAATCAGAGCGTGGTGGTCACCAGATCATCCATCAAAGTAAATAATGGTAAAAACATTTTTCTTTTTACATCGTTTTCTCTTAATATATCTAAAGCCATTTTCAGTACGCCGGTCTGAGTCGAACTCTCCACCTTTACCAATTCGAGTGGATAAATCAATAACTGCAGAAATCATTTTACTTTCTAATTGCTTAATTTGTATTAGGTTTTGCGTTACTATTCATTTTATTGTTAGGAAAACTAATTTTTCATGTTCCTTTTCTATTTTTCGGTTTGCTTACTTTACGATCAGCTGCTTTTGCAACAGCGGGTGCCTGTGTGAATGGCTCGGAATACGCGGCTGTATAAGGAACCAATAGGGCTAATCGCAATCAAAAATAAAAAAGTGTTGGTATTGGTGGGATTTAGTATTAGCCTGGAGTTGTTAAAATATGGATGTGGCTTCATTGATAGTATTGTATCGAACATTTGCGTCATTAACATTACATATGTCAAACAGAAACTTTTCCACTTTTAATATATCACTGAAATCCCTGAGATCTACTGGTTTTTTATTAAATCTTGAGACAATTAAATGTAACACAACTTTGAAACATTTGTTTACCTTTTTCTGCAAACTAATGAAAGTAATACAACAAATCGAAAAACTGTTGTTTTTGATACTAACGATAGCCCTAAAACCATCGATGGTGTGCTAAAGCCGAACAATCAAGTGTATCGATAGTTGGGTACATTTGTTTGTGCGTAGAAAGTAAATTGGCGAAACGAAACGGATCGAAAAACTTAACAAAAAGTTAGCAAACTGCCAAAGAACACACGGGTTATTCTCTGGATATAGCCGCCATATTAACGGACCGATACCGGAACACACCAAAGCCACTCCACCATGGACATTATGGACATCCAGGCCGTCGAGTCCAAGCTGAGTGACGTCACGGTGACACCGATACCGCGCAGCCAGGTGCAGAATTTCTACAATTACCAACAGCAGCGGGAGCAGCGTGAGCAACAGCCCCAGATCCAAATTTCGGCCATCCACCACTCGAGGGGAACCGGAGGATCAGCCTCCTCCGCCACGGATTACTCCACGGGCAGCGGAGGTAAGCGGGAGCGGGAACGCTCCTCCGCCAGCGATTACAGCAGCTCCTCCAGCAAGCAGAGCTCCGCTGCTGCGGCAAATGCAGCCGCCGCCGCAGCCGCCGTCGCTGCCCTCCAGTACTCCCCGAAGTTCCTTCAGGCCCAGTTGGCCCTCCTTCAGCAGCAGTCGAACACCACGGCCACGCCTGCAGCAGCTGCAGCGGCGGCCCTCTCCCTGGCCAATATGTGCTCCACCAATGGCGGACAGAGGAACTCCACCTCCTCCTCCAGCAATGGCCAGAGCATGGGCTTGAATCTGAGCTCCTCGCAGCTGAAGTACCCGCCACCCTCTACCTCGCCCGTGGTGGTTACCACCCAGACCTCGGCCAACATCACCACACCGCTCACTTCTACGGCTAGTTTGCCCTCCGTGGGACCAGGCAACGGGCTGACCAAGTACGCCCAGTTGCTGGCCGTCATCGAGGAGATGGGACGCGACATCCGGCCTACCTACACGGGCTCACGCAGCTCCACGGAGCGTCTCAAGCGCGGCATTGTTCATGCCCGTATCCTGGTGCGCGAATGCCTAATGGAGACTGAGCGAGCCGCGCGCCAATGAGAGGAGGAGTCGCTGGCGCCGCAGCTGGCGTCGTCGGATTGAAGAGGACCAGGATGGGAGGGTCATCCTCATTTCACGACTAGGTTAATTCCCCTAACCCCAGAAAGGATGGGTCGAATTTATTGACCAGGCATCTTTGGAGCTATTAGAAATTTTGCACGATTGTGAGCCAATTCCGCTTGGATATCATAGGATTAATATAATTTGTAAACTTCCCACTGACATTATCTTAAAGCAAAAGAATCTGCTCAAGAAGAGCAGGCACGATTTCCTTACTTGAGCGCTTCTTTTTCTGTTTTCGATTTAGTTGTTAGGCATTCCAAATTGTTACAATGGATCTTACCACATTTAGTTTCTTGAAATTTATGAGTCTTGGCAGATCTCAATGACAACAAAAATGCAAGCAAACTTCGGCAAGCCGAATTTCATATACCTTTGCAGCAGTTACAAAAATTAAATATTCTATATTTCGATGCTCTAAAAAAAATGAATCTGCTATGTAGATTTTCCGATACATTTTTCGATCGTTCCTATGGCAGCTATATGATATAGTCGTCCGATATGGGGCCGATCCGGTCCGTTCCTACTTGTATACTACGTGCAACAAAAAGAAGACTTTGAGCTAAGTTTCATCCAAATAGCTTTAAGACTTAGGAACTAGTTTTCGTAGAAACGGATGGACGGCCAGGCAAACAGACGAACATAGCAAGATCAACTCGCCTGGTGATGCTGAACAAGAATATATGCTTTTTAGGGTCGGAAATGTGCTCTTCACTGCGTTGCAACATTGTGACTGAAATTATAATACTCTCTGCAAGGGTATACAAATTAGGTGTTAGATTTTTATAATTATATGTAATTATAATTATATAAATATATCTCAACATCACAATTTAACATTTATCATATTTAAAACTTCAAAGAGATTGTCTTGCTTTTCAGCTAATGTTACCTTATCAGAGATGTTGCAGTTTACCAGCTGGTTTTAGCGTACCGTGAAAATAAGAGAACTAACGCATGGAAAGATGCTCAGAACACTCCAAAGATTGCAAAAACCCATCCTATCCCACGAATGTCCCTGTATTACGCATTAAAAGTAGCAATTTGTATTAACTTATAAGTCTCCATCAACTTAATGGCCCTCGGGCCGCCGGACCATAGTTAAAGAATGTTTAGACTAGCTCAGGTTACAATCGGTTAAATCTGCATTGCTATAGCTGCAACACAAGTTATTATATTATTTCTCTTTACCACATAATTAACAATCTGTATCCGTAATCGTAAGACTAAGATGCACCTGCTGATCCCGTGTGCTTGTCCCGATGTGTGTCTGCGTAGTGAATGCGATTAATTATCTAATGGGGATTGCTTAGGCGGAGGAGATCCGTCCATCGGCAGGATGTGAGTATGAGTTCGCCACTGCCGGGGTCTCCTCGTTATTTTAGAGAACTATACAAATTCATATATGTAGTTAAGCAGAGATATATGTATACATATATATACTTGTTATGCAAGCAAACAATGTGCATGTCCAAGTGAATGGTGAATTAGTGGCAATTGACACGAAAATATTTATATATGTATACACATAGAACACAACTTGTATATTTACTATATGTATGAGCAAATACGACTAAGTTCAAGCCTGTATACCAAACCGAATTCGAAATAAATGCGCAATTTTGGTTTTTGTAAGCGAGACTCACGCATTAATTTGCAGGAATCTTAGTTTTAGTCTCTACATAAATTCTTTTTAGTTTAATTTTATTATTTTCTTTCTGAATTCGTTTTTGATCAGAAAGGAATGTTTATTATTTTATAATTTCGGCTTTGTCAATATCAGTTGATTCAGCAGTTTGGATCCAGTAGTTTTTCCAAGTCCAGAACTTGTAGTTTTGGCTTGTATTGTTTTTTGTCGCTGTCTTCAACACTCGTACTTAGGACAACATCCGGGATATGGCTTGGTAGAGTCACTTATCAACCTACAGGGCTTCAAGGAGGCTATGCTAGGGCATCTGAGGAAGACAATCGAGTGGATAAAGAATATATTCCATACAAACGCATAGAACCTACGTTAGGGCCGACAGTTTTCTGGGGCCCTCGCATGTGTACTGCATGCAGCGACCTTCCGGGCTGTATTTCTCTCCGGTTTTCATCTTGTGGCCGCTCACCTCGCAGTCCACTGGAGGAGAAGGGATCGCGATGAAAAGGATGTAGAGATGGGGGAGCAGTGGCCCACTTACCGGCAAACACCAGGAGGGAGTGGGCGCCCAGCACCAGCAGGCATAGTACGAACGTGACCGATTTCATATTTTTCAGCAAACTGATCTATGTTTTGCCCAGCTGCCTGGCTATATAGTTGTTTGGTTTGGGGTGCGCCTGCGATTAGATTGAAAGGTCAAGATCCCCGTGCTCTCGCGATTGCGTCGCCGGGGTCTTCGGGTGTATCAAATAGGTGGAATATTCTTGTTATGAACAGATCGAGACTTCAAACTAGCAAAACAGATGCAGCTCAAGTTATATCACCATTAAGTTAGTGTATCTACTTTTCAATAGACTTGAGGCTCTGAAAACGCTGGAGTGCAGGAAAATTGTTGTTGTCAAATTTGGATCCTTCCCACCAAAATCTTTTAAAAATATCTTTGTTGCAAATAAGTAATAAATTCACAAAATATTTTAAACAAACTATTCAAACTGAAAAATTCCGAATAAAACCTTGTAAATTCGAATTTGTATTTTCTGCATAACAATAACATATGTTATGTTAACCAACATTTTTAAAGAGTTATGAATGGTAAAAATATATAAATTCCGAATAATCAAAGATAGTATTTTGGCTGGAACACCTAAAAACCGCCAAAAAAAAAAGAGAATTCACGGAAGATACAGTTTTGAACTCTATTTTGTTTTTGAAAAACTTAAACCTTTTCCCATTGTAACATTTCTAAAAAAGCTAAAAAATCAATTCCGCGTTAGCAGAGCTATTGTTTTGAAGAGATCTGTAGCCTTATATCTAGAATCCACTGGAACACTCTAGCTTGGGGCAGCAAGCTGGATATTGGAGGTCATAGTCATTGGCGGAGAGATGGCAGCCATGTCCGGGAAACGGCTGTCTTTCGCAGCTGGAAGGGATTAAGTTAGTGTTAGTTAGAGGTGCTTTTTCTGAACATCGAGACTCACTGTCGAATCAAAAGTAGGTAGTCGTCGGTGCACTCCAGTCGGATGCAGTAACCATCTCGTCCAGAGGGCAGAGCGAAGCCGTGAAGCGGAACGGCAATGTCCAGCTCCTGGTAGAGGCAGTGCTCCGGAATGGTGGGGTGCTGCGTGTGACCCTGGTACTGGGTGCTAAAGCCATTGGCGGCCACCGACGAGACACTTAGGCAGACCGCGAGAGCCACGAGCACCAACGGCGCTCCAGACATGGTTGCTTCTGATTTGGAATGGCCCAGTGATGGAGCCATCTCTTATATGGGGCCCATCCGGCAGGGCCTGCCTTATCAGTGCGCTATCATCGCTCCCGTGCCCCGCGATTGATTCGGTTTTGATTGGGTTTGCCTTGCTCTCGAGCTGGAAATGGAGGAAGTTGCGTTCCACGTTATCGAGCCAGGGAATCCGGGCACTTGAGATGGCAACAACGAACCACTTCCACTGGTTGATGGTGATCACTTCGGGATGTAAGCATGGACCAGCAAAATTTACCTCACTGCATACATGCATATGTATGTAGGTGTGCCAGGTGAGTGCTATACAAAATGATAGTTATCTGGCTTTTGCTTATACAATAATGTACTATTATATTGTTCGAATAAATATTTGTACAACTAACACAACTATAAGAAAACTAATTCCGAAATTGTTGAGTATTGCTCTTAGAATTGTCTGCAATCTAATTCGTTTTAAGAAAGTAAATTAATTACATTAATAATAATACAACAAATAGAAACTAAACGAAATCCAGCAGTTTCCCTGACCAAATATTATCATTATTTTAATGCAATTATAATGCAATATTTTTTGTATATACAATATTATATTTAATTTTTATTGATTAAAATAAATGAGTTAATGATCACACAAATTTTAGTTGTGTTAAAAATTACTACGCTATTTAGGAGAATCATGCGATTAATATCATATTAATAATTAATATCATAATTATTAAACTTATCTTTATCATCGTGACAGGAAAATGATTCTTAGAAAAGCCAGTTTTGGTGAAAATCACTCTATCCAATTCATAAAAATCAAATCACTAATTAATGCAAATGCAACCACAATGCACTTGCACTCGTGAGTCCCATGAAATTTGCATATATATATCTACGTACACCTACCCGGTATCGTGTGGTGTGTGTACAGCGTACACAGGAAAAAAAAGTAGGATATTTCATGATTTTACAGAACCAGATAGGCTAGCTTTCGGATACTATGGTTTATTTTAATGAAATACATATGTAGCTTAATTTATGTCTGATTATAGTTCACTTCTCCATAAAAGATTTTGTTTAATTTCTAATAAATATGTTATAATACTTAATAAGCTAAAAAAAAAAAATTACTGGGGCCGTGAGATTTGCACCAAAGGAAGATGCAAATATAAAGATATATTTATATTTAATAGGAATTTACCGTTATTAAGATAGCAAGGTGATAGTATAATTCCCTGTGCATGTGGCCGAAATTCGGATTTACAAAAGAGTTATTTGTGTGCTTTGATTACTTCTCGCGGCGCAGCAACCTTGCCACAGTTTCTCGAACCGTGTCACTTAACTGTCAGGGACTTCCATTTCCCCCAGATCTCACTCTCGCTTTCAGGGCTAGCTTAATTAATTTAAACTAGAGCTGAAGCGGACGCCTTAAGTCGTCGTCAAACAAAAGCCACAGCGCAGATGCTATCTGCGTATACGATATTTGTATGTACAATATGCTGTACCTATACCTATGTACTCGTACCGCCTGCACATATGTATACAGCACAATGTTTATTATTAATTTTATATAAAAGCAACAACAATTAATTGTAATTGACTCAGTCGCACGGGTAGCGCACAACAGCCAAGTCGGATTTGGACTTGGATTTGGATTGGGATTCGGAATCTCAGACTTGATTTCCCCTACTTGGCGATTATGCGAATCGGAGTTGGTTGTCTTCTGATGCTCCTGGGCATTTGTGGTGCAGCACGGGCGGATCTCACCTACCGCGGGAATGCGGTTCACCCAGGTGAGCTGTGGATATACGGTGTTTCTGAATATTATGTACAGATGTACATATGTAGAACTACGAAACTAAATAGAAGAAACATTGTGCAACGGTAGGATTTGAACATGGGATTTTACCACCAGTGACGGAATTTGTTCTTCAGTCTTATTACATTTTCTATAACCTTCATTAATGCATAGTGATTTTCTTTAAAGAACTCCTAAATTTAAAATACTACCAGCATTCTTTTGATCTAATTCCATTTAAAACTATATTAACTTTTAGTCGTATTATTATATTTTTCCCTTAAACTCTAAACCTTTTTGTTAAAACCATTTATTCTAGAAAAAGGAAATATTTTCTAATTTCCTAGATTTGTTATAACAAAAATATTTGTTATAAATTTCTACATGGATTGAACACTAATGCACATAAGCATTGTGTCATCTTAATTGCATGTATTGTATTTATTATTCCTATTATTTTTTGTGAACAACTTCTGGTTGTAAACAATATACCCACAAATAATTTAATGCATCTTACCTACCGATCTCCCCAGACCATCCTGGCCAGTGTTACTATGAGGAACTCAACCAGGCCATTCCCAAGAAGCAGTCCTACAAGCCGATCAACCGCGAGGGCTATTGCCAATCGATCTACTGTAGGCCGGACTATGTCCTAGAGATTGGCTAGTAAGGATGACTCTTTTGACCACAAAAAGTGTGTTATGATTGATCATATTTATTCTAAATTATTCCAGCTGCGGTCGCCACAACCTGGTGCCCACGGACAAGTGCAAGATCGCCTCGGACATGCGACGCACCTTCCCCGAGTGCTGTCCCAAGTTGGTTTGCCAGGAGTCGGAGAGCAACTACATCTAGGCTGGATCCGGATGCAGTATTTAACTCTTAGTATTAGCTCCAACTTTTGGTTAAACGGTAGTTGTTCGATTTGTTGAACAGCTTTTCTTTTAATATGAGTCATTGGTAACTGGATTGGTTGATTAACTTTTTATTATTATTTATAAGGCTTTTTTATGTTATTGATTTTGTTGCGTGAGGTAAATCGAAATGAAAAAAACATCTTCAACACTTAAAAAATAAATATATACTTTAAAAAAATCTGTTTTTTACATGAAATAAAGTTCAAAGATTGTGGCTTAACAAGATTTAATTACTTCAATTTGAGTTTAGAAAATTAAAAGATTTCTTTGGAGCTGATACAGGAACAATTGGACCAATTTTACGATCTGGGGATCCCCTGTGGGTTAAAAAATTTTAAATCTAAATAAAAAAAATGAAAGCTTATAATAAAAGTTAAGTTTTCCAGGAATGCAATACCTACATTTTTTGATTAGCACAGTTTGGAAAACACTAGGCTTTTATTACATAAATAATGTTGTTGAAAAATATGTATATATGTACTTACCGAATGTTAAAGTAATCGCCCCTTGTAAATCAAGTATTTTATTCTAGAGGGCACTACTAACGGGCCTTCCAATTATTTTTCCGAGGGTACATATATATTCAAATCGAACTTTTTGGAAACTGCGCATCTAATTCCTCCTAAGCAGTTAAACAATTAAAACTACCACCATAATCCCTCTCCATCTTAATCAAGCTGAAAATGCAAATCACCGCTGCTAATTTGCAAACAAGCACATAGCTCACTAGGAACTATAAATAGGAATCAGGCAGGCCGGCGGTCTCAGTCTCAGTCTCAGTCTCAGTCTTAGTCTCGTCTCCACGTTCCGAAGATGCACAACTCATCCATGTGGCTGGTGTGGTCCGCCGTGCTGCTGGCGCTTCTGCTACCGGAGGCACTTCTGCCCACCGCCGATGCAGGTGAGCTGGACCACCACTGCCCCTAGGAATCGAATCCCCACTAAGAATCCATCACCCCTTTCAGCCAGCGAGCCATTGTGCACGTACCGCAATTTGGAGGGTGAGACCATCTTCCTCAAGTACTTGCCGCTTATAAAGAGGGGAGAGGATTACGTGGACTTCGGAAAGGACGGCAGGTGCCTCAAGCGGGCCGTCTGCACGGACACCTTCGATACCACCGTGGAGGAGTGAGTATACTGATTTAAGAGGGAAAGCAAGCAAATAGAAATGTGCAGTTCAAAAACATATATGTATAGTTTGGAAATAGATAGGATCAAGATAAAATCCATTGTTCTGCGTCTCGAAAAACAGGGTTTGATATTTATCAGTTTTATAAACACAATTATATTAGATTAAATTGAAATTCGTACGTAACACATTGAAATATATACGTTGCAAATTGAAATTCTGGTATATATATCACACCAGTTTAAATCTCTTTCTCGCAAATGAAGTTGGCTATCACTCTCCAAAGGACATACATATATTCAGTTAATCCTAACAATATTATTGCAGCTGCGCCCAGCACAAGATCACGTGTGCCAACAAGGCTCGCTTTACGGGAGTATTCCCTGGCTGCTGCCTCAAGTGTCCTTAAATCGGAAGAATCCATCTGCATCGTTCTGCACCGTTCCACAAATAAGGGGCGAAAATACAAGCATCAAGATTTGAAAGCTATGTACGTTATTTTAAATTTCAATTTTTAATTACATTTTGTGCTTCATTTAGTTTTAGTTTAGCATTAAGACGTTTTAATTTTCGACATTGAGAATATGTTTGACTCCAAATTTAATGGTAATGAAAATTCTTTATGTACGAGAGTGCCAAAAAGAGATTTAAAATTGAATCGACACAAATGAAAATACATTATTGTGCGTCTGAATATATTTTTGATGCAAATTTTTAGTAAAGAAGCTTCGAATGTTATCAGAATATAGATGCACAATTTATTTTGAATAAAATACTTCCTTTACAATAACCAAAATTATAAAAAAAAAGTTCTTGTTTTCCTGAAACATTAATAAACAGCACTAACTGAAGTTATTTATGTTTATGTTAAAAATAAACGGAAATATCCTAATGTATAGAGATGAATTGCTACTATTGGTAAGAAATTGTGCCCCTATCAAACACAATCCAATATTTGAACATATGTATATACTTCCATGGATCGCAAGTCTCACAAAAGTTGTAATGCCCTCTAAAAGGGTATGAAAATAATTTCACTTTAATCCACTGTTCGTTTTCGATCTTCACCTTTATAGCAAACCGATTTTTTAAATATATTTTTCACGTTTATTTTATGTATTTCTTTAGTCTTAGATTAATAACATGTAGATGTGGATTCGGCTGTCTTCCTGTATTTTTCTTTGTTTTTTTTTTTTAGTGTTTTTCGTTCTGTTTCCATCTTCCGGAACTCAATTTATTGCCTGCTGTTGCGGTCTCGCTCGCTCCCGTGCACGGAGCATGCACACTGTTGTTGTTATATATTGGTTTGTACGAGTGGAAAAGAACATAGCTGTTGCAAGTTTTAAAAAAATACGTGTTTCGACTTTTTATTTTACTTGATTTTCGGGTATTTTTTCGTTTTTGCTACCATTAAAGACAATTTCAGAATCTGCCAGAAGCCAACGCAATGGAAACAAACAAAAAAAAAATCATGTTTAACCGACTTATAAATGAGTGGATCTAAAAATATATATTACGATCGACGGCAGAAGGCTGGCAGGGCTGCTGGTGAAGGTCGATCCTTTGCTGGCAATCCGATAGTGTGGATCGTAGACTATTGCTGATGCTCCTATTCAGTAGTGGTTGCTGGTGACTGCTCTGCTCGAGTTCTCCTGTTCGCCTCTTTCCTGTTGCCCCGGTGCGTGCAAATCCGGCCATCCCTCTCAGTTAACTATAAATATGCTTATAGATCCTCGTCCTCGTCGGGCAGGGCGGTCTCCTGGGCCTCCTGCAAGTCCCGCTCGATCTGCGCCTGCCAGTCCTTGTCCATCTTGACCTCGGGCGGCAGCAGGGCTGGCATGGCGACGAACTCCAGGTTGGGGTCACCAACCAGCTTGCGCGCCAGCCAAAGGAATGGTTTCTCGAAGTTGTAGTTCGATTTGGCAGAAATGTCGTAATACTGCAGAGAAAGCGGGGAAACATTTTAGTTACACGAGTCATGTGGATACAGGAAAATATTGAACTTCACCAAACGCATTATTTCCAAATACTATTTTACTACTATAACATCCACTTTTTTTTTAGTTATAAACGATTGCTGTTTGAGCTCACATGCCTTTTGTTCTTTTCCCGCAAAAAAGAAACATTAGACAAAGTGGCTTTATTTCACTTTTGAAATAATTGAAATTTACATGTGATCTTCAACGAGGACTGTTACTTTCTTATGTTTCATTGAAAATACAAAAAAAAGGTAGCATATCTAGAGCTAGGCCAACTGGGCCTTCCGTTTGGTGAAGTTCCTCGTTTCCCGCCTCTGGGGCGACCACTCACCTGCAAGTTCTTCTTTCGGTGGAAGACGATGCTCTTCGCTTTCACCTTTCGGTCCTTGATGTCGACTTTGTTGCCGCAGAGGACGATCGGGATGTTCTCGCAGACGCGGACCAGATCGCGATGCCAGTTGGGGACGTTCTTGTAGGTGACTCGCGAGGTAACGTCGAACATGATGACGGCGCACTGGCCCTGGATGTAGTAGCCGTCGCGCAGGCCGCCGAACTTCTCCTGGCCGGCGGTGTCCCACACGTTGAAGCGGATGGCGCCGCGGTTGGTGTGGAAAATCAGCGGGTGCACCTCCACGCCCAGTGTGGCCACATACTTCTTCTCGAACTCGCCGGTCATGTGGCGCTTAACGAAGGTTGTCTTTCCGGTGCCGCCATCGCCGACGAGCACGCACTTGAAAGTGGGCATATCCGGACCTTCCTGAGTCATCCTGCTAGCTCTGTCTTCTTTACTTCTGGACTTTGACGGCGGAACAGTGAGCTGTGAAATGTAGTTGAAGCTGATTGGTGTTTTTTTTTTTATGCCAATGGTTTGCGGCTATTTTTCAGCAGGACTGCTAGCGAAGCAGGAGTGGAGTGCAAGGATGTTGTTGGTTCGGCGAGCGCCAGGCGACTGACTACTGACAACCAACTGCGACTCCTGCGAACCGTCCGAAACGTGACGTACGTACACAAAGGATGCGTCAAAGCCCGCCAAGGACAACAACCAGCTGTTCGCAACAGAAGCGAGTGAGCGCGTGACGGAGCGAGCGGGATGGCAACAGAGGGAGAGCGGCGCAAGGATACTGCAGCTGCTGCTCCTGCTGGGCCGCAGGATAAAGAGCAAGGGAGACGGCCACAGAGGATGCCTGCGAATGCAGGTAAAGGAAAATTCCTGGCGCACCGAAAACAACAGTAGAAGCAGAAGCAGGAAGAAGGAAGAAGGATAACTGGAGAACAACAAATGTCCAGAGAGGCGGAAGGATATACTTTGCAGGCAATCGCCATACCACGTTTATGCGAGGCGAAAACAGTTCGTGTACATTCATTTTGTCTCACAAAAGAAACCCGAAAAACTATTATATCTGACCCATAATTGTCTTAGGTATACTAATCTAAATTGTTAGTTTGACCTTGATATCACATCAAAATCGTTGTGACTAATTGAAAACATATACATATTTACCATATGTTAAAAAATAAAACAATTAAACTAAACTCCTCTAAAAATGTTGGTACCAAAGAAACTTAAAGCTTGTTTATAAGAAGCAAAACAGTTCAAATTGTGTCTGTGTAAATCAGTAACTAAAGTTCTCTGATGTTAAGATTTCTGTTCGCAAAAACATGGGGTATAAACGTTCATTTACAAATTTGGCTCGATTTCATAAAAATATGAAAACTATTTAATTTATTTATCATTAAATATTTTGTTAAGTTTGGCCAAGCAAACCATAGTTGTGTTTCGGGCATCATGTTGTGCTTACAAAATAAGTGGGAAAATTATATTTACTATAAAATTAAGAAAAATAATACAAATTGTAAGATGTTCCAAATGATCATCAAATAAATTTTGTTGAAAGAATAATTTAATAAAATTATTATTGAAGATTAAAGTGAGTGGTATTGTTTTATTTGCTTTTCAATGTTTCTTATTCTGATTTAACGAACAATAGATAGGAATGACGAAAACTGAACGAATGTATTTCTTAACTTCGTTTCTCGATGAGCGAATGTGAATAAATAATTTCATGAGACGCTGAAAATGCTCATGGTGTGAGTCACAATTTGGTTTTTGGATTTGTTATTTTAAGGATGGCTTGTGCCTGCGCAATTTTCTGCCAGTGCTGCCCATAAACTTTGGCAAAACAAGAAATCCACCATTTAGAAGGCAGCCTTAACGCCGGTTAATTACAGCTATATACAGTGAAGAACTTAATTATTGGCACAGCAAGAATGACTATCTTATGTGCTGATATTAAAACTAAAAAAACATTTTTTTTGTAATAGAATGGCAATTTTTCTGTTTAATAAAATAGTTTATATTTTATATATATAATCAATAAAAATATAGAAACCAAAAAATTGGCTGAAGATCCCTAAACAAAATAATAGACAACACTTGGGTTTTATTGCATTATTTTGTTAAAACTATCGATTTGGCCACTTCTTTCTGCCAATAATTAAGTTCGTCACTGTACATGCATACACTGCAGAAACCTGTGGACGCTGCAAAGCGCGCCAAAAAACACCGCATAAGAGTGCACTGCCAGTCGCAATTCACGTGAAAAATCACATTCGCACCAAATTCTAAATAACAAATCGAATTCTAGCACACACACGGACAGCAGCACACGCAGACAGACGCCGACGCGACGTCGCTGCCGGCAGAAGAAGTAACATGAAGCAAATTTCATCGCATTATTTTTTGCGATTCAAGTCTAACCTCACAAAATGCGGATGGCATGGCGATGGGGGAAACCTTTTGGCGGCCAAGAAACAAGACCATTTCCAAGGCAATCGGTGAACACCAGCCGCCGGTGGTCCTGGCAGTGTCTTGACGAAGGATTGGGATTCGTTAGGGGCCCTCAGGAGCAGCACGAGGCGGCACCACGTCGCTCGGACGAGGGAAGTCTCTAGATCATTCTGGGAGCATGTCCGGCTCAGCCCGGCTAATTTAGCGAGTGGAAAGGGAGCCAAAGAATGTTATTCCCAATTGGAAGGCAGATTCGCCGAAATAAACCACACTGTCCCAAGCGAAGCGACGCCGTCGTCCATATTGCAGCCGGGTCAAAGGCGTCGAGGAGAACCTCTTGCCACAGTCCCAGACCAACGGAACACTTGGAGTCCAACGCAACACGCAGCCCCCACAGTTAGGCCACTCTGCTCACAATTCAACGCACAATTCGATTCGGGTTTACTTACATTTCGCTGCTCGAATTTCCTTGCTCGAATTTCCTCGAAAACCACAACTTTTTTGCGATGCGCACGGCTTGTAGAGGTGGAGAAACATCGATGTTGGGATCGATGTCATCGATGTTTTTCAAATATCGGTGATGTCGACGTTTGGTCAGGCACAATCGGTCTTTTTCCATCTCTACCACACTGTTAACGATTTCAGTTCTTTCGCACTCTGCTAGTTTCCACTCCAGCATCACTAACCCTAAACTAAATGCACTTTGTTCAAAGCACAGTACAAATTGTTTGCAAATCTGCCGTAATATATGAAGTAAAGATTAGATTAAGGAAGTTTTACAAAATGAAAATATTTCATTATATATTAGTTTGCTAAGCACCCCCAATCTAACACATCTATTTTATTTTTTCACTTGCTACATCACATGAAAAGTCTAAATGTGGAAAATGCTTAATGCTTGTGTTGTAATAATATTTTTTTAAACAACGATAAGATATCGATGCTGTGCGCTAAAAATATCGATGGCCGGAAAGATCGAAGTTTTCCCACCTCTAACGGTGTGGCCGCTAAAAAAATCTGAGGAATATAATTTGTATACCACTTTCAAATATACCGTGAACATACCGCAAGCCATTTTTATTAAGTTCAAGAACAATTAAATGAACTCTAGTTTCACGGTAGTGTAAGACTTAAGGTTTTTTTAGAGTTGCAGACGATGTGCAAAATGGCAGCAGTGCGACCGCGGAAAAATCAAATAAACTGAAAATATATCACAAGCCATTTATTGGGCGATTGAAGAATTTATACCTATATCAGAGTTTCAAACCAATGTTCTACACGACGCATTGTAAATCTACATAATAGCGGCCTACCCGGATGGCAGCAAAGGTCCCAACCATCGGGAATAGTAAGTTACTTACAAAATAGTTTTGCCATGGAAGTATTTTTCATGCTGTTGCAGCCCTAGTACTTATATGGATGCGACATCTTACAACACTTCTGGCGCCAAGTTTAAGTATCTCTATGTGCTAAAAATATGTTCCTTTGTGAAAGTATTTTGGAGTCAAATAAAAAAAAACTTTCAAATAAACAGCCCTTCTTTAAACTTATCTTTTTGTAATTTATTTTTACGATACAAAAAAACATCATTTGTTTTGAGTGGTGAAAGCCATTTTAATCATTAAACATCAGTTTGCATTGCCAAATTTGCAACTACAATTTTTAAATGTGTAATAAAAATAAAACTAAATATATTAGCACCTCGAACCTAATGCTACGAATATTGTTTTGTATACAAAGTTACGGAATTAAAAACCAATTTAAGAGTTTGTATTTGTAAAAAGTCTAGCTTAGTTTAGGTCCTGAAATGCAAAGTTTCCCAGCGATAACATTGTCGGAATGGTGATTCAGTAGGCAATTGACTCAATCAAAGTTTTGGGTCGATAGCATGGCCAATATGCAAACCCTACAGTTTTTTTTTGCATCACACTCCGTCTATTTACTTTGCTATTTGAAGACGTGATGACGGCGATATTGAGTGCCGGCGTATTTGAAATATTTAACCGGTTTTTGCTCTCTCAACATTGCTTAAAGGTTGATTGCACCACAAACTGTAAATAAAAGCCACACCTGAGCACTGTGGGATGTATTGCTTGCAAACTAATTACCATTAAGGAGCTTGCAATAAAATCTTACTTAATTCCGGCCATTTCCAAGTAGAATAATTAACAATAATATTTATTAATAATATATTTTACACAATTATCATGGAAAAGTACAAAGGTACCTGAAAACATTTCAGGCTTTTTTGGTGATTCATTTGGCAAACAAACGAACCAAATTTCTGTGCACCTGATTCATACAAATTCAGAAATACTAATGAAAAGGAACAAAAAGTAAGTACCAAAGTTTTGAACTCAATATAGGTCGAACAACAACTCATATTATGGCAATACAATCTAGTCTTCAACAAGTTAGCCACTGCAAATAGAGTTCCTGAAATGATGTGTGTATGAGACCAAACAAATTGAACAGCGGATCGTGTGTGTGCGACCCACTGTGCCTGAGGCTCATTTGCATACAAAAGGGGAAGAGTTGACAAACTGCTGGAGGCGGCGATAGAAGATTGTGGTCCCAGTCCCACGACGACAGAGGTTTATTAGGATCAGGGCATCCGAGTGCGAAGTGGGTCACCACAGGAGCACCATGGGATGCCTTCGCTGGCGACAATTGAAAAGACATTGCTGGTTCTTTGTTCGCTCAGTTTCATTGACATTTGCCAAAAAGCTTTATTGTACGGTAAGTATAAATAGTTTAGTGGTTGCTTGGTCAAAATGGCAATTGCCATCATCATCATCATCGTTTGTGTGTGGACTTGCGGGCGTATTGTGTGAATATCGGGGTACATCGGTTTATATCTATTCTATATAGCTGCACATTCATGCCAAGTTTCAGTTTCGGTTTCATTTAATTGCCAGTTCAGACAATTCTGTTCCGCATGTTTATCTATAAAATGTTCCCGCTCTGCGCCATAAATTAATAGCGAGGGGCGGTGAGGCGGTCACGCCTCCAAAAGCGAATTATTGATATATTCCTTATGAATGCCATACATTATATGATAATTATCGTTAAAATACTCTTGCTCTCGGGGGAATTCGTCGAAATTCGCTTTTGGGCGACGGGGCAACTGACTAAGTGGATTCGCAGACTCTTCAGTCGTTTTAGTAATGGGTTTAGTGACAACAGTTTGGTCTACATCGCCTTACAAACTAGGGCTTAGTGGCTATTCGTTGTGGGTTACGGGTTACGGGGGACAGTAAGGATGACAATCGAGGTTTCTCCAGTTCGGGGGGTCATATTTTTGATGTAAATCGCTTAACAAGTAGGGTGTACAAAATACGTTTATATACAGTAGTCAAAAGTTAGTATCAAAATTACAATCTATGCGGGTGTAAAGTATTCGCTGCCTTTTTTCAGTCAATAATTTCATATTCGATTCGTTGCTTCGCTAAAAAACTACAAACTACATGCAGATGAAGCATATTTGCTCGTGGATTATGTACAATTAAACATATATAAACACTCTGCTCCTACCGACATCGGTGTGATCGCTCTTTAGTACGGGGAGAATTACTTTTGGCCTGAACACTTTGGAAGTTCTACTACATAATACGAGAGCTACACGCACGTTGGACGTGTACATGTAACCGAGCAATAAATTAAGATTAGTTAATTACCAAAAAAAATTGCTTAAATACAAATAATAAGAAATAATAATTGTACTGCATTGTAGTTTCTGCGTTTTCAATACCTAATATACGTAAAATACGTGGGGGATGGGTGATGGGGAATACATTTGAATTCGGCGCCACAAGCAGGAGCAAGGACAACGGCACTGCTTGCTAGTACGTCTGAGTGAGTGTGTCTGTGTACTGCTTCTCGTTGTTTAATTAAGCACGCTTTCTTTTTCACCATTTAACCTTGATCGATAAATATTGTTGAACTTTCGATGATCAATTTGATTGTTTCCGCGTGTCGGTGTGCGTGCGTCTGCGTAGGGTTTCTGTTTATGGCTTCAAGTAAATAAATTTCGCTTGTTTACTTTAGACATAAGAAAACATTCAGAAATGTTTCGGTGGAAAAAAAAATGATGAGGCAAACATAAAAACAGTTCCAGTCAGCATTGCTCTTCCAGTAAAAAACTAATATTGGGAAATGTCAAACGCACACACAAGCTGGATGCAATGCAAGCAGTGTGTCGAGTCAATGGAGATCGAGGAATACCAATCAGAATCAGCTAATTTAAATGTTAAACATCTATTTAGATGTGTGTGTCATGCCTGCTGTTTTTCTCACACTTGAGATTTCAGTCAGAAAAAGCAGAGCAGCGATCTTACTAAACAACAAAAGTGCCTCAACAGCAAATTCCTTGTGGTTGCCACACATACACATGCACTGTATTGTGTTGTTGCTTGGAAGTGAAAGAGCAACAATAGCTCTGCTTTGTTTTGTCTATTGTGAATTCCTGTTTGGCTGCACATTCCATTGCCAGCCGCAAGCATTTCGCAACACTGACCAGAGTGTCCAATTAGAACGTGTTAATGTGACCCGAACTGCTCTACCGTTATTCTGCTTTTACTGCTTTTGCGCTGCGTTGCGTTGATGATGAATAAAATAATACGTTTCTTTTGTGCTGGCTCAAATTGAAGTTGAATACTGGCAAACTGGCAGACTCGCATACGGAGTACTTTTTGTTCCCCAGCGGTTGTTGGCCGATTTCAAAATCACGCGCAAGACGCTTACACACACACACACACTCAACTCACACAATTAGCTGGTCAGCTTGCTTTTGTTGTTGCTGCGATTGCGCAAGTGTGTGCCCCGCTCGAAACTCCAGCTTTAGCTGCTTTTTATGATTTTTTTTCCTCTGCTGAGCTGCCCATTGCCATTATTTCGCTCGTTCGGGGTCTGGACTTTTGTATCCGGGCCTGACTTTCGCATTGTCGCTCGTCTCAGTTGTCTGCAAAAACGAAAGAAAGGGGCACAAATAAGTACAAATTTATATATGATGCGCGTGTATGTACATTTGTACATGCATAGGTAAAGTACAGTGCGCTCAAGACACTAGAACTAAAAAATAGTGTTGGAAAGGGCAATAGTAATCAGTTTTAGCCCTTTAAGCGCTGGGTTTTCATCCAAGTTTTGTTTTCACTCAAATGGTCTAAGCTCAGTTATGAAAGGTCGGATATATGGATACATATGGATTTATATATGGTATAACCAAAAATATTAAACCAGTTCTTTGTTATCGCCCCCTTAAGCTAAACTCAAATTAAATCTGAGCACGCGTAAAGAGCTCTTAAGATGAAATAATACCTAGGGGAAGTTAAAGAAATACCGATTTCCTAACATTTAAGTAAAATATGAAAATTCCACTTGGATTGTTAAGGCATCCAGGATTTTCTTAAACATAATTTTAATAGAAAGTCTCCCGTGTAGGTTTTGATACTCACTTTAACAGTATCTAATTTTTGGAGTAATGTTGATTCAGAATACATATATTATACATTTTAGAACTAAAACGTATCCAACTACATATCTTCGCTGTAACATCTGCGGTTTCAACAAACATTTTCGAGAATAAACGGACAAGTGTAATCAGAATTTTTCGATATTTATTTCATTTTAAATTTCTTAAGAAGGGATGCCATTTGGCATTTGATTTTGATTAATACCTCTGGGGAATGGGATACTATTTTCTTGATTATTGCTATATTTGTACATATGTATGTAAATATATATGCATTGTTTTTAGATCGCAATGTTACTTAAAATAAGTAAGTATATTGCACATACATATGTACATACATAGGTCTACACAATGAATTAATAAAAAAGAACCAATTGATATGAGCTATTATATTAACCGCAACTGTAAGTGCATAACAATTATTCCCCCCCTTCCCCCTCTCCCCGTCGAGGAATCAGATGACGACCGACGTTGCAGGCACGAATTAAAAAAAATAATGCCCTGCGTAAAATGTAAATGGGCCACAGTGCAATTATAACTTGAAAAAGTGCAGAACGTTCAAATTAAAAATTGCCGCTAAACTCAAATTAATGCGAAGCATGTGTGCGTTTGCGTGTGCGAGATCGCGTCTGGAGATGGACATTTAGCATTCCCACAGAAAGTTGTTTTTTCGCTAATTTGTGGAAAAGTCAACAGGAAGGAATTCATTACGAGGCCAAGTGGCTCACCGTCTGTTCTTCGCTCGCACATACAGTAGAGAAAATAGTTAGGGAAAATCTATGGAAGCTATGTATGAAGATGAAAGATGACCCACTCAGGTGGAAGCTCTAAAGTTTCGGGCTTATTTCCCCCGATTAGATAGCCCTCAACGAATCAGCTGTGGCTCGTATTTCTCTTTGTGCGCTTAAGTTTCAGGGGAAGTATCGGTCACGTTCTGGAACCAGATTTCTAGACAGTTACGGACAAAAAAAAAGAAAATAAAATAAAACAAAATTAGCTAAACGGAATTCCGTCGTAAATGAAAAATGCTCTGTAATTGCTACAATTAGTAACCATCCTGTGTGAACTCATGTCAAACGAGTAACTCTACCGGCATCAAATATACATACACATAAAGTTTGTTAATTGTTTAATAGAATCATAAGTGAAATAACTAAATCATTTAGTGCTGACGGGAATAAAAAGTGTAACGCAAGCGTAGCCAAGCTAATAGTTCTCATAACGAGTTGCAGACAGCTAATTTTACGCCTTGAGTAGTAGTCAGTGAGTGTAGACGTGTTTTCAATTACCTCCTGAGTTTTTCCAATTAGAAAGCCTTAAACAGCCCTGAAAAGGTAAACAAAGTGAACAGCGTGATCCCCATAGGAGGCGGTACGTACCAGGGTGGGTCTGTGCGTTGAGTACACCATATTTTAGCGTTTAGATCAGTTAAAACTGGTGCTCCACCGAGGGTAGAGGGGAGAGGGGTCACCAAGACTCTGTTTTCTCCCGCTCTCTTCCCACTGGGAAAACAAAAACAAAGTTTTCCCGCGGGCGATCTGCGCGTTTCCCTTTTTTGGCAACTGGACAAACAGCTGATCACTCCGATAGTGCTGGAAAGCGCTCAAACCACAGCCAGAATCGGAAACAGAAACCAGCCGCTACTATCAGCTAGAAAAAATTGCATAATTCTAGGCCGAGCTCAACCAGTAGATATTCAACTCGTAGCAGACAGCTTCTGAGCAGACAGCTTCTGAAAGGGTCGAAGCGTTGAGTTCAAAAGGCCGATCTTCTACACTAGTCTAGATAGGGGAATTAGGGGCAGCAAGTCAAGGATCCGACAAATTCCAACCCCCCCGCTTAGGCGGTGCCCCAGCAAACGGGGCTCTGGGGACCGAAAAGGGGCGGTATAACCCCCATCGTTAGAAAGTCTAGGAGAAATCTGAGACCAGCGAGGGAACCCCTGTCGCGGACGGTGAAAGACCAATGGACCAGGCAAACCCCTTCGCAAAAAGCACAGCGATGGCCAGATCGCCAACGGTGCAGGCGCAGCATAAGGTTGAACAGCAGCCAAAACAAGAGGAGGCAATCACGTCCCTGGAGGACATTATTGCGAAAATAGGCCTCGCCGTGAATGGCCTCTCCCTTCTGTTTAAGGACCACAGGGTCGTCAAACAGCCGATGCGCGATCTCCTAACAGAGCTGGTAGAGCTGCATAAAAAGGCAGTGGCCTCCATCAAGCAGGAGGAAGCCACAGGAAAGGAGTGCAGGGAAAGTGCCACGCAAACCACACCGAGAGCCGAACAGCGAGACAAGCTGTGTGGAAAAGAAAGGATAGTAGCGACACCAAAAAGGGCAAGAGAGCCAGCAACAGGCCAAAAATGTACGCCACCAATGAAGAGGGTACATCGGGAACGGATACATGAGAAGCGACACGAAGATTTCCAGCAAGTAGCCGACAGAAACCCTAAGGGAAATTCCAAAAGGCAGCTCAGGGCCAGACCAGACGCCATCGTGGTTGCAAGAGTCGGGGAGATTACCTACGCGGAACTTCTCAAGGCCGTTAAAGGAGACTCCACGTTAAAACACGTCAGTGGGGACGTACAGACCATCCGTAAGACGGCCAAGGGAGATCTTTTGCTGCAGCTGAAGAAGTCTCCAGACCACAGCGCGGAGGAGGTTAAAAAGGCAGTCGGAAACGCTCTCGGGGTTAAAGCAGTTGTAAGGGCCCTGACCGAGCAAACCAGACTTCAGGTCATGGACTTGGACGAAGTCACAACCAAGGAGGAGATAGTGGAGGCTCTAAACAGTAAGCTAGGCGATACCCCTCTATCGGAGGAGGCCGTAAAGTCGCTAAGAGCCACCAGAAACGGCCTGCAGATAGCCACACTAATGTTGCCAACACCCACAGCGAACAAGCTGGTAAACTTGGGGAAAATAAGGATTGGATGGGTGATCTGCCGGATTAAACCCATTTTTTCGCCAAAACGCTGCTATAAGTGTCTAGCGTTCGGCCATATCTCGTCGAACTGCACGGAAAAAACGGATTTGCGCGGAGCATGTTTCAAGTGTGGGGGAAAAGACCACGAGGCCAGAAGCTGCAATAGGGACCCACATTGCCTACTCTGCGCGCAGAAAAGAGATCTTCCAACAAACCACGCGTCTGGGAGCTTTAAATGCCCAGCGTATGTCGAGGCGGTAAAATCTCAACAAAGATGCTAAGGGTCATGCAGCTAAACCTCAACCACTGCAGGGTGGCCCAGGACCTTCTCACCCAAACAATTTCCGAGCTCAAAATAGACCTGGCAATTCTGAGCGAACCCTATAAAGCAATTAGATCCAACACGTGGGTCACGGATCAATTGGGAAAAGCAGCAATCTGGACATGTGGGCAACCGGCCCAACATCTAGCATGCGTGAAAGCATCAAAAGGCTACGTAAGGGCGAAGCTAAAAGACCTTTGGATTTTTAGCTGCTACTTTCCACCCAGCTGGACACTAGAGGAGTTTAGCGAGACGATAGACAGCCTGGCAATCGACATAAGAGCACACTCGCCTGCGATTGTTGCCGGGGACTTCAATGCGTGGTCAACGGAGTGGGAGTCAGCCTCAACAAACGCCAGAGGAAGAGTGGTCACTGAGACGTTCGCATCGCTGGACGTTATCCTACAAAACAGGGGTTCTACCCCTACATTTAGGAGAGCGGGAGCGCAGTCCATAATCGACCTCACCTACTTAAGCGCAAGCTTGGCGGCGACGGCGACCTGGGAAATTAGCGAGACCTACACGGCGAGCGACCATAGTGCAATTATAAGCACCATCCGCATGAGAAGAACCGCCACACCGACAATTACTCGAGGACACTACAAAGAAAATACGCTCGACATACCATCATTTAGAGCAGCCCTGGAAGGGATGGAATTAGCGGAAAACGAACGGGCATTGATGGCAAAGGTCAAGGAAGCCTGCGACGCCAGCATGCAGCGCAGTAAAAGCTTCAAGGGGCGCAAGCCAGTCTACTGGTGGAACCAAGCGATTGAGGAGGCACGCCGCGAATGCATAAGCGCAAGGAGAGCCTACCATAGGGCCCGCGGAACCGAAGCCTTCCATATACTCAGGGAAGTTTTCACCCAAAAGAGGAAGATCCTAAAGCGGAAAATAAAAAGCAGCAAAAGGCGGTGCTTCCTGCAACTCTGCGATGAAGCAGAAAACGACCTGTGGGGAAAGGCCTACAAGGTGGTAATGAAAAAAACCAACGCCGTTAAAAACGTGACCCCAACAGGCTCCGAGAAACTGGGAGAGATTATAAGGCACCTTTTCCCAGCGCAGGAAACGAGGCAAGCGGAAGCGTTTGGTGTCCCGGACCACCAGATACCACCGGTTACCCTACAGGAGCTGGTCAACATAGCCCAGAAGGTACCAAACAACAAGGCACCAGGGCCAGATGGGATCCCAAATCGGGCACTCAAACTTGCCATCAGCATGTACCCGAGCACCTTTGCCAGTGCATAC